TCACGTCTTAATACGGATCCTCGTTTATCAAAACCAATTCAACAACAACAACAACAAACACCATTATATCATGGTCAATTACCTGGCGGTTTACCACCATCACCTGCATACAATACTTTAATGACGTCGATGACACCGCCATCATCATCAAATACAGCTGGATTTGATGGAATATTTAATCCACGATTTTATCCACCACAAAATCAACAACAACCACCATCAGGAGCTATGTCACAATCAATGCTTAATGGTAATGATGTATATACAGGACGTCGTAGTGTTGGTGGAATTAGTGGACCAATGCCTAATTTCTATGCACCAAATGTCTTTGGTGGACCAGGAAATAATAATAATAATAATAATATGCGTGGAAGTAATCCAAGTTCAAATTCTGGACGTGATTCAGTTGTTCCAAGAAGTAAATTATTAGATGATTTTCGTAATAGTCGTATGCCAAATTTACAATTACGTGATGTCATTGGACATTTTGCTGAATTTTCAATGGATCAACATGGTTCAAGATTTATTCAACAAAAACTTGAACGTGCAACAAATGCAGAAAAAGATATGGTCTTCAAAGAAATTCTTTCAAATGCTCCACAACTCATGACAGATGTTTTTGGCAATTATGTTATTCAAGTATAGAACTTATTTATATTTGATAAGAATATATATATATATTTTTTTTTCTTTATTCTAGAAATTCTTTGAATTTGGTTCACCGGAACATAAAGCATATTTAGCTCAACGTGTACGTGGAAATGTTTTATCACTTGCTTTACAAATGTATGGTTGTCGTGTAATACAAAAAGCTGTTGAAACATTACAACCTGAATATCAAATACAGATAGCAAGAGAATTAGATGGAAATATTGTTAAATGTATTGAGGATCAAAATGGTAATCATGTTATACAAAAATGTATTGAATGTTGTACAGGAGATGATATTCAGTTTATAATAAATGATGTAACAAAACAAGTTTTTTCATTATCGGCACATCCATATGGTTGTCGAGTTATACAACGTATACTTGAAAATTGTAAAGAAACACAAACAAGACCTATACTTGATATTTTACATAATGAATTGGAAAATCTTGTACAAGATCAATATGGTAAGATAAAAATGATTTAATCAAAGACAGACAAAATGTTTAATTTTTTTTCTAATAGGAAATTATGTTATTCAACATGTATTAGAACATGGTAAACTTGAAGATCGAAGTAGAATTGTAAATGCTATTATGGGACGAGTACTTCAATTATCGCAACATAAGTTTGCAAGGTAATTAAGATCACACTGGGAACTATCTAAGATTAATTAGAATGTACTAAATGTCTTAGTAAAAACAGCCCTGTTAAAAATGAACATATTTTACAGACCAATCAAAAAAGATTAGATTATTAATAAAACACTTGTTCTTACTAGAAGTTTTGACACATTCTGACTGTCACTATACCTTTACATAGATAAAAAAAATTTGATTAAAACATGTCTAAACAATATTGTTGTTAGTTAAGAGAAACTAAATGATGATGTCATAGGTCAACTAGGATAAAGTATTTCCTAAGGTTTTCTTATAAGCAATATCTTATTTATTCATGGAAATATGATGCTTATTAAAGATTAATAGAGATTACTAAGTCAAAAAGTTTAGTATAAACTTTAAGCTCGGATAAGAAATCTCTTGGGCTATTTCACATTAAGACAAGAAAAATATATTCGATTGTTTTAAATTAATGAGAACTTATTTAATTATAGTAATGTGGTTGAAAAATGTGTAACATATGCAACACGAGAAGAAAAACGTCAACTTATTGATGAAGTTGTCTCATTTGGCGATGGGTAAGAAATTTAATCGAAAATAATTAAAATATTATTTATTTATATTATCTTAGACCAAATAGTGCATTGTTAACAATGATGAAAGATCAATTTGCGAATTATGTCGTGCAAAAAGTAAGCTAATAGATTTTCACTTCTTTTTTTTCTTCTTCCAATAGTACCTAGGAAAGAGTAGTAACAAATTCTAAAAATAAACCGACAGACTATAAAGTATAATTTATGAAAGTGAATAATGATAGACTTAGCAAAGATTTTTACCATATATTTTATTTCTTGAATTGTTTTTCTCACAACATTTTTAGTTGTCAGAAGAGATTCTATTGTACAATTGACAACTTTTCTTTTTCGTAAATTCAAATGTTTTATTATCACATGATAATATTCGATTAAATCGAAGTTTCTAAATTACTTAATGGTGTGATATAATTAGATGTTATTTCCATAAAATTATTTCGGCAATATAATCGAGAATCCGAATAATATGGTTTAGTCGAGCAATGAATAGTAATGATTGAGTATCCGGAAATCTAATTATTCATTCCATAATATATAATATCAGGAAATAAGCGGATTGCCCCAAAGATACGTCATATCCTTCTGTCATCCCTGAATTAATGAATTTCATTCATCAACTAAAATATTTCTTATTCATGTATTAATAGACTTGTAGTTTGTAGTGAATAAACAAGAATTCTATTAGTATTATCATACGATAATCATAGTAAATTCTATTTTCCGCTAAGAATCAAAGAACTTCTACTCATTCACTTTTCAATATATCAATAAAATAGTTTTTCGTAATTGAATTAAACACTAATTGTGTATTCATCATTTATAAGGAATAAGAAACTTTCTTTTTATATTCTCATGTGTATTATAAAATCTAACCAAGAAACTATCTTCGAAAAATAAAATTACGTATGAGATCAAAGAGGGAAATCTAAATAATTCATATGATTTTTTTTCTTTATTACCTAGAAAATAAAAAAAAAGCTATTTCTAAGTTTAAATACTGAAATGAAAATATTTATAGATCGTTAGAATATTTTTGAATACCTCGATATTCTTTGTTTTCGAACGTTATTTGGTATAATTAACTATGTTGAGAGTCCTTATATCCCCAATAAGATTTATGAGTATCAAATAAAAATTAATTTACACTTCAGTTTCATCTTAGACATTTAATAAATTTTTCTTGTCATAGATGATCGATGTTGCTGAACCAGCTCAACGAAAAATTCTTTTAACAAAAGTTCGCCCACATATCCAATCACTTCGTAAATTTACATATGGTAAACATATAATAACTAAATTAGAAAAACATTTAAGTAAAAGCTCGGATTTGGGTCCATTATTAACGTCATCAACATCAAATTCAAACGGTTTGTCACATTATGACAACTAACATTTATTTTGTTTGTTTGTTTTTTTTCTTTTTTTTCCTTTTCATAAAAGCAGTTTTTTTTGTGTCTTCTATTATTCTCTGTAGTTAGATTTGTTTGATTGTTTGTTTGGTTTTTTTTATTATGTGACAGTGGTCGCTCTCATATTCTGTTTTCTTTGTTTGCTGTATATAAAACGGCCTTGACAATGTGTTTTTGATCTTGTCAGGCAACATTGTATGTTTTTTTTGAAACTTATCTTTGTTTTATATACAGCGGTTTGGTTTGTTGTTTTTGCTCAAAAACAAAAAATTCTTATGTACAGCTTTATTGTCTATTGCTTGTAATTGCTTCGTATACATAATATATAACTGTGTATGTTTGTGTGTGTGTACTTCATATATTGTAAAGGTTTTGTTGTTACACACTTCCTCTCAAAGGAAACAATGATAATAATACTCGAGCTAGGAAGTAATGGAGCGAAGGGAAAATTATATGGTTTATCGGCAGATGTGCGCGGTTCGAGTCTGTTTTTTTTCTGTATCTTCTCTTTTTTGTCTCAGGAACTTGTGCGTAATTTATATGGGAGGTGCCACACATACATATTTCTTTTGTGTTTTGTCTGTACGCGTTTTTTTTGTTTCTTTTTTTTTTTCTACCCAGGAATGTTGTTTTTTCATCAAAAACTAAATCTATTTAACTTGTTCTGGCACTTTATTCATGTAGTGAACGACCTTTTCTCTCTCTCTCTCTCTTTCTTTTGTTTGCTCTTTTTTCTTGTTCTTCTTTTTCTTTTTTTTTCTTTTTTCATTTGTTCACACCAACCAACTACTTGTATTACTAACGAAAAATAAATAGACAGAAAAAAAAAGAGAAGGATATTTTTCTTATATAGTTTGATGAATGAACGGCAAACAAGAAGAAACACATCCATATCGCTGATAAGAAAATAGAAAAGAAATTTTCAATGTTGATTTAATAATTCTTATCTATACTGATATATAAAATGAATGAGAAGCACTTTTTTTTTTGTTATAGTACGTCATCATGACTCTACTCTTATTCATTATAATGAATAATGATTAAGAAAAGAAAAAATGACAGTTGACTAGATCGAGTGACAATTAGATTTTACATTAAAACGAATGTGTCTTCATTTCTCCGTGCCATTCTTCTTCCGTTTCAATGAAAACCAACATATTCCTTTTCTCTTTGTAATTTATTTCCGCGTCTTCAGATTTCTTTAAATTATAAATAATGCTTCACATCAGTATTTAATAGTAAAAAGTCTCCACTTTTATCGTATCATATTATCTAAAAATGTATCCACAACAATATCCATCAGCACCGTCTGCTCCACCTCCATATCAAACTGATATGCAATCAAATCAACAGCAATATCATGAGACTATGCCAAATCATCATATGAGTAGTGAGAATCGTTTAGCAGAGTTTCAACAACTTGTTGCTCGATATGAAAGTGAGTTATTTATGTTCAATATTTCGGTATTGAATAATATTCAATATATATATAGTTAATCATACATTTGCTACAAAATTACGTGCACTTGAAGGATATGAAATTGTTTTTATCTGTGATGATTCAGGTTCGATGAATACTCCACTCGGTAAATTATTCTTTATTAATATATATGTATATTTGATTTTTTTTTATCCACAGGTAATTTATCTGGTCCTTTTGATAAAATGCCATCGAGATGTATGAAATCATACTTCATTTTTTTTTGATAAAAAAAGAAATTATTTCTATTATAGGGGATGAATTAAAGCAAACAGTATCAATTGTTGTTGATATAGCTAGTGTTCTCGATCCAGATGGCGTTGATATTTATTTTCTTAATCGTGAACCTTTATTTCATGTTCGCAATTCTTCGCAATTAATTTCTGTATTTGCTGTTCCACCAGCTGGTATATTTCCGAATTGAATTGTTCGAGAAAAAAAATTTGTTTTTCTTTTTTCTAAGGTCCAACTCCGATTGTTTCAGTTCTTCGACGTGTACTTCGTGATAAACAACATGAAATTGAAGAACGTAAATTATTGATACTTTTAGCAACTGATGGTGTACCAACTGATAATCAAGGACATCGAGATATTCGTTCATTTGAATATGTTCTTAAACATGAACGTAAACCTGTTAATCGTATACCAGTAACCATTATAGCTTGTACTGGTAAGAAGGGAAAAGATCAAAAATTTTATCGATAAAATTTTTATTTAATCATAGATGACAATGATTGTATTGGATATTTAAATGATTGGGATAAAAAGATTCCTAATCTAGATGTTGTTGATGATTATCGAAATGAAAAACGAGAAATTCAAGGACGACAAGGAAAACAATTTCCATTTAGTTTTGGTGATGTATGTCATGATATTTTTATTTCTATATCTTTTTATTTTAATTTAGTATGTTGTTAAAATTCTAATGGGTGGTGTGGACAGTTGGTTTGATGATTTAGATGAAAAAAAAGTAACAACCGATGGTTATGGACGAACAACAGAAGGCAATGGTAATAAAAGAAAGAAACAACGTTGTATTATTTTATAACAAGGTAGAATTCAAAACAAAATTCTCTACGAGAAAAATTCTATTCAATTTTTATTTTGTAATAGAAAAGCAATTGAGTTTATTTGATTATAATTAATTATTAACCATCTTCTACTAACAGCATGCCATCATATAAATTATTTTCAACAAAAAAAAATCATAATTTTATTTTTAACAATAGATTCGTTATGGTGGCCATTATCTTGGTTGATGAACCTCTTCTGGCCGACAAATCAAAATTTTTAATCATCATTCTTATCAAACCGTGAATTATGTGCATAATTTTACTTTAATCGATTTTATTAATAGTGATATATCACTCATGGCTATTGCTTTCTTGTTTTTTTGTATAAAATCTAAAAAATATTATTTTTTTAATATGTAATCAGTTAACCGATGCGAGATCATCTGCGTGTGTGAGCGTGTGTGTGTGCGTGCGCGTATGTGGATATTCTGTTTTTTTCTCCTTCATTTTGTTGCAGGCTTAGTAGAACAAGGAAAAACAAAAAAGAAGACTAAGAATGGTGTTAGTCACATACTAAAGCTTGTTTTTTTCTGCTTTCAATGTTTACAACGTCATCATCAAATTGACGTCACAATTTTAAAAAAAATATATCCGTAACGGACGTCACTGATTATTCACTAAATTGTACAATTTTTTTTCTTTGTTGACTAATAATTATTACAGCAGATTTTATAGGTTTTAAAACAAAAAGGCATACTATTTTTAGATTTTTGTGTTTTTTCTTTCGGTCAAACAACAAGAAACTCTTGACGTCAGATAGTATAAAATAAGAGTAAGTGAAGAAAAAGAAAAGAAAAAAGAAAATGATAAAACAGTATAAAACGAATGTTATGAGAGTATTTTATGTATAGAATTTGAAATCAGATTAAATATGTATCCACAACAATACCCTCCAACAGCGCCTCCACCTGCATATCCATCGAATCAAGTTGGGTTTAATTCATTATCACAAACAAATGATGAACGAATGTCAAAATTTCAATATTTGGTTAATCTTTATGAAATTAATCGAGAATTTGCTACACGATTACGAGGTTTAGAAGGATATGAAATTGCATTTATTGTTGATGGTAAGACGAAGACCTTGAATCAAAATTTTAATATTTTATTTGTATATTTATTTAGATTCCGGATCAATGAATACACCACTGGGTAAAATTTTTTTCTTGTGAAACAAAATAATCGTATATTTAAAGAAATATTTTAATTCAATTAGGTGATTTATCCGGTCCATTCGATCATAATCCAACAAGATGGGATGAACTTCGACGAACAGTTTCAATTGTAGTCGATATTGCTTCTGTGTATGCTTTTTTTTTTTTTATTCATTTTATACATTTTCGTTTTATTTTTATTTCAATTTACAAGTTTTGATCCTGATGGTGTTGGTAAGGACGAAATTAATATATTATTAATGATAGTTTAATCTTTTGTTTTAGATATATTCTTCTTAAATCGTGAACCTATGCGTAATGTTAAAAATGCTGAAGAACTTAAACCTGTTTTTGCTATGCCACCATCTGGTAAATAAGAAAATAAAATACGGACTGTATAACATTTATGATATAATTCTAGGACCTACGCCAATTGCTCGTGTACTTCGACATGTTTTACAAGCAAAACAACTTGAAGTTCAAGAACGTAAACTTCTAATTCTTATTGCAACAGATGGTATACCAACTAATGATAGTGGACAACAAGATACAAAAACATTAGAAAATGTACTTCGTCATGAACGTAAGCCAATTAATCGTATACCAGTTACAATTATTGCGTGTACAGATGATGATGAATGTATTGGGTAAATGATATATTAATCTATTGTTTATATAAATTTACATGTTTTTTTTTGATATTTAGCTATTTGAATAATTGGGATAAGAAAATTCCAAATCTTGATGTTGCTGATGATTATAAATCAGAAAGAACTGAAATTCACAAAGTACAAGGAAAAGAATTTCCATTTAGCTTTGGTGATGTAAGTAAATTAATTAAATACATATGTATATATTTATTTATTTATTTATTAAGTATGTTGTTAAAGTCTTAATGGGTGCTGTAGATGATTGGTTTGACACACTTGACGAACGTCGTGTAACTGGAAGTGGTCCACCAGATCGCCATGCTAGTAAAGGCAAGAAGAGCAAATGTTGTATATCTTAATCGATAATGTAAAAGAAACGAAAACATTCCTATTCTTACTTGTAAAACTTCACAATAATTGTATATGCACGTGTAAATTTGTTTGCCTATTGTTTTTTTAAAATCAATTGTCGCCGCTAAAGATCAAAAAATAAAATAGGGAAATATCATTGTCAAAATAATGTCCTACGTTGATGAGAATAATTTTATATATCGGAAGTTAATTTTCAAATGAAAAGATTAATATAAATAGTACAATACTGTTCTATTCATCTTTCATTTTATTATTTATCATGAAACGGAACGGATATAGAAAACTATTTTATAACTAAATACAATAAGCACAATGCTTTTTGACTTAGATTGAGAATACAAAAGAAAAAACGAAAATATCAAGTATCTTTAAACGATGTTGTTAGTTCATCAGATATATCAAGTACTGATGATGATGTCGAAGAAGGTATGAGACTAATACTTGAATCAGAAGTTGCAATGGAAGAATCTTGTGATTTGAAAATATTACATGCATCATTTGGTAATTGAGATAAACATGATGGAAATGGAGTTTTAGACATATATGGTGAAAAGATTGTTTTTTGAATTCGTTTGACTTGTTTGTGATTACTATAAATGATACAAAAATAAGAATTTTCATGAATACAATTACTTACATGACTTTAGTTGTTGTTGTTGTTGGTAATACATGTGCTTCATCCACTGCATTTTGTATATCTCGAGTCAGTCGATCAAAATTGGCATCTGATTTTTTTGTAATATTTCTTGATGAAAATTTATCAATAGGGACTAAACTTGCTGGTTGAATTAAAGTTATTCTTGAATGATTAATTGTACCATCATCATCTTTTGTTGCACTATTACTATTACTATCATTCGAATATGGTAATGATATATCATCGGTAGCAAATCCAGAATTCTCATCGATATAATCAGATGCGATTGTTTCATTGACTAATTTCATGTTTGTTGCTTTAAGTCGACTACGTCGTTGAACATCATTCCATCGACGTACAATTTTTAATGTTTGTTTTGAATTAGTTATAACAGATTTCGTTTGATGAGAATTTTCATCAGCATTAACATAAACAAGTGGTGAACCAAGTTTTTCATTTAAATCAAATGATGTATCACATAACTGAAAATAAACAAAAAAACAATTTATTCAAATAAAGAAAATAGAACTATTTTTTATCATACACGTGTTGGTAATGTCCTGGTTTGTGAATCATTTTTTATTAATGATCGATCATGACGATGAAGTAACCGAGTTATCTTTTTTGGTAATTGTAAATGAAAATTTGTTTTATCTGTACTATTATCATCAGCATCATCATCAATATATTCATCACCAAGCATTTTTCTAATATCAAACCGAGTACGTCGATGACGACCACGTTGACTTATACTTTGCTTTTCATCATCAAAATAACTTGATGATAAATTACTATTTTCATTTATTTGACTAGTTGATAACATTGAATCGTCATTGTTATCGGATTCAGATGCTGTTATACTCTCATCACTACTATATTCTTTGACTTTAATTTTTCGTTGAAATAATTTTTTTGTAGATCGTATTTGTTTTTTCGTATCAGCTGTATTAAAATGAATTAATAATTCTTTTAATCGATTCATTAAACAAGTTGATAATTGTTTTTGTTCACATAATGGACAATACCAATCACCTTCAGGTACAGATAAAAGTACAGGATATAAACATTCCAAATGATATGCATCATTACAATCATCACATAATAATAAAACTTCTGGTCGATCACTTTTTGAACAGATATAACAAGTTGTTATTATTGTTGATGTATGTGCTGTTTTAGCTGTACGTAATTCTTGATCATTCATACTACTATTATCTTCATCAAGTTCAAAAAAATGATCTTCAACATCTACTAAATATTGATTATCATCAGAATTATATTCATCGTCAGTTAGATCATCGATATGTTCGTCTGAACTTGATGTTGATAAACAAAAATAATCATCCATATTTCGTCGAGATGGTTTTTTACGTCGACGACGAGAACGAAGTGTAGGTGAAATTTTTGTTTTTGTCTTTATTAAATGCTTTTGTGTCGTACCAGATAACTAAAAATATATTTAAATTGATCCTTTCGAACTTCGTCATCTTTTATACCTGAGAAGTACTGTCAGGAGTAACTACAGACGTTGGTCGCAGTCGTGATGATCGACGTGTTGCAAGACTCATATCGTCAAGAGATACTTCTTGTTCTTCTGTAGTAACTTTGTGTTTTCTACTTCTAGAATTACTTTTTTTTAATACATCAGATTCTTCGTCGTCATCATCTATTGTTGTTTCAGTTTCTTTTTGTACTTCAGTGCAATTTACTTCGATTATAGATTCTGTTGAACGTTTCGGTCGTCCACGCTTTCTTTTTGTTGATATTTCAGGTGATGATGATGATTCATCTTTATCTTTTGAAAGATCAGAATTTTCAATATTATCTGGAGTTGTTTCAAGCTCTTCATCTCTAACATCATCTCGGATTGATAAATAGCATTGTTCAAATTCACTTGTTGGTAATAAAGATAAATATGGCTCATAATCAATGATCCAATCTTTATATAAAGATTAAAAAAAATAACATATTTTAATAGGATATTTTCTTTACCAGGAAATCTCTTTCGTACAATCGAATCAGTAATCAACAATTGAATGAACTTTTCCAATTCTTCTCGATTTCTACAAAAACAATATAGATAAAAATAATTCATAGTACAGTAATTTTCTACTTACTTAGCAATATTCGTCCATGTTCGATCATTATTAACATCTTCACGAAATAATCGTACAAAACAATTACTATCCTATGATAATCCAATAGAGACTGTCATGACCCTATCATATGAGAATATACAAACCATAAAAAACCAATATGAAGCACCAAAACGATCACGACCTAATGGTAGAGATTTAATATTACATGATGATTTTTCACTAATTGTATTTTTGAATGTTTGATTCAAATCAAATTGACTTTCAAATAAATTCTAGATAAAACAGTTTCTATGAATTCTTATTAATAAATACTACTACGATTTACTTTTATAATTCGAACTTTAAGATTTATATCAATGTGTAAATAACCAATTGTTGCTAATTGTTCACTATCGTTTGAATCAAATCGTGAAACAAACTAATAATATTGAAGAACAATGAAAATGATGATAAAGAACAATAGGTCAGTGTACTTTAGTAATAATTGAATCAAATTTATCACGTTGAGCATTTTTTGCTAAAGATAAGCGTTTGAGAAGAATGAAATGAAAATCAATAAGACGTGATGGATCTGTATTAAAGTAAAAGGCTTAACCAATATGAACTATTAATTAAGTACACTTACTTTGTTCTTGACAATTTATAAGATGATCTTCAAAAAGTTGTAGTGGGTAATGTGGTAAATCAAGTATAGATCGAAATTTATCCAGAAAACAAAGCACAATCCCATAATTTGCATCATTTAATAAGTCTATTCGACGTTGATCTTTCTGAGAATCAATGAAATTATTTTCGATAGCCATTACTTCTATTTGATCTTTTTTAAATGATGGTTTGCAAGCACAATCATATGATTTAGTGTCTATGAATTAATATATTTAACATCTATAATAAGATTCAGTTTTTATATATTAGAAAAAGAATAAATTTCTTCATCTTTCCTCATCCATCAAGTCATTTTCATTCGAAACAAATTCCACATTTCATCATTTTCATCGAAAAAGAATTACATTAGTGTGAAAAACAACGATTCGAAACTTAAATATAATAGATGTCACTATTACTATTGATTTCGAACAAGGTTTTCGCTTTACTCGTAATACTTATAGCGAATATGACTGAATCTATAGAACATATTGATGTCTTCCTTAGAGATATAATACATAATACATGAGCAATTTTTTTATTTAAATGAAGAAAACAAAAAAAAATCGATCAACAATAAAGACTATTTTTTTTTTAATAATCAATAACAAAATGATTTTATCATGTTTCTATTGTTTCTATTGAAGAAAAGTAGGCAGAAAAAGCGTCCGATTGTTTGAATGACCCTAGTAGAGATAGTTTTTTGATCTTAGAACAAATATATCGAGTATCATCTCTTGTAAAATTCTTCGTTACCCTTTTTAATTCGACATTCATCACACTTAATTTCGTTAAACATGGTACCAGTGCCTTTCTTTCATTTAAAAATTGTTTCGCATAATCGATATGTGCATATGTCACATCCAGTGACGTTAGATGAGGATATTCAATTATTGAATATGATTGATTATTATCAATGGTAAATGTATTCATATCATATGATGATTGTGATTGAAAATTAGCAATACACAACCATCGCAGTAGTGGAAATGACCGAGCAATTCGAACGAAAAATTCATGCTTGAATGCATGTGCATCTCGAACAAGTAGTGATGTAACAGAATTGAATAAGATATCTGGAAAACTATTGCCAAGTTCTCGAATAGTTACGAATGCAAAAGGCAATGAGAAAATCGAATACATCATTTTGTTACTAATATCATGATTGAGAGTACTAGTTGCAGATTGTCCAATAGTCGTCAATGTTTTTTGAATATCTTCGTTTGATAAATCAATTGTATCAAGATCAGCTCCAATATAAAAAGTGAATAATTGAAGTTTAGGCATATTATCAAGAATATCATGTTGAATAGAAGTGCCATCAATAACTCTATTTTGATCTTTGAGACGAATATATAAAGTTAAACTTTCTACAAATAACATACGACGCAGAAGTGATAAAATTTTATTGTATTGTTCAAATCGGTCGAACGTTTGTAATGAGAAGCATTTCAAATTAGGTAAAATATCCTACAAAAAAAAACATTTTTAATTATCTAATCTCGATTGATATCTATTTCACATCGTGTCTGCCAACTGTCTCATATATTATCTTCGTCAGTTCGATTCTCTTCGATTAAAGTAAAACACACAAATAATGTTGACAAAATACTTGGATCTTCCATTCTGCACTTATATTCAGTTTCATTAATCTCTTTGTAAAATTCAATTTTCTCCTAATAAATACAAACTCCATGTTCATACCATTTAAATAGTTATCGATACTTATCAGCTTTTTCGTTTGATTCTACGACAATTTATCATTCAATTTTTTCCATTCGATTCTTTCAAGGTAGTTCTAATTTGTTTCTCTCAAAAATGTTTATCTCACGACAATTAATTATCTATGCAAATTTACCTTGCTATGGACAATTGTTGAGGAATCATCTATAATATGAACATGAACAGATAATGTTGTCAATTGCTGAAGTCGTCCATCAAGTAAATAAAGGCAATCATTCAAAGTGTACACATTGATATACAAATGAGTAAGAATTGAAGAGGAGAATGTATTCAACGATAAATCACAGAGTGATAAAGGTGGATACGTTTCATCAGTTGATTCAACTACATTTAATTTCTTTAAATTCTTAAAGAAACTTAATATATGTGCATAGATATTTGTAGTATAATTTTTCAATGAATCTGCCATTTCATATGGATCGTCATTGACAAGAATAAGGTTTGTAATTTGTACTTCAAATATTGCTCGAATTTATTCATCTGCAAAGAAGAAAATCAAAGATATGCAAGTCGACTATTTTCAAGATTTTCATTATTCCTGTGAGCTAATGAAATTTGATTATTAAGATACTTACTTGTAAAATACTTTGAGATGAAATCTTGTTGAAAATGAATAATTTTAAGTTCAGTTAAATTTGGATATTTGTTTGCAAGAAGAATACATTCCATAAAAGATGCATGAAGAGTAAATGATTTGACATAACAATGAATTCTTGGTAATATATCAATACAAAATCGACTGATTAATGAAGTATCATTAACAGAATCAAACTTCAGATTGTTAATAAAAATATTTTCTTGTGCAAGAATGTCAAGTCTTCCATTATTAACATCCAATAAAGAATAGAGAACATCGATATTGTTCAATTTCTTCAAAATCAAAAGTAATATTTCATCCGGTAGATCGAAAAGATGCATATTTGATCGACTCATATTTTATTATTACTGACACAATCACCATACATGCAATATATGTTCATTGTTTACGTCTTGTCACTTTTCTGATTGTGAAATTGAACTAATGAACTAATTCATAGAGGTCAAATATAGGCATATCGTCCAAGTCGATCATAATTCAACAAATGTGATACTTTTTTTGAATGAGAATTGAAGAAATGATATTGAGAAAAGAAAATTAAATGTGAAATTGTTAAAAAGACGAAATACTTATATAATTTATTGCTCTTAATAGTTATTATATTTATTCGTTCGTTATTCAATAATTACGTGTTTAAAAATAAATAAATAGATTATTAAAATATTCGATTAAATTCAATTGATTTAAATGAACGTAGTCATTGTAAGTTTTGCGAAGACTGAGTAGATGAAAGAAAGCCAAGCAAGAGAGAGAACGTGCATATAGAAACATCGCAATAGAAAGTATTTATCACCTTGATAGGAGAACTGAATAATTATGAGTCTATTCAAAAAATTCCTTATGGTACTATTGACAAAATCATATTTTCTTAATCTATTGGAATACAATATTTATGGAAACAACATGCACTATTTCTTCACGACTAAATTTATTTACTTACAGCGAGAATTACTAAAATTGGTTTTTAGATATACATCTCTTCCAGATGAATATCAACCAACAAGTAAACAATGTAAATCATCAATGCAAATATACATGACAAAATCCTGAAAGAGTTTATTTCTTTTTCTTTCGTTCTTTCTTAAGGACCATTTGTTTCCAACAAATCTTATGCGACTGGGTATCATCAAAATGAATTTTGAATTTTTCAGCAATATAATATATGTCTTGATTAATATTTGACGTGAAAGATCTATTTGAACATAATTTGTACATATAGATAAAGAGAAAGGATCAATGTCACTTGTTCAATTTCTTGAGGGTGAGTGCGGGTGGATGGGCATAGATATTATCTTTATACCACATCCTGACTCACAGCCATACTCTCATCCATCCCTTATTTTAGCGTCGTCGTTATGTTGCTGAACTTCTCGAAAAATGCGATAGTTTTCAATTTACTGAATTACGTTCTCGTATTAAACAAGAAAATCAAACACAACAATTTCCTGTGCAGGAAGTCAAAAAATTTGTCAAGGTATAATATATTAGTAGAAGATCGATTCTATTTTTTTTGCATGTGATATTTATAGTAATTGTATCTCGTGATAAAAGACAGATATTAAATGTAATGTATCATCGTAGCTTGTAGACATGTCAGATTGACCTTATTTATCATAATAAACATTGACAGATGAAGCTATCCAGAAGATCAAACTGTTATAGTAAAGAATTGTAACGATAAATTTCTCCAAAAAAGATGCTTCTTCATCTAAATGCAGCTCATCAATCACAATTGTATATATATATTTTTTCCTTTTATTTTAGGATCATTGTATCACTCGTTCATCACGTAAAGGTGTACTTTATTGTGTAAAAGGCACATTGGTCAAGTAATGCAATCTACCCTTTTTCTTTTTTCATTTTCTTTTGTTTGTATAAATATACATAATCATGATGTTCTTATCTCTAATTATGTACAACACGTTCTTAGTGTTTCTGTTACTAATTATGTCATTATATAAATATATATACTATTCTCTGTTGAACAAAATAAATCGATAATGCAGCACCGTTGTAGCACCTATCAGAAAAAAAAAGTTGGTTTTCTTTTCGGTTGGAAGATGTTTAGCTGTATATTTTTATTTCTTTTTCTTGTCAATTTTCATCATTCACCTGAGTAGGTTACATCGCGTATCGCTTTTACTCTTATACAAATACACACAAAAATATGCACGATTAAAAGGCGACAACAATAAATAGGATTTTCTGTGTTCAAGTTGAAGAATCTATATAGTTGCGTTAAAAGTAACACTTGGTCTGGAGAATAAAGAAAAAAGAAAACTAGTAAGAGAAACAAAGAGAGAACAAATGAACGAAAGAAACAAACAACAACAACAACGATGAAATACAAGAGAAGAACTTCAAGAATAATCAACCGGCAAAATCTGTCACCTGTACAAAGATACTAGGTTTTTTGTTATTGCCAGAAAAAAAGTCCTTTTAATATGAGAAACCATGACTGCAACTGAAGGTGAAGAAGAAATCGAGCAGGTGTAGTTAGTTGTTGCTGGTTGTTGTTGTTGTACTTTGGCCAGCATCTAAATCCAAAATTATTTATATGTTATATCTTAGTATAAGACTTACTGCTTATGTCGTATAAGGCAAGAAGTCGTATATTATATTCACGTTGTATTTGCCGGTGCGATTCAATTTCTACTCGTAATGATTCGATCATGGCCAGTTTTCTGTTCATTTCTAGTGTATTATGTGAGTTTGCATAATTCACAAGTTCGATCTAAGCAAAGAAAATGTTTTTTTTTAAATATTTATTCAACATTTTAGTGTTACTTGATCTTTTATTGAAAGATCGGTTGACATTTTGTTTCAATGTAAGATTAGTTCGGTTTCAATAAGTATTATCATCTGTTGCTTTAACTCCATTGCAGCCGTATTTTTTTTGTTTAAATCAACCAGTGTGTTGATCTAAAAACGGAATTTTTTTTTATTTGTTGTTATATGTGCTCTGGTATTTGGTGTTGCACAGCTTCATCAATATCGTTGTTGTAAACAAAACAATGAAATGAGAATATTAACATTTTAGATCTTTTTACACTTACTAAGTTTATTTCTGATACTGAGATATTACGAAACATGACCTTTATTTTGTTCATCAGATAGGAAAAGATGGGCATATATATATATATATATATATATATATTAACAAGAGTGTTAGACCCCTATCAAACCGAAAAATGTAATGCTTAATCCACCAATACAGTTCACGTTACTATGGAAAAAGACCAATCATATTGCTTAATTCAACATTAAATTTTCGGTGTGATTGACCCCTCAGTCATATATGCGCATGGTCAGTCAGAAAAGTACGTTGAGTATAATAAAAACAAATTCAGACATAATTAGACCGCAATCTTGAGGGTGGGTGTGGGTGTATGTGGGTGAGTGTGGATATTATTTTCATACCACACCCAGACCCACACCCTATTGATTTCGAACAAGATTTTTCTTTATCCTTATACTCATAATGAATACAACTAAAACGAAAAGAAAAAGCAAGGATTACAGATCTAAGTAAATTTATTTGAAAAATAACCAGGTAATAAAAGATGAAAGTAGTCCAACCAAAATCATAGAAATTAATAAATTATGTTTAACTTTATTTATAAACCATAGTTGAGTTAATTTTAAGATTATTTCAACGTCTAAATACAGATAAAATATATATTTAAAAAAATTGTTTTTTTTACATACTGATGTCTTCAAATGCAATTTTATTTACTGGTTCAGTAGATGGTATAATTTGACGAGTTTCTTGTGGATGTTGTTGAATATGTTGTTGAATTTGTTGAGGAATTAATTGTTGAAGTTGTTGTTGAATTTGTTGTTGAATTAATTGTTGAATATTGTTCGGTAGTTGGTGTTGCATCAGTTCATTGTGACTCTAAACAAAACAATGAAATTAAAATATTAATATTTTAGATTTTTTGAAAAGGGTCAGAGAAACTCATCTAGATCTTTCTACACTTACTGAATTTATTTCTGCGACTGATTTATTACGACACATGACCTTTATTTTGTTCATCAGATAGGAAAAGATGAACATATATATATATATATTAACAAGAGTGTTTGACCCCAATCAAACTGAAAAATGTAATGCTTAATCCACCAATACAATTCACGTTACTATGGAAAAAGATCAATCATCTTTCTTAATTCAACATTAAATTTTCGGTGTGATTGACCCCTCAGTCATATATGCGCATGGTCAGTCAGAAAAGTACGTTGAGTATAATAAAAACAAATTCAGACATAATTAGACCGCAAACACACTGAAAAAGGTAATACGAATTAAGACTGAATTGACGAATAATTCATCTTTTTTAGACGATTTATGTCTTAATGCGCCAATCAAATAGCATAATTCAACTTTAAGTTAATTCACTTTTTCAGTCTGATTGAGGCCTGACAATTGAACTTACGTTATTTTTTTTTGTGCCGTTCGTTTTGTTCCTCTGAAGATGACATACCTGAAACTAAAAAAGGTAGATAAAATAAAGGTACATATGTAGAATAGAGTCACTATCTACATACATGAATATACAACCAAAAAAATCACAAAAGTCTCGAGAGTTTTTTAAATACATACCATTTCGCAGAGTTTTTTTTTGCGTTGGTCGGTTTGGTAAAAGCCTTTTCTAATTTCATCAGATAGTGGTAGTAGAACTATCATTATTTGATGAAATTAGAAAAGGTCTCTACTAAACGATCAGCGCAAAAAAACTACAAGATGGCATCTCTTTAAAAGATTTTGGAGGCTTTTATGTCTTTTTGGCTAAGTATCCATATATAGATAGTGTCTCTGTTCTGTGGATGTACCCATTTTGATGCTACATTTGATGATGGATCATTCATTGTAAGCAGATCAACAACCCAGGTCGAGCAATCCGGCACGGAAACGGCCATTTCCGTCCGAAAATGGCGAATTGCCTTAGGGAGTTCCCCGGAAATTCATGGAATCCTGCTTCAGGAACCATCGTCCTGGGAAGAAATACAACTTCTAATGTAACTTTAGAAAGAATACTAACGAATATTGCTTGTAACTGTACGATGAACACACATCTTCTTAAAGTATTAGATTGCTCAAACTTGTGATATATCTTTATTTGTATCTGAACTGTTGCGTTGTTAGTCATCATTCGTTCTGACAAATCGGTTTCTTTTATACGGAATTTTGTCTCTCTACATCGTACATGAAATTCTCATTTAAATTGTTTTTTTCCAAACGAATAATTTCTAACCAAACTAAGCTCTGAACTAGTGGTTAGCTATTTCTTTCCAGGGATATAAATTTTCTTTTCGTCCGACCACGCTGTGAACAAATTTTTCCTCCTGCCCAGGTCATGATTGATTCTTTGCCTCGTTATATAATAGACGACTTCGTCGTTTAGTGACACAAACGATAGCATATTTCTATCTGATAATGATCGTATTAACCCTTTGAGAACCGCTGACGCATACGTATGTGCGTCCTAACGTTTTTTAAATAAAATGTGTTTTTTAAAGAGTAAAGTAAACGAAAAATCTTTAATTTTTTTCAGAAATAAACTGACCTTCAAACCATGGCATCAAATAACGTATATTCAATCGACGATCAAGGAATACTAAAATGTTCAGTAAAATATTTTTAAAAAAAAAATTTTCTTTGTTTAGATCGAACTTGTGAATTATGCAAACTCACATAATACACTAGAAATGAACAGAAAACTGGCCATGATCGAATCATTAAAACAACAAATTGATTCTCACCGTGAAATACAACTTGACTATAATAAACGGCTTATTGCGTTATACGACATAAGCAGTAAGTCTTATACTAAAATATAATATATAAATAATTTTGTATTTAGATGATGAAAACGAAAACAACAATCAACATCAACAACAACTAGGGTGGATGTGGATGTGACTATGGTTGTTTTTGGCTGCCTACTCAACCACACTCACACCCCACTCTCAATTATAACAGTTCGTAAACGATGCGAAAACAGTGCATTTCAGATGGTCTAAACGATCGGCCTGCGTACTATCGAAAACAAATTCAGTAAGTTCAGAAATATCTGTGAAATGCGTTAAGTATTTCAGACGCAATTGTGGCTATGGTTGTTTTTCTGCCTACTCAACTACACCCACACCCACTCTCAAGATCAAATATAGTGGTTAACTATTTCTTTCCAGAGGTATAGATTTTCTTTTCGTCCGATCACGCTGTGAACGAATTGTTTCTCTTGTCGATGTTATGATTAATTCTTTGCCTCGTTATATAACAGACCGCTTCGTCGTTTAGCGACATAAACGATAGCATATTTCTATTTGATAGTGATCGTATTCACCGTGTGAGAACCCCTGACGCATACGTATGTGCGTCCTGACAGGTTTTTAAATAAAATATACTTTTTAAAGAGGAAAAGTAAACGAAAAATCTTTAATTTTTTTAGGAATACTCTGACATTCAAACAATGTCAAACGGCTTCTCGATAGACGATCAAGTAATACTAAAATGTTTAGTAAAATATTTTTAAAAAAACAAATTTCTTTGCTTAGATCGATTTAGTGAATTTTGTAAACACTCAAAATACGTTAAACATGAAAAGAAAACAGGCTCTCATAAAAATACTGGAAGAAGAAATTCAACCACATATACAAGTTCAAAATCAATATAATTCAAGACTTATTGATTTGTACGCAATAAAAAGTAAATCATATACTAAGAGATAATATATAAATAATTTTCGATTTAGATGATGGAAACAAAACCAAAAAATAGGGCGGGTGTGGATATGGCTATGGTTGTTTTTTCTGCTCACTCAACTACACCCACACCCAACTCTCAAACATAACGGTTCGTAAACGATGTGAAAACAGTGCATTTCAGATGGTTTAAATGATCGGCCTGGGCACTATCGAAAACAAACTCAGTAAGTACAGAAATATCTGTGCAATGCCTTCTGTACTTCAGACGCAACCGTGAGAGCCAAAAAAAGAAAAAGGCGGATTTTCCTGAGAATTTAAAAGTATCTAGGATGTTGTTGTTTTGACAAAATAAGATAGACAAGGGTGTGGGTGTGGGTGTGGGTGAGGGTGAGTTTGGGCCAAGAGAACATAGATACCCACATCTACATAGTTTTTCCTACGAAATAATTCTGATTGATCGAATCTCGGTTGTTTACTTTTCTCCGTATCACATAGAATGATATATCTATATATGATAACTCCTTTCCCTTCCGTCATATTGTGTATTATACCAGTCGCTAATGGTATGTCGAATAAACTGTTCAATTTAGACTGATTTTCTTACGTATTTTAGGTGTATTATACAATATTATTAAAATTAATTAACACGGAAATTGGTTGAACATCTAGATTACTACTTTTATAATTCAAGTATTTATAGGCATTTGTATATCAGATATGAAGGAAACGTTCAATTCAATTAATGATAAGAATCAAACATTCACACTAATAACAAAACCCGATAAAATGAACCATATTAAGAAATACAATCGTCTTTATCGAGTAACATAAGCCTATCAATTTTTCTAATGCATTTAACAACTGCAATACTGATAGACTCTTTAACAATCTTCTCGGTTTAATGGGTAACAAGTGGTATTGTAGTGCTAATGACGGAAAATTGCTGTTGTTGCTTAAATCAAGTATTTTCTTGTGTATTTCCTAAACAAAGACATGATCAAAAGGCTTACGTTCCTCTTGTCGAGATCATGATTGATTCTTTCGCTCGTTGTATAATAGACAGCTTCGTCGTTGTATTCACACAAACAATAATATATTACATAGTGATCGTATTAAACAGTACCGTGGCTTCAAATAAGAAACTGACAATTAAACAAGAAGTAATAATAAAATATCTGATAAAATATTTTGAAAAAAAAACATTTTTCTATGTTTAGAATAGCTCGACTATCAAGCTCAATACCAAAAATACTATCATCATGGAAAAAAAAGATGATAAAAATACTGAAAGAAGAAATAGAAACACATATCGAAATTCAAAATGAATACGATACCAAAATTATTGAGCTATACGAGAAAAAAAGTAAATCATATGCTAAAGAGAAATAGTACATAAAATAATTTCGTATTTAGATAATGAAAAAAAATCTTGCGGATGTGGCTAGAGCACACCCGCACCCTCACACACGCAACAAGTGATAATAAAATATTTTACTAAAAATATTTTAAAAACAAAGTTTTTTTTGTTTTTTAGATTGATGCCCTCAATGATATTAATTCAGAAAATACAACAATCATCCATTTCAAAGAAGGCATGATGCGACTATTATCGGCAGAATTGACACGACATTATAGCACAAGAGCAACTTTGAACGGAGAAATTCAAGATTTATACAAAAAAAAAATTAAATCATTTTCTAAAAAGAAATAACATATAAATAATTTTGGGTTTAGTTGATGAAGACAAAGAAAACAAGCAACAACAACTACACTAGCTGCACTTGAGGGGGTGGGTGGCTGTGAATATATTACCCATCTGACACCCGCAGGCACCCAGGTCAAACATATTGATTCGTCAACGGTGCGAAAACGGTGCATTTGAGATGGTCTAAATGATCGAATGCGGATATGGCCAGGGCACACCCACACCCTGAAGATGGTATCGCTTTATTCAATGTCTTTAACAAATGGAATTTTATTAGAAACATTAACAGTATTCCCAGCTGGATGGTTTTTAAGTGCATTAGTTACATTAATAATTGATAAATGTTGCTATTGTTTTGGTCTAATACTGCGTTTATTTTCGAAAAACCCACATCCTCATCATAACTATGAGATTTTATATGATAGTATAGCCCTTATAATATTAGCATTTGTTTGGTTTATTGGTACTTTTTTGTTGCTGTTATATGCTATGATTGTTGTTTATCGGTATGGATATGCATAGTTTTTTTGTCTATCAAATAAAAAAAACATTTCTTTTCAAAATATACTATACTTAAATTAACAATATGGAAAAGAAATTGAATGAACGGCATATTGTTATTATAAATAGAGCTATTTGTGTTGACAACTATTTTATAATAATGAATAGAATCTTACTGATCAACGAAAAATTTCTTTTATTACGAAATCAATCGATATCAATAGAATATGAACAATTATTGTGCATTTCTAATGTGAAAATTTGGATTATTATTTAATTCATCATAATGCTTTACATTGAAACTTTACTTCTTCTTATTGTTTTTGCGGTGCAATTCATAATGCTATTATTCTGCCATTGTCATAGGAGACGTATACGAAATTTCATGCAAAGCAACTAGCTAGACATACTTGATCTAGATAGATATTCGTTTATGCATATATCGCTTTCCTTTACACATGGCTCGATTTGGTAAATAGTGACTATGAATTGACCTATCTCAATTTTCTTCGTTGGTTAATCGAAGCTTCATCACTTCCGTATGTCATAATTATTACCATTTTTGAATATTTTCTATATATGGAAAACTTTCTTGAAACGTATCATTTATTTTATGTCCCTTCAATCATCACAAAAGTACCTTTGTTCATCTTGATGCGTTATGCTGAAATTCACTCTGACGTTTTTCTCAATACGTTGCAAATATCACTCTTTAATGGACTTTGTTATTGGCCTTCGAAATTACATAATTATCAGAAACATATTAAATAGAAAATCAGCATATCTCTTACTCATATATTAATATTTTCCATGCTATTTTTTAAAAGAATTTAAATAAACAAATTCACTAAATAATATCGAATTTTAAACAAATCTTGCATAATCTGCCTCAAGAAAAATTTTATCGTGGTTGCTAAGAATATTTCACATTTGATTGAGAAAATCTAGAACATTCTTGAATGATGTAATGCTGTCGGTGTAAAACTAATCAACTAGACGAATGCCTGAAGAGAAAAGATGACAATTGGAAGAGTGTGCATAGCAATAGAACATTACCCTATAGGGCATCTGTTGGTTATAAATTTTAGACTTATATAAAGAATATGGTTATGAAACTGATTGACATTTAACTAGCTGGTTGTGGCTGACATAGCAAAGAAAGTTAATGAATCTGATTCAACCTTATCCATAATATATGGTGTTGGCAGTTCACTATGAATTGGTTAGTCTGATCGATATAATTCATATGGCGAGTTTTGTCAGTATTTCGTGTTCTTTCATGGATGGCTACAATCGAAGATTGAGTCATCGATAGTAACTAAGGAAGTTTTCAGGCGTTAATTATCGTCATGGTTTCCGATTATTATTAAAAGTGTATGGGCTTAAAATTTGACAGACATCCCAAAGATTCTCGTAGAGAATAACTTCATTTGACTTTCTAGCATATAGCGAACAGAGGATACTGAAATTATAGAAATTCTTCGAGCTTTTGTTGGCAGAGAGCGTTTGTATTTCACTTGCCATGGTAAGAATGGCAAAGATTCTCAAGAAATTTTAAATAGTTTGTAGAACATTTTGAAAATTTTGGCAGAAAGTCGAATATGTTTTGAGATGTTGGATGGGCTAGCTGTTCTGAGTTTCCTTAATCGTCAAGCTCCATTATCGTTTTTCTGCATTTATCGATCTTTTACATCAATTCGAGTTTGAGATGCGCACTCGTCATATTTTGATGATGTTCGCGACTTTTTTCCCAGCCAGAATTGATCCGTAGGTGCGGAGAACAAGAAATCGTCAGAGCATCTTGAAAGTGTAGGTATGAATGTGGATAATATTTTTATACTACACCGCACCTTAATCCTCACTCACACCCACACCCACACCCTCAAGATTTCAGTTGATTTACATGATTCATGATCGTTCATCTAAAACATATGTATTCAAGTTGTCGTATTATTTGAAGCAGAAATACAGAACATATTCCATATTTTACAAACTGACATGCTTGCCACATCAGATCAACAACTACTTCAATTAATTATTTAAGATATTCGATACGATGTGTGTTATACGACAGATATGAATCATTACAAATAATTATTAATATCAGTTCATTATGAATAATGCATAAAGAATCAGAAGTGTATGGAAATAAACTGCTGGTAATGTATTGAGAAGGATTGTCCTGTTCTCTTCATAAAACATACAATGAATTAGATTAATCTTAGATCATTTGCTATAACGTTCATTTCCTATGAATATATTTGTAAATCTTCAAAAACTTCTATTTTAACATCAACTAAATTTGTTGTCTTATTCAGAGAGAAAATAGTGAAGTGTCTTCGCTACGATACAGTATAAGCAAACAAAATATTTTTTCATTAAAACGTTAAGAGATATGAGAAGAAATTAGAAATTGTTTTTTTTATTATTATTATTATATATTAGTCATTTGAAGCTAATTACATGTTTTCATAGTCTCAACCAAGCGAATATAAAATAATGAGGTAAAAAAGTAAAAAAAAGACATGATATACATGTTTTGATTTCTATGTTTCCGTTCAGTTATATGTAGGTTTAAGGAGGCAAGATAAATCTATTTAATTTAACACAAAAAACAATTACACTAGCCAAGCAATGTCCAATAGAAAAAAAACATGATTATTCTTGAAATAAACTATGGTAATTTGACGTCTTTACTGGAGAAAAAACAATTTCTCTCTTTTCTATATTAAACTACTCAGAAGAGAAGAATATTTTTGTATAAAATATAATGATATTTTACTTCTAACGTTCATTTGTTTTTCACTCTATGACATGTCATTCTATAGTTAAAACATCTCTAACTATTTTTTTATATCAAATATATTTTAGATATCAATTGATCTTCTACTATTCACTATTCTTGACGAGTTCTTTGGTATTAACATGTCACTATCAGTATTATCCAATATTCGAACTAGCTTATGGATGTTAATGTTCATGTCTCCTCATTCCATTATAGGTAAGAACTGAAACTATTTTTCTTTTGAAACATACTATTTGTTTGAGTCTCAACAGTAGAAATCTGAGGTTTTATTTTCAGAGATAAATCTCAATGAGCTTCATCCTTATCATAAAACTTTAAAGCGAAAAGACTCTAGACTTTTGTCAAGTAGTGAGATCTTTGTACATTCTACAGATCTACTCATTGTTCTTTTCATTTTAACTCTTTTAATTCTAATAAATACAAACAATCTGAACAAACAAAAAACTTCATGTAAATGAAGTTTAAACGAGCTATTCACGAGAGAATATATTTAAATGTTACTTTCCTGCTGCTAGCAAATGATTTAGATTATTCTATTTGGTAGAGACTTCGATGAATATTTCTGATATCACTGTGTGAACTGCTTTCTAGAAGGGGTGAGGGACGGAAATTAAATATGTTTCATGTCCGTCGTTTATAGTTAATAAAAAAAAAGGAAATTATTGTTACTTGAGTTGTTTTTAAAAAATAATTGAAATATTTGAAGATAAAACAAGTTATAGAGTAGAACAATCAATTTTATCAACATGAAAGAGAAAAAATAATTACATATAAAGCATAGATACTTATGATAAGGATAATGAATTTCTATCTTCTGAGGATTGATCAAATATGTTAGTTACTACTTGGAAGGAAGTGTCCAAAGTGCATAATTAATCATATTATATGTTTTCTACATATATGTTGATCCTTTAGTTCCACTTTTAGATCATTTTTCATATCTATTTTCTTTGTAGGTCTATGGTATAATCGACCGATATTCAGTAGTTGTGCAACATGGAATCCAAATGCTAGTACTTTCACAAATCAAAATACACTTGGCTACTATATTAATGGAATATTTGTTGACAATAATGATACTGTGTATGCCGAGAGCTGGTACAATAGTGTTATCAAAGTATGGCCTAATGCCAGTTCAATTGCAACAAGAACTATTACTGGTGTTAGTAATCCATGCAATTTAGTTGTCTCGATGAATGGTGATATCTATGTCGATAATAGCAACGGGGATGGTCAAGTTGACAAATGGACTTTGAATTCGACGAGTGGCGTAGGTGTGATGAACATTAGTAAATCATGCAATAGTCTCTTTATTGATAGCAATAATACATTGTATTGCTCCCAGAGTGATCTCAATAGGGTAATAAAATTTAATCTGAATGACAACTCAAGCACACCTGTGACAATTGCTGGTAATGGATCGATTGGATCAGCAGCAAATCTACTTAGTAGGCCATGGGGAATTTTTGTTGATACCGACTTCACTTTGTACGTGGCTGATTGTAATAACAACCGAATTCAACGTTTCAAATCTGGTGAAATGAATGGCACGACAGTAGCTGGAAGTACAGCACCAGGAACTATTTCACTTTTATATCCGGCAAGTGTTGCAGTGACTGGAGATGGTTATTTATTTATTATGGATAGTGGCAATTATCGTATTATCAGATCAAGTGCTGTTGGATTTCAATGTGTTGCCGGCTGTTCAATGTTAAGCGGATCAACAGCAGATAAGCTGAACAATGCCCGACAAATAGCATTCGACAGTTCTGGTAATATATTTGTCACCGATGATGATAATCATAGAGTTCAAAAGTTTATTCTTAAATCCAACTCTTGTGGTAAGTTTCAACATATCTGCGTCTTTTTTAAATTAACTTGACTAAATATTATCTGTCATGTGTTATCTTCTGTCTTCATCCTGTATGTAACAAACTCGATTAATGAAAGAATTTCTTTTTTTTCTAAAGTAAAATACATAACTGAATTACTTTGTTTATTTCATAGATTCAACAACTGTCAGAACTTCTACTAAATTGATTACTACTACTACTATATTATCTTCGTCGACAAGTAACTTTACTTTGGATATGAATAATAAATATTATATTTCGTTTTTCTAGAAAAACCAACAAGTGCAAGTGCATCGTCTACTCAGATGATAACTACTACTACACATAGTTCTGCCATCATAAGCAGTGCACCCAAGAGAATGAGCATTAGTCTACACAATCTAATGTATTATTATCTTTTCTTTTCTTTATTGCTGTTCTTTGCCTTTTGACATATATGAAGAGCATATGATCACTCTTTTTGCGTATTGTTATCAATAACTATTTTTCTCTTTTGCTTACTCTTGTGTGTATTCATTTGCTTAAGTACTTCGTATTTGTATGTAAGCATTTCTTGTAACTTTATTGTAACCTGATCTGTACAACAGTATATTTATTCAATAAAGTTATTCCCTTATATGCACAAAATTGAACTGTCAGAGAGAGAAAGAAAACTCTCATCCAGGGTGAAGAGAAGGAAAAATGACCGCTGGTGAACGTATTATTGCTTAACCATCGGTTGTTGTTGTGAGATCCATGAGGATCTACTTAATACTCTGTAAAAAAATGGCACCATAGGGAACCATTAAAGGTTTCAGCGAGCATTCAGAACCTTTTAATGTTTCGTTCTTTTAACAATAAACCATGAAAAGGTTCTAGACACTTTAAAAAACGATGGTGGTGGGTGGATGTAGATGTGGATGTATGGATGGGGTGTGTGTGGGTGTGAATATTATTTTTATACCACACTCACATCCACATCCATCCCGCTTGTGACGGTATTATTCGTTACCTATATTCTTTTTTGCTTCTGTTATGTGTACTTTTATTAATATTATTAATGTCCGTTTTTATGATCTTTATCATCTTCTCTCTTCTTTGTCTATATTGCTCTTAATCACTGCTATTAGCAGTCAACTGTACTTATATTTACTATGAATTGAATTTAGCATTGGATTTTTCCAAACGTTAACAATATACGAATTCTTTGCCTAATATTCATTTTCATCTAATAATAAAAAAGAATTAAAAAAAGTGATGTATTTTCTGCATATTATGATAACTGATCTAGTTCATGAATGAATCAGAGAAATAGTTTATTCTTTCGATACAATAATAACTGTTTATCACAAAATATATTTGGTGAGTTTTAAGATATACAATCGTTTGAATAGTCTGTGAAATGAATGTATAGTGAATGTAGTTGAAAAGAATACTTAAATTTACATCCACACCGTTTAAAATGAAAATGGAGTTTCATTGGACTTGACAAATTCGACACCTTCATAAGTCAAATTGACGATTTGACCATCTGCACGCACATTAAACTTCAAAAACGCGCAGTTAGTTACTTTCCAGCGATATTCAGGTTGAAACTTCCAATGATACAGGATAGCTCGCATGACACCGCCATGACTTGAAAGTAGAATAGGGCCATTATTTACAGATGAAGAATTTGCAATGGAACGAATCAAAGTTCGTACTCGTTGATAAACATCAGAATAGCTTTCAGCAGTGTCATCCCATTTCAAAGACATGTATTCTTCTTGTGTCAGATTATCAAGATTAAAATCTTGTTTTAGATGATCTAGGAGTTCAGTAGCTAAACGTCCTTCCCATGTTCCCATATATCGTTCTCGAAGTAAAGAAGAAGTCTCAATAATCTTTGATTTGTTCTGGTCAACAATTAATTCAGCAGTAGAAAATGCTCGTTTCAGGTCAGATGAATACACTTTTGTAAAATGAAGATCACTGAGTTTTTCTCGAAGTTGTTGAGCTTGAAGTTTACCTTGCTCATTCAATGGATTATCTGTATGTCCTTGAAGTTTTCGCTCAGTATTCCAATCAGTTTCACCATGTCTCACAATGTAGATGTCAGTTGAAATATTTTGAATAATTATTCTTAGACCATGAGCTTTATAACTGTCTTGGATATTTTCAATTTCAATTTTCAATCTAGCAATCACGCTCTTCATCTCGTCGAGTTTCCAGCTCACTTTTCTATCATTGCCTGGTTGATGTGGAGATTGAGCCCTTAAATCGAAAACTAGTCCTGGAATAGGACCATCCAATTGGACATCGTCAATGTATTTTTCTTCTGGATTACCGCGTCCAAAAATATGACCATGGAGAAAAATTGGTTCTTCATGTGTACCTAGTTGAATAGTGCCCGATTTAGGATCAAACGAATGAGCATTGTTACCCATAACTGCATTTTGAGCAATAGGTACAATACGATTGTAAGCTTCCGTAATTAACGCCATCGTTAACGCAAGTCCAATTCTTTCTGATGAGGTGTAATCTCGATTGAATGTAGAGTCCATATGCTCATTGTTGATCAGTCGGACAATTGAACGATATCCACGTTTGTCCAGAGGATTTAAATATACAGCATAATCAGATTGTTCAAAGTTTACGAGTGCTATCACTTTAGTATCATTCAAGGTGAGAGGTTCTAAAGCCCAATGTTGAGGTGGATACAGCCAGGCGTTGGTTGATGGATTACCTGCTAAAAAAGATAGTAATACATTCGAAACCAGAAAACAACACATAAAAATGAATGTATATTCTATAAGTACAATAATTAAATCTCTATCGAAGACGGGCTACTTATTGTACTTGAACAATTTCAGTACATATCTTTCTTTTATTCTTTTACCAAAATAAAAGGTGTCGGTGTGGATACGATATCAATATATAATACCCACACCCGCAGTTTGTCTTTAATATAACTTACCAGATGTTTGTGTAGCCATGTGCTGTATTGATATCTCAATCGATTAACAATAAAAAAATCTCTTGATCTACAAATAAAAAAAAGGAAAAAAAATGATTTAATGGCTAACCTGTTTATGTTGTCCGACGATATTAGTGAGTGGTTCGATGAATGTTACTTGTATATCATTTTTATACCTTCTCAGTTCTCTTTTCTTTGCTTTAAGCGAAAAAAATCAGTAGAATATTTTTTACTATAAGAACGAGCATAATGCTTTGGCTTATTCATCATCGTTCTTTTTCTTCTTCTAAACAAACTGCCATCTTAAATATCCAATCAATGAAAGAACAGACAGAGCGGTGGTAACGTATGGTAGAAATAAATAAAAAAGAGAGAACAAACATATTTATATAAGGAGGTAGTCCTCCAGGTATAATGCAACTATTTGTAACCTTTAAAATAGCATAAGATAAAAATATTGAAGATGTAGATGTGATTATTAAGAGAACACCCACACCCTGGTATCCGAAAATAACCATCAAATATATAGATAGATTTTTAATACATAAATACAAAAAATAATCTTAAATGTATTATGACACAAATATACAAAAAAAACAGATATATTATAGATGTATTAAATCATATTATCTGCCATTGTTTGGATTTAAATTTCCTTTATCGTCTCGCCAGTTTCCATCTAAATCAACTCGACCATATTTATGTGTTGATTGATTTTTATACAAAGCATCCATCCATTCTTTGACAATAACTGGTGAGTCAACCATTGCATTTATTTCCTAATAAAGTACAAAAAGTAAAGATATATAAGTAAAACAATCTAATATTGATTTACTTGAGAATGAAACCAAGATTGAGTATCCATATTACCATTACCCATTATAGCCACTTGATCATCGATAGACATAAATTTAATATGACAATTTCGTTTTTTCTGTGAGAAATTAAGAGGACGTGCTTGATCTATATTATTTGTATATAGAAATATTATTAAATATATTTTAAAAACTCACCTTTTCCAGTATACCAAAATACTTCAAGATAATTTTCTGAACCATCATTTCCATCTTTTAATTTTTTATAAAGTTTTTTAACAACACTTTCATTTGTACCACCTTGAAATGTTCCAAATCCTTCAACTAAATCATTAAAACCTAAATCAAGCCATAATGTGACAATAACTCCACGTCGACATGCACTTATAATTCCTTCAATAGCTGGTGAAGCATTTAATGTAGGTGATTGAATAAATATTGATTTTTTTGCATAACGAAATGCTCCCATCCAGGCAGCATCTTGTGGATTAGCTGTATCTGTATGTCCAGGTGTACCACGTGGTAAACGATTAACTAAAGCTATTGGAATTGGTTTATGTTCTTCATGAAAAATAAATGGAGAAAAATCAGATGCTAACTTTTCTAATTCATCATTCGATAAATTTTCATCGGATCTTGTTTCATGAGCAGATTTTGATGATTTATTTAAATGATGAGTAAGTGGTGATTGTGAACGAGGTGTCAAATCATATCCAATAACAGCTCCAGCAAGATTATTTGTTGCTTTAACAAGAACACTAGGTGAATGAGCTCTTCGATGATTAACTAATGCTTGTATAGCAACTGTTGAAAATCCGTTACCATTGGCTTTTCTTTCATCAGATGTTAATATGAAATTTTCATCTTCTTCAGATGCTAAAGGTGCATGAAGATAAACATCAGATTCTTCTGTTTCTAAATGACATTGAAGTCTTAAACGTGCTCTTGCAATAGCATGTCGTAATGGTTGTTTAATCGATAAAATCTTTGAATTATTAATTCCAAATTTAAAACGATGTATCACGTGTGCTTCATCTTTCAAACAAACGATATTTGGTTCAAATGGTATCCACCATGATATTAGATAAGTATCATAAAATGAATTAACAATATCACCTTCAAAATGTGACATCATTTCAAGATTTGGTCGATCTTGTATATTATTACTATTTAATAAAGCAATTCGTCGATCGACAATCATAAATTTTGCATGAAATGTTCCCATAATTACTCGATGATAATTATTGACTTCAAGAGATATATTTGGAATTTCGTTAGGTAATGGAATATCATAATCTGACCATTTACTTGGTGGTAGTTTATTATGGAAATGTGTTATATTTTCTTTTGTTGGATGATCAATCATTAATTTAACAATAATTTGACGATTTTCATCACCAGCACGTTTACTTAAATCTCTTAAAGCTTTACCAATAATATTAACACTTTCACTTTTTTCCCAAAAATTTGTTGCTAATAAAACTTCTTTTTTTGCATGAATAATACAATGATAATAATGTTGCATTATATCAGGTATTGTAGAAATAATTGTTAATGGTATAACACCAGATGAACCTATTAAACTTGGTGAAACACGACCAGCTAATGGATCTCGTCGTAATGTACATAGAACATTATGAAATAATTTAAGAAATAATTCACTTGGACGATAAGGAAATCGTCCAAAATTAGCAGCAATATCTAATTCATTTTCAGTTATTTCATGTTCAAGGATTTCATGATTTATTCGAGGTCTTAAATGTCGTAATGGTTTATTAAATAGAATATCTGCTGCATCTTGTGGACTTTTAACAACTGGTGGTCCACATGATAATACTGATGTTACCGTTTGCCGAGATAATTTATCAATTGATGGTAAATCTTCATCGTAGTTGAATATTTTTGTTGACATCGTGTTAGACGTTTGATAATATTTTATTCATGTCTTTTGATTCTATATATCTCATCGTAACTTTCTTTTTTTTTTTTGATTCTTCACGGACGTGACGAAGAAAATAACATACAATCGAAGAAAAGAAAGAAAGAAAAAAGCAGAAGCAGAGATTAGTAAGTATGATTATTTATTCAGTGAATAAGTGCCTGTATTAATAATATATATCTAGAAAAGTGTGCAAGAGAAAACTTATCGTTAATGTGTATGAGTAAGCAAAGCAATATAATAAGAGCTACAATTAGTAACGGAACATCACGTAGCCAATGTCAATCAAAAGAAAAGATAAAAAGTGGTGTGTCATAATGACGTATTTATATCCGAGCTAGTGTGAGACTGTTTTTCCTGTTCATAGACTTTCGCCTACTACCTGAAAAAGCAAAACTAATAATTACCTTATGTGCAATATGTGTGAAAAATCAATGAAAGAGTAGGCAAATATTATCGTTTAATTACTTATACTTCCTGTTTATTGAATATACGAGAAGGGAAATAAATATTTACTGTATAGACAATATTTTGAAAAAAGAATCAATTGAAACTTATAAAATTGTATCAATTTTAAGAACCTAAATATGATAATGACACTACTGATCAGTGTTTACATAGTTAATGTAGAGAATGTGTTGATTTAAGCTATGTGATACGGCGTACAACTCATATCTAGAGCATCCAATTTTATTGCTTAGAATTTACGATGTTAATCCATTTTCTCGTTTATATCTTCTTGTTCTTCTCATCGTCATATAGTCAAGTAATTACCGGATAATCAAATTACGTATATCAGCGACGAGCTACAAACATTAATATTTTGTGAATATTATTATAAATTACATATGTAGATATAATCACTAGAGAATCGAAGTGTGTTCAAATAAACAGAAATTTTTAGTATGAAAATAATATTTCCATAATTTATTATAAAAAAATACAAAAAACTCATATTTTAAATAACAATATTGTGAATTCTTCATAGCGTCTGTACAACATAGAAGACATCTTACACATTTAATTTCATGAAAAGCCAATCACATTCCATTATTTTACAGAATTTATCTGAAGAAAAGAAAAGAAAATTTACTTGTTAATTTTTTGCAGAATCTCAAAAAAATAAATTCTCCTACGAATGATTTTCTAATAGAAAACATCTAACAAACTGGATTTACTTTTCACATTGGTGGAATCAAGATTTCTTATTTTTTTTTTGATGTCATACATATGACAGAAATCTCGAACTGATCTTAATGAAACTAAAGTTTTCTTGTGTAAAACATATATAAATATGTACAAATAACAGATTTAATTGGTTTGATCATGTTGTATAGGTTGAATTTTTCGATTAAGAATAATATCAATTGGATTTCGAATACCAAGCATAAGACATAATAATTCTGTTTGAGGATTGTTTTTTCTTAATTGTTCAATATCAACTGGAGTATTACCAATACCTGGTTTATGCACAGGACCAGTTGGCTCAAAGATTTCAGGAATTTCAAATGTATTTGAAAAATCATCACGTATTTTTTGAAAATTTTCTTCGTTTGGAGTAAATGAATTTTGTGATAATGGTGGTAAAAATGTATTTGTACGTTGAACATGTAATAGATGATCAGTTTTACTTAATATACATAACCATTCAGGATCAAGAGATAAACGATTTGTTGGTGATGGTAATGGAGTAGTTGGTTCAATATCAAGAATCTATGATAGATTTTCAAAATTTTTAGAGTGAGAAAGTTTCTTTTCATTTTTCTTACCTGTAAAAAATCTCTTCCTGGTAAACATTTATCTAGAGCAAGAAAACGTGTTGATTGTCCATTTGTATGTTCAACTAATGCAGCAAATTTAACATGTAAATGTGCAGAAAACCAATATTTTGGTTGTACTTGAAGTAAAGCTTCTTCTAATGGTTCACTTCCAAGTTTATTTGTATATATATCATCATGAAAATATTGTTTACGTTGTAATAAACGTTGTGTATCACCATACCAAACAATTCCTCGTGGCCAATCATGTGATATCATGATATCAATTTTACCTTGTTGTAATTGTTTGATTCTATATACATCTAAACTTCTTATATGATAAATTGAACGAATAGTTTTCTCATCAAATGGTGGTAATTCATAATGACCTAAATTATAATCGTGAGGTTTATATATTCCAGATAAACCACCTATACGTAAACCATTAAAATTCACAACATTTGCATAACCCATATAATAAATATTTGGTGCAACCCAACCACCATATGGTAATTCAATAAGAAAATCACTAGATTCATGATTACCACCAATAAATATTGTAAGAACTGGTGCACGTTTTTCACCAGAATAATAACGCCAAAAATCTTGCATGGAACGATATTTTGGTGGAACAGCCATTGATTGTAAATCATGTTCATTTCGTACAGCTTGAAAATCACCACAGATAAGTAGAAGATCAATTTTAATTTGACGATCAGTTTCAATTTGATTTATAGTTTCATAAATTCGATCTAATTCACCATGACAACAACCTTCAATAGCTATTTTCATTTTTGTTTTATTATCTAGAAAAAAACCAATGAACAAAAACAATTGAATACTTAATACTATAAAACAAATTAAAATTTAACAAGTTTTAAACGTTTTAATGATTTTTTTGTTTTAATAGGTTTTTCTTTTACAGCTTCGACATTATCATCGATATTATGAGTAGTAGGAGTAAGACAAGGTAATTCTTGATCATCAATTCCTACAAAAAAAAAGAAAAATAAAAAAGTTCAAATACCATATAGATCTTACCTTGTTTTTTCATTAATGTTGGGCAATCTCTTTTGAAATGTTGTATAGAACCACATTCATTACAACATCCACCATTTGGATATAAACCATTAGGATTATTTGGACATAAACGTGACCAATGACCTTGTTTACCACATATAAAACATGTTGCATAAGCAAATGAATCACCTTTAACTGTACATGCATTTAATCGATGTTCTGTTGAACCACATTTATAACAAATACCAGTTTTTACTTCACGTTTCTTTTTTTGTTCATCAGATATTTCTGCTGTACAGTCATTCATTGAATGTCCTGCTTGTCGACATCGAAAACAAATCTAAAATTTATATTATTTTCACATATAAAATTTGATTTTATCGTTTTTTTTCAATTATAAACCTTTTTTAATTCACGTTTACGTTTCTTTTCTAATCGTTTTGCTTCTTTACGTTTACCATCTTCAGTCACTGTTTCTTTTAATTTTTCCCATGGTGTTGCATTCTCACCAGCAGGTTTTCTTTCTTTTTTATGTTTTGCAAATCTAGTCATCTAGAATAAAATTGAATAACTTTTATGTTTTTGTTTTCTTTATTATAACGATAAATAAAAAAAAGAAGATTTCTCTCTATAAATATGTTTTTTTATGATTTAAACCAGATCTTTTGAACCCAATCATATACTTTCTTTAAATTTGCTCCAGTATCACCATCAGTTTCATCACCGGTACTAATAATATCTTCTTCATCATCATAATGTTTAGCATATGATGTTCTTTCATTACCTAAGACTGAACCATCAACAAAGTCAATTTTGATATCTTTGATATCATTAAATTCGAATGTATCCTTTCCAACTTGACCAATATCATCATTTGATCCACCTTTACCTTGATGTACAGCTACAGATGATGCACGTGTTCTACGTTTCATTGTTAATTCATTTTCAAGTAAATGACGTATTGATTGTATTGTTTCGTTATCATTATTTATATCTTGTTTATTACAAAATATTAATAATGGTATACGTTGTTGACGAAAAGATTTTTCACTTAAAATATCATAGAGATAATCCGAAACATCTTTACTATCTTCTTTAACTGTTGTACTATCAATAACAAATACTATTGCTTTAGCTGAACTTTTCTCAGCAGTAAAATCACGTTGACGAATACGTAAATTACCGGGAATGTCAACTATATGAATTTCTTTTGATGGACGATCTGCTGATGGATTTTGAAGAGTCATTGAACCACGATTAACAGCCATAGATGTTAATGTTCGTTTAGCTATACCCATTGTAAGACGACTAAAAAGTGCGGTTTTACCAGAATTTGATGCACCACATAGAACAAGACATTCACCACGATGAGCAGCTGCACGACGACCTTTTGCCCACCATAAAATAATTATTGTTGCAAATACAACAAGGAATGCCATAATAATTGTAAGTGGTAAGACATCAGAACCATTATCAATAAATTCACGATCAGCATTGCTATAAACTGGAGTTTTTCTTTGACTATCCATCTCTGAAAATAAAATATAGAAAGATTATATCATGATGAAATTTCACGTGTCTTGTCAGCAATGTAATATTCAATTAATAAGGTAACTTCGAACCTTTGCTAGATAATACGAACACGAAATTACAGCTACGATATTTTTTCCTTTTGACGCATACAATCCGTATTTTACAGCTTCAACGAATCATATGTAAAGATTAATTGATAACAATAAACTAACAAATTTTGAAAAATTAATTTAAATATTCAATAATAATAAAAATGAATTGTTTCTATTCATAAAATTTTCTTTCTCGATAGATGTCAGGAATATAAATTTAAGCATTAGACAAAGATCCAACGGGAGAATAATAAACAAACGGAATAAGTTATTATTATTAGTGTGTGTTTTTCTCTATATTTCATCCTAGTTTTTACGTACATTTCTTAATAATGTCGAATAGTTTTATCGGTAGTAAAATTGCAATTATTACAAAATCTCAATGCCGATATACTGGAACAATAATTGGTAAAAAAAAATTATTTATTTTTAAAATAAAAACTAAAAGAACTTTTTTGTTTCTTTTTATTTATTAAGGCATAGATGCTCAAGCATCATCGATACTTCTTGGAAATGTTAAATGCTTTGGTACAGAAAATCGTGGCGGAAGTTTTTCTAATAATCAAATGCCTGGTACAACTGTACCGATTATGCAATTTGCTAATAGTGATATTGAAGATTTAAAAATTGTTGATGAAGAACAACAAGCAGCAGAAAATTCATCCCAAAAACAACAACAATCATTACATTCTATGCCTGTTTTATCATCACCACCAGCATCAATGCCTAAAAAACAATCATCAATTCATGATGATCCAGCTATTGTATCAGCAGTTGTTAGCTCGTCGAATAAGGATTTATCTAATTCAAATCGATTATTACATGATCTTCATCATTTAGGTATATCTGATGATCATTCAAAAAAATTACCAAAAACTGAAGGTAATAGATTAATCTACTTCTAGTAAAATTAGTTATAGATGAATCAATGTTACTAATATTTTCATTGATCTTTAATGACATTGATGCTCTGGAGAATAGTATCAAGAAGATAGTAAAGAAGAAAAAAGAACTATCGTCACAGTTCCGATAGAATTCAATTATGAATTACGATAGACATGATGTGATACTTCATAGGTCATAGATGACAAGCTAAAATAGATGTCAACTATATTAATTATGATTCAGAAACAGAATTGATCTGATCAAATTTGGTTTGTTAATTGTTAATTAATTATGATAACGACCTTCTACAAATAATATATACCAATTAGATCTATATTTTATAAATTAACTTTAATCATATTATTTACTTATAGAATCTCGTCTTCGTACTGATTCCGGTGAACTTGGTCCATCATGGTCGTTATTATCTTCATCAAAATGGGATAATAATAAATCACACAGTCAACAACAACAACCGCATCAACAATCAAGTAATAAAAGCAAATTTTTTGATGATTTTTCATTAAATAATACTGATCAATTACAATCAAATCATTCTCACCAACAATGGCCATCAAATACACATTCAACTCAAACATCACGTCATCAAAATGCACCTTTTAATGAACAAGAAGATGATAGTAGTTTACCTGTTCGTCAACCATTTTTTTCCACTGATACTCGATCTTTTTCTCATGAACTACAACCACAAAATCGTTATCAAAATGGTAATATGCAAAATCAACAAAGACCTTCTTATAATAATAATAATAATAATCGTCGTCCACCAATGAATCATCAACAATACCAACAACAACAACAACGACGTCCAGGTGGTGGAAATCGCGAAACATTTCATGATAATGGCAATAGTTATGAAAATGATTTTGATTTTGAAACAAGTAATCGTAAATTTAATAAAATAGTCAGTGAAGATGAACTTAAACAACAACCAGAATCACCAAATCATTTCTTACATTTAAATAATAGTCCCAGTTTAAACGCTGAATTTGAACCAATATATGATAAAAGAAAATCATTTTTTGATAATATTGCACCTGAAGACTCAGCCGATCCATCTGCACCTATGTACAATCGTTCTAGAAATCAAGATACATTTGGTAATGATAGATTTCAACGTCAAAGAGGTCGAGGAGCTGCTGGTGGTGGTGGTGGTGGTTATAGACGATCAAATAATAATAATTATCGACAACAACAAGGAAATGAGGATTTTTATTATCGACAAAATAATAATGGATATAATTATCGCTATTGACTTCCTTTCTTTTCTTCTTCTTCTTCTTCTATTGCAGTGATTGTTTCTCATATTAAAAGGAAAAAAAAGACATTTTTTTAACAATTTACTTTTCTCCCTTTACTTCTTTTGTATAGATCTGCTCTCTCTTTTGTAAATCTTATAGTGAGAGTATGATTAAGACTTTTTTTCTGGCAATAACAAAAAAACCTAGTATGTATGTACACGTGACGGATTTTGCCGGTTGATTATTCTTGAAGTTCTTCTCTTGTATTTCATCGTTGTTGTTGTTGTTGTTTGTTTCTTTCGTTCATTTGTTCTCTCTTTTTTTTCTTACTACTTTTCTTTTTTCTTTATTCTCCAGACTAAACGCTACTTTTAGCGTAACTACATAGATTCTTCAACTTGAACACAGAAAATCCTATTTATTGTTGTCGTCTTTTAATCGTGCATATTTTTGTGTGTGTATTTGTATAAGAGTAAAAGCGATGCGCGATGTAACCTACTCAGGTGAATGATGAAAATTGACAAGAAAAAGAAATAAAAATATACAGCTAAACATCTTCCAACCGAAAAGAAAACCAACTTTTTGTTTCTGATAGGTGCTGCAACGGTGCTGCATTATCGATTTATTTTGTTCAACAGAGAATAGTATATATATTTATATAATGACATAATTAGTAACAGAAACACTAAGAACGTGTTGTACATAATTAGAGATAAGAACATCATGATTATGTATATTTATACAAGCAAAAGAAAATGAAAAAAGAAAAAGGGTAGATTGCATTACTTGACCAATGTGCCTTTTACACAATAAAGTACACCTTTACGTGATGAACGAGTGATACAATGATCCTAAAATAAAAGAAAAAAAATATATATATATACAATTGTGATTGATGAGCTGCATTTAGATGAAGAAGCATCTTTTTTAGAGAAATTTATCATTACAATTCTTTACTATAACAGTTTGATCTTCTAGATAGTTTTATCTGTCAATGTTTATTATGATAAATAAGGTCAATCTGACATGTCTACAAGCTACGATGATACATTACATTTAATATCTGTCTTTTATCACGAGATACAATTACTATAAATATCACATGCAAAAAAAAATAGAATCGATCTTCTACTAATATGTCATACCTTCACAAATTTTTTGACTTCCTGCACAGGAAATTGTTGTGTTTGATTTTCTTGTTTAATACGAGAACGTAATTCAGTAAATTGAAAACTATCGCATTTTTCGAGAAGTTCAGCAACATAACGACGAAGCTAAAAGAATACTTAGTTTTAAAAAACATCGTATTAAAACTAATTTTACCAAATCATATTTGTCACCCATTTGACCATTAATGAAAACTGGTTCTTGTTTAAGATTTTTTGGCCACTGCATAAGAAAATGTTTTCAAAAGAGTTTTAAATTATACAAAAGAAAAATTCAAAATATAAACCTTTTTATTTACATATATTGCTCCGATTTCAGCAGCTGCACGAAGTATACTTGATTCAGTGACACCAGATGCTAGTGGATGACCAGGTGGTGATGAGATTAATTCAAGTTTAATGGCTAAAATATACAAAAAATAAATTTTAAAGAATTATATAATTTTTGTTTTTCTATTTTACCAATATTAATTTCACTTAATTTAAAGTATGGTCGATAACCAAACCGTCGTTTCATAAATGATAATAATTCATTTTGTATTGTTTCAGGAAGTTGTTTAATCATAGTCTTAGGTAAGGAAACAGAAGATAAAGGTGTACTTGTCGTAGTTTGTGCTTGTTGTTGCCCAGAATTTAATGTAGCACTTGAATCTGTAGATTTTCGACTCAAAGTTCGACCTATGAAAATAAAAAAATTTATTACGATTACATTTTTCCTTTAATTTAATCGTGTACTATACTTTTTCTCGTAGTTTTCTTTGTTGTTGGATCCAGTTCAGTTTTTTTCTTCTTTTTTGGTTTTGTCGGTGGGATAATCAATGGTTTTTGTTCAGTAGGAATAATATTTGATTCAATTTGAACCTTGTCTTTTTCAAGTGGAATATCTAATAAAATTTGTTTATCAAAAAATAATAATTGAAAATAATCTTGAATAGAAACAGTTTTTCTCCAACGAATAGGTAAACGATTTCTTTCCATATTATCCATCATACTCCATTTTTTTCTTAATTCAATAGATTGTAATTCATATGATGAATAATAAGCTAAATCAATCCATCGTTCTTCATTTCGTGCACGTTCAATATAATTATATGATCGCATTTTTTTCTCACGTTGTAAACGTCCTTCAGGTCTCCAAAATTTCATTGTTACAAGTTCATTCGAATATTTTTCATTTGTTTCTTCATCAGTTGTTGTATCATCTGTATTTGAATTTGATTGTTTATTAAAATGAATTTCATTTTCATTATCAACATCATCATCAATCGAAATGGATTGTTGAGCTAAAACTGATGATGTTGAATCAAAATCAGGTCGTAATTGAAATATTGCATTTAATGGTGATAATTGAATACCATTTGGTGTTAAAATTCCTGCAGCAAATCGTTTATAATTATCTCCATATGTTATATTTGTTGATGATAATGTTAAACGATCAATTGAATTAATTTTTTCATTTGTTGATGATGATGTCCAATTATCAAGAACATGATTTTCATTTGTTTTACAATGAAAATTCGATTCTATATCAAGAGTATAATCAAGTTGAACAAGTTTATTTTTAGGTTTTAAACGTGCACCAATAAATGTCGAATTATTTTCAAATTGAAGATGATTTGGACGGAGTGGATATTGAAATAAATATAGTTGATCAGCAAATAAACGAGTCAAATATATGTCAACCTAAATGAATATTAGAAGAATTTGATATCTCATCAATATAACTTTCATGAGTACATTTCTAGGACTTAAGTCAAATGTGAATAACAGATAAGTATCAACGACATTGATGACTAAGCGCAATGAGATAAGTACAAGGTGAATTAACAAAATTGATAATAACTAGATAAATCGAATAAAATGTCATCAGATAACTAAGTTTGCATTTCAACCTATTGGCAAGGTGTGAAAATATTTGTATGAAAGTTCAGAAAAGTCTTTCGGGTTCTATAGATGTCTTCTCATGTCAGATTTTCTTTCTTACTTCAGCTATAAGTGGATCATCATCTTCATTGATTTGTACATTTTGATTCTTTTCATTATCATCCACTAATATTTCACAGTCGTTATCCATAGGACAAATTATCCGTCGTCTTTTTTCGTTCGACGATTTTTCTTATTAAAATTGTCAAATATATCCATAAAAAAATAATAATCTATAAAAAAACATTAATGAAATAAAAATCAAAGAAAAAAAATCGTCTTTTTTTGTGTGTTCTGGTCTTTTTTTTTTTCTATGAAATAATAGACAGAAAAAATTGAAATGCTCTTGACCGGAAGATGTATCATTTACAGTAATAATAAAAAACAAACAAACAAATAGAGAGAACAAAAAGAGTCATCAAGAGTTAGAATATTAATAATTAGTTATTGCTTTGGGATACTTGACGCAACGGTTCTTGAAGATATGATGACAGAGCATCCATCTAAAATCATTGAATAGTACTTAAAAAAAATTATTTTTTTAATAAATTTACTTTTGCTTTCAACATTCCTAATTGTACATTGGTTTTTGACACCATGCAAACAAGTTGTGTAGCTACAGCAGCAATTGCCATTTTTCCTTCCTAAATATTAAACATAAATTCACAGAAAAAACATAATATAGATTAAAAACTTACTTCAGCATCAAGTAAAATCATATTCAAATCACCTGAACCAACAACATTTTGTGGAAGTGCTGCTCCAGGTGTTTGTCGAACACGTTGATGTGCAGCAAAAATACTACTAGCCATTGCAGCAATTATTTTTGCATCTTTTGCTTCAAATCCTGAATAAGCCAGTAAAGCTCCATCACGTGTCAATAACCTTTAATATAAAAATTCTTTATTAAATCTTGTCAAACAAAATAGGATAATAACATACACAGTTGACTGAATACCTCCGTTAGTTACTTGAGCAAGTACTTCACTCAATGCTTTTGGTTTTAACATTATTATCTGAAAAAATAATTTAACATTCATCATTGATTCAAACTTTTCGATTTATTATAATATAAAATATAGATCAAAGATTTTACCAGTATCTTCGAAATATAACATTCGGAGATATCTTATTTAGTCTCAATCTTTCTTTGTTGTTAGTCATATTATTAATTGTTCTCCTTGTTAAAATAATTATTCCCATTAAAAAGTTTTTCTTAGTTTCTTTGTGTATACTAAATGCGTCGATGATATGAATACACAACCTTAGAACAACTATTTAATAGATCAAGTATAAAACATAAACAATAGAAAGACGTTCATTGATATCAAAATGGGTATCACAAACAATATATCACAGGTAACAACCTCGTTTCTGTTACATTTTAATCCAATTGTAATAAAGATTTATTTACTTCTTTTTTTCGATTTATTGGTTTTTTTCGAAGCTATTATTTTTTCATTTAGATATACAATATATATAGCTTTCTGTTTGAATAACAAGGTTTATTTATTGCGTATACGTAAAAGAGGTGTAGCTACTCATCCATGAAGGACGGCATACGTCTCAAATTTTTTCATCTTAAAGATTCGCTTTAAATATTAATCATTTTTGAAAAAAAACAAGACATTCATTCTTTAATATTTTACTGCATCGAATAAGTTATTTTTTTCGTTATAATTTAATAAAAACAACCAACTCATCAAATATTATAATTAACACCCTATAAAAAGCCTTGCTAGTAACGTATTGTACGAACAGTTACATGTCCTTGTTTTTTTCTCAATGATTACCTTTTTTCTCTCCTTTTTCTGACGATCAATCACTCTTCTATTTCTTCGACATAACATATCCTCGAGTAATAATAGATCGGCCTTTGTACAACGAAACGATCAGGATCGAAAATATATATATTTGAGAACCTTCATAGTCAGAATACATAAAAAATAGGATGCATCACTATTCTTATTTTCTCATGAATATCTAACTTAATTAGTTTTATTCAGATCTGAAAAATGATTTCATCTGATGTAAATACATATCAATCGCAAACAAATGATAATCAACACGTATTATCTAATTTAATATCATCAACATCAATTAATCCCATACAAACAAATGCAGAATCAATCCTTATGCGAGCACTTCCAGCACCTCTTGCTGCTCCAGCGGGATGGCGTAGTGAAATTATTCATTCAAACTCTCCTATACCAACCGATACTGCAATTAATCTAAGTAGTACAAATACCAGTTATCAAAACGATCTTGATGGACCCTATAAAATAATAAATACTACTCGTACTGATCAATTATCGTCAGGATATATAGGTAATAGTAATGAATATTTGAGTACATCGGTAGGTGGAAATGTATCACAACAGGGAAATTCATGGTCAAGTGGAAATGCATATGTAGATGGGTATGCATCAACAGGTGGAAACATATTACAACAAGGAAATTCATGGAAAGGTGGAAATACATATGTAGATGAACGTGCATCAATCGGTGGAAACATAACACAACGTGGAAATACATATATAGATGAACATGCATCAATCGGTGGAAATATATCACAACATGGAAATACATGGACAGGTGGAAATATACTTAATCGAACTAATACTGTATTAACTCAACAACAACAACAAAACATAATAAATACTGTCGAACATCAAAATCCTCTTATTATTCGTAAAACACTACCAAATAATACTGTTACATATCAACAAAATGTTTCTGTAAGATATTTACAACCACCAACACCACCACCACCAGGACCAATTATAATTCGTAACTAGAAAATTCTCTTTGATATTTTTCTTAAACTACATTTTTCCTTATTAGGTGAAGTTCGTCCACCACCACCACCTCCACAATCTCCAATTCAAGTATTTCTTATTAAATCTAAATTCTATTGTCAACTGATATTTTCTATTACTTTAGATTCGACAACGTGCTCCACCAGCTCCTACACCACCACCCATAGTAATTTCAACTAAGTTTTCTTAAAAAATAATAAAAACCAATTTCTCAATTTGCTTTTAAAGATCCTTCGAGAACGACCTCCTCCACTTCCGCCACGAGACGCAGAAAAAGTAGTTGAAAAACTATTACCTCCGCCACCGCGACCAGAGCGTCGTGTCATTGTCGAACGTTATGGAGCATGCCCACCTAAACCATCTGATGTTATCATAGAACGTTGGTTACCTTATAAACAAACTGGTGAACGACGTGTTGTTGTCCAACGAGCACCAACACCTTGCATGTATGAATCTTATTGCTCTTTAATCTTTTGATTTCCCTATATTCTATTTTTAGACGACCAGCAGAACCAAACTTATTAGTCTTACATGATTCACCTCGTGCATGTATTCATAAAGAATATATAAATCAAGGAGTTGTTCGAGCTGACCCTGATGATTATGTTCGACAATATGGAGCTGATCTTGGTACATGGCATAGGGATTCGCGACATGCACATCTAGTAGATGAAGCTAGTCGTGCTATTCCACCTCCGTTTATATCTAGTGGTCATCATCATCAACGACATGATTATCGCGATTACTATTCGGATGGATATGAACGCTCCTCCTCACCATGCGTACAATCAAGCACTTGGGAAAGATCGAGAGTATTATCACCAATTCCTCGCTGTGCATCTTATCATCATGACACGTCATGCTATGATACATCTGATTATGGATATGATTATCGTCGTTCTCACGACAATTGTTACAGAGAACGTGACAGTTATCTAACATGTAAAGATGTAACACCCTCATGGAATCGTCACTGTCGTTCTTCATCTTATGATAGATATCCATCAAAATATTCTTCATATTCCTCATATTGTCCTTCGGATACAATTCGTGTTGGTTCCGATAATGAATTTCATCGTGTCATGAGCGATCTAACATGTGGTCATGCACCATCTAAACTTCATTGTTATTAGAAAATAGACAATAGAAAAATTTATTGTTATTTTTCCGCATATGAATCTCTCTCTCTCTCTCTCTATAGAAAAGGTATCAGTTAATTGAAACAAAAAAAAAGAGACAATTTTTTTTCTTCTCTTTTTTCTCTTCATTTTTATGTAGGTTGTTGATTTCGAGGTTGTCTAAGAATTTTTCCTTCACCTGTAAATGGTTGAAATAGATTCGAAGATTTTCTTTCTAACTTATTATTTATATCATCATTTAAATATCGTAATGGTGTACGAGGAAATTGTAACAAACCATATTTATAATTATAATTTGGTATTCCACGTATTGGTAAAAATTCCATATTATTTTGTTCTGATTTATCATTAGGTTTTAATTTATCATTTAAAAAATTTTCTAAACCAACAGATGATATTAATGTTGACGGATTTATATATATTTTTTGATCATTAACAGTTGTTGAAATAGATTTTGCATCAGCAGGTAAAGCAAAATCAACTTCCATATCACATTCAATTATTGAAACAACATTTGAAGGTTTTAATTCCAAAACTAACAATTTATAGTTACGATTAAGATAATTTATTGTAATAAGATCACCTTTAGTTAAACAACTAAAATTTCTTAGAAGATTTTCTAACACAGCTTTTGGATTTGTTAAATTAAGAAAATCTTTTTCTTGAGGTTGAAAACGTGCAAATTTTGCTGATGGTAATGGATGCATAGATTCAATAATTATTTCATCACCTTCATCTAATAATAAATGTTGCATCATCCAATGTGGTAAATAACAAATTGGTTCATCACTATGTAAAAATTCTAAAACACCACAATGTGTTAAACGATCATTTTTAGGATTTTTTAATTTAAATAACATAACTCTTGTCTAAAAAAATATAATATTTTTATAGGAATTAAAAAATTTTTTATTATTTTACATGATCAATTAATTGTTCTAATGCTGCTTGTGGAAGTAGAATTTTACCACCATTTTCAATATTAATATCATCTCGATCAGCTACAAATGCTGGTGAATAACATTGATATACAGCATGAAATTGATTGTTAGAATCAATATCGTTTTCATCATCATCAGGACGAGTGTCATAGTACTGATCGTCGCTGAAAGACATGAATAATCTAAGTAATAGAAAAAATATATTGAAGATCTATATTTAATACGAAAATTTAGAATAATTCATTAGAATGTAATAAAATCTAATTACACTTACAACGTATTTGCTATTTAATTATTCGAAAATTGCCGAAAAAATATGTACAATATGTTAATCATCCATCGAAAACAAGCGAGTTTTCTATATTGGAAGTGACTATTCGATTAGACATATTAAGCATGAAATATAGATTCATATCTACGAATAAAAATATTCAGTACCTGACAAATTTTAATTTATACTACTCATTCTCAATAAATAAAAAGCATTGATTTTCAAAAGTTCCCAAATTCCGTTTTTGACCTGAAAAAAAGGTTTTTTATTTAAAAAAAATTAACATATTTTTATAATCTATGAATACTTTTTTAAGATATTATAGGTACATAGTGTCTTAAAAGCTGTACATCTACTGTCTCACATGTGTTGTTTAAATCTCACTAAAAGTAAATATTATCTTCCAATACTCAATTGATCATATGGTCTTATAACTTGACAAAAGTCCAAAATTTAGTGAAGATGATAGATGTCACTCTATTAAAACTTCGTACTAAATTTAAGAATAAACTAATTTAAGAAAATCTTTTATCTTTTAAATAAAACGGTTTTTTTAAAATTTCCAAGAAAAATATAAAATTCTCCAATAAAATTTCATCTGATAAATCCTCAGTCGTGAACAAAAAAATTCTGTCTCATCAATACACACAACAGAGGGAGCCAGTCATATTTATTTTATAAACATCATATATTGTGTCCAAGAGGAGAGCGTCGTGGCTGCCTTCTTTAGTTTCCTTGGATATTTATTTGAATATTGAAAAAAATCAAATTATTTAGATAAAAAGTTAAATGCAAAAACATCATCAACATCTTGTTCGGCCTTGTGCCGTTCTTGTTGAACGTTTAAATAATACTTTTATTCCATCAAAACGTTATAAAGTCGATGCTGATATTATCTATCGTTCATCAAATAATGATCAAACATCAAATCCACATGATGAATTATCTGTGGATGTTTTAATGTTACCAAATAATAAAGTTAAAATATCATCATCATCAACATTTGAAGATTTATCAACAGATACAACAAATCCAAACATAACAACTGATGATATTAAACCAATTGTACGTATACGTCCACATCAATCATCAATTGATTCAATTGATTATGATACATCAACAATAAAACGTAATAATTCTCAAGCAACAACATCACGTTCATCAAATAAATATGATAGTGATTCATATTTATTTAATGGTCCATTTGATTCCGAAGAAGAACTTGGAATGGATTTAAATGATGATGAATTAGCATCAATACATCGTGTTTTAGATTTTGATGAAGATGATATGTCAAATTTTGATGATGAAAATCCGCAATTATCATCAACAACAGGACCTGGTTATCATCCAGCACAATTACCTGATTTAGTTATGGGTTCATTACGAGCTGATAGTGATGTTAAATTTGAACCATCATTTCAATATAGTGATTTATTTAATCGTAAAGGACGTACATTTGTATGTGATGAACGTGGAAATCGTGTTGTTTCAGTAAAACTTGATAAAAACTCAGCAAAACGTTTAATTGATTCGATTGAAAGAAATTTAGGAAGATTAGTTTTAGAAGAATGTCGTCGTGGTGATTTACAAGCACATATTTTAAAAGTAAATCATTATTTTTTTTTCTATTTTCTAATAATTTTCTCTTCGTTTTTTTCTGAAAGGTTGTTTTTAAAGATGAACAAGAATTTTTTGATTTTAATCGTTCAGCCATTGTATCAAAACATTCATTTAAACAATGTCCAGAAATGTATACAAGATTTCTTGAAAGTTTATTTGAATCACAATCATATCCAAATGAGAATGAAAATGATCCACTTGGAACTGATGTAAGTTTAAACTAGGAAATCATATTTAATATTTTCTTTCATAATAGGAAGCTGATCAAATGAATCATTCATTTTGTTGTAAAGTTCACGAATGTGGTGAAGCTTTTACATCAAGATCTGAAGCATTGAAACATGCGAAAAAACATGCTGGTATATTTAATAATTATTTTTTTATCTCATATATATATGTTTTTATTATTATTTAGAGCTTGATCCATTTGATTTCGTTTGTGATCATTGTGGAAAGAAATTTCTTGGTATTGCTAATATGAAACGACATTTACGTGTACATATGGGCAGCGAAGGAAAAGATTTTGCTTGTCCATTATGTCATTATCGTGGTTGTACAACTACACATGTTAAACGTCATATGGCACATAAACATTTAGAAAAGTAAAAATATTAATAAAAAAAAACAAAGAAAGAAAATTGATCTTCTTGTTTAGATCTATTCCATGTCCTTATTGTTCATTTATGGCAGCAACAAATGCTGATTTAAAAATTCATATGGCTCGACGACATTGGGATATTGAAGGGCTTGATATATTAAATAATTTACCTAAAACTTATAAAAAAGAATGGAAATGTAATAAATGTGATACAGTCTTTCATGATTATTCAGTAAGAAAATTATTTTTTTTTCCATATTTATATAATATATGTTTTATTCAATAGGATTTTCAAAATCATATTTACAGTCATTCAAGTCAAACAAATAAATTTCAATGTAATTTATGTCCCTACAATTGTAAAAGTTTTTCAAAATTAAAAGTAAAGCTTATCTTTATTAATATTGAAATATTTTTTATTTTTCGAATTTTATTTAGCGCCATATGCTTTATCATCAAGGACAACGAAATTATGAATGTCCAAAATGTAATAATAAATTTTATCAAATGGAACATCTTAAACGCCATTTAACATCAATACATAAATTAAATATACCACAAATTGGACGAGGAAATCGTTTATTTGGTTCGGATCTTTTAAAACGGGTAAAAAATTTTATATTCATAATATAATATTAGAATATCATTTAAAATCAAATAGAATCACTTAATTCTTTTCATATGAAAAATATGCAAAATGTATCGACGATTACATTTAGAGAGAAAAATATCTTTATTCTCTTTCTCGTAGAGAAGAGTCTTACAAGAATAAATTGTTTGTTTGATTGATTGCTTGTCTATCCGCAGGGTCAAAAAAACATCGAAAACTGATTTTTCGAAAAAGACATTTATAAAGGTTTTTCGATACGGGGACTTCGAATCTGAGGTCTGTTGGGTGACCATAGTGAGAGAGAGGTCAAAAAAACATTGAATACAGATTTTTCACGGTTTTCAATTGTTTTTCCAATAAATGTGAAGAGGATGCATTTCTACGAGAAAGAGTTAAGAGAGTCCTCGGACGAGCGTTACTTGTAAGAGTAAAGTGTAAAAGTCTTACTTTCATTGAAAATACTAAATTTATTCGATTAGATTGATTTTACATGTAGTATTTGATATAAATTCCTATTTACTAAATAAATATTCTTTTTTTTTATAGAATTCCGATATGCCAAATCTTCCAGCTCATGGTACAGTTCCACAATGTTATAAAGTCATCTCAAAATGTGTATTTACATGCCAAAAATGTCCATTTTCAACAACAAAACTTTATCATTTAAATGAACATGTTAAAAGTGAACATTTACAATTAGATGATTCAGCACATGTTTGTACATTCTGTTCGTATATAACAGATAAAAAGACAAATCTTAAAGTAAAGGAAAATTTATTAGAAAACAAAACTAAAATTATATTTATTTATTTTTAGCGTCATTTACATCATAATCATGCTGGACAATCGAATACACCTGTACTTTTATCAAATGATGCACTTCTATCCAATCCAAATACAAAGTATGATGATTTAAAATATATTTTATATAAAATAATTTTTTTTTTCAGATTTCAATGTGGACTTTGCCGTCGATATCAAAGCAATGTTGATGAATTCATCAAGCATATTACAGAAAAACATCGAATGGATGTAAGAATATTTACTAATTAAAAAAATACTTATTTTTTTAAAATTTCTTTTCTTTTTCAGGTTGTTATTTTAGATTCTGCTAATAATGGAAACATTCATCAACAAATTAAATCACGCGGTCGTGCAGAGGTTAGTTTAATATTTATAACGAAAGCTTTTTCTTAATAAAAATCAAAAACGTCTATACATATATTATTCAGTTCATATTAATATGATAAGAAAAATGTCTTTGTTTTTGGGCTTACGAGAATTTTGCTAGCGGGATATTCGTCAATGCACTAGTGGGCGAATGTTCAGTGAACTCTCAAAAATGATTATCGAACTGATATAATTAAATTTATACATACTATTTATTTTTATTTTTTAGTTAATATGTGCTAGTAATAATACAACACCATTTCGATTCGATGAATACGGTGGTCTTGTAACTGTAATGAAAAATCCAGGGAATTCGAATGAAATTAATGTTAATCAAACAACACTAAATGATCAAAATAATCCAACGAATCTAGTATCGACATCAAATTCGACGACAGACTTTTTACTTCCGCAATAAGTGTGTTTGTGTGTTTTGTTTTTTCTTTTTTTTTTTGCATGCATATATATCCATTTGTCTTATATATATATATATATTAACTAGGTGTATACTTGTTGTTGTTGTTTCTATGTTTATTCTTTTTGGTGTTTATTCTTCTTCTTCTTCTTCTTCTTTTTTTTGTTTCAACAAGCAATCCTTATAGGATTGTACTTGCATGTTTAGTGAAAGGGATAAAAAAAGAGAAAATTGATTTATTGTATTCATTTGTTGGAAAACGATTGTACTTTTTTTTTCTTCTTCTTTGATCAGCATTTGAATGAGATGCTGATTATTAGCGAGAAAAAAATGGTAAATAAAATGTTAGATATATTGAAACAAATAAGTATTCTTGAAAGAAGAAAATATATACATTTGATGATTAAATATTTCGAAAAGGAAGATTATATAATTGAATACTTACTCATAGACTATGAGAATATAGAAAGTATGTAAGAAGATATAGATATATTTTTAACAAAAATCCACGCCATGTCAAACATATTTAATAAGAATAATATGGTTCATATTCTCTTCTACTGACGTCACTCTAATATTATTATATTTCCTCGAGGACAAAGAAAAACAAAATAAACATCCTTAATGTTCTTATGACAATATATTTTAATTAAAAAAAAACATTCATTGCCATACTTGTCAAGGATTAGTCAATAAATTACTTTAAAAGATTTGGTCCTATATAAAAATCATATATATATTGATAATCATTGACAGAAAAACAAAAATTAATATATCGAACATATTCCATCTTGTTCTTTTTATTCTATAGTTATACAATTAAATATAACACGATGTATTCGGATAACATGTAATTTTACATGATTAAGAATATATAATTAAAGTTTTTAATAAGAAATTTGATCAAATTACTTTCTTTGAAACATAGACAGAACTTCTTATATTATTATTTTCAATAATTTAAAAGTATATCTATTGACTTAAGGTATGTAACATTCTTTATTATTTGAATAGATTTTCTCAAGTGAAAAACATTATCGTCTTTTTTTCTATTATCGTAGTTGTTATGGATTTAGATAGATGTTTACAACAGCTCATGCAAAAATATAATGTTGATCATGAAAAAGAATAGAAAAGAAAGAAAAGAAAAAAAAACAGAAAGTTATTTTTATCTAATTATATAAAGTCATTTGCAGTTCAAGAGAAGGAGTTTAAGTGGAGAACAAAAGCGATTGCTATATCTATCGAAATGAATAAAAATGAGCTTATAAGATGTCCGTAAGGACAGTGTTTAATATGAACACTTTGCACTCGCTATTGACACTAGTATATTAGTTTTTCTTTGTCTCCCTACTATTTTTTATTTTCTTGTTTTTAGTATCAAAAGAACGTACTACTGTGCAGCAAAAATTAAATATATCATGTCGGGAGATTTATTCAGTATATTATGGTTTATTCTTTTTATTACAATGATATTAATTGCTCTTATTGCTAATATTATTATTATTTTAGCAATATTAACGGATAAATCAATGCATACATCAACATATTTTTATATTATTAATGTTGATATAGCTGATATTGTTCTTGTACTTAGTTGTTTACCTGAACGTATGGATGCATTATTTAGTTCAGGTGATGGTTTTCATCTTGGAATCTTTGTTTGTAAGTTTAAAAAATATTCCCGTTCTTTTTTCTAACTTAGAATATTACATTGCTATTGAGCTATGTATAATTGATTCGTTTGTTTATCGAATTATTATAGAAAATAGATTTTTGTTTAGGATATTCCCTATTGTTCATGTTTTACAATTCATTAGAGAGAATTACATTAGATTAGCAACTAATTCGAAAACATGTAATGGAAAAGGTCATGGAGGCCATGATAGAGAACACGAAACCAGTACACAAAATTGAGTAATGAAACACAAGAATCCCATAATGATGATATTTAATCCGATTGAATTTGTCTTTAATTTTTAGTTCAGTTATATGTAAAGAGAAAATATCTCATTTTCGATACTCAAAAACTTTAATAATTATATTCTCTTCTGATAAATCTAGACTTGTGTAAGACCTAGATAAAACAATTAAAGATTAATATTAAAGTACCTATCTAATCTCTTCATCAAGAAAGAGAACATTAAAAAACGTTCTTTTAATCTCAGTTTAAAATTAACAAGTCATGTTAAGAGTATTAGAAAATGAGTTTATTAAATTCTATTTTTGTTAAAGTTTAGCAAGTTAATTTTTCCATCCTATTAAGATTTTATTGTTATAAAAATAACTTCCATACAAACTATAATATAAAAAGTAGTCTGATACATTTCTCTATTAATTACTCAGAGTTTTTTTTGTAATAGTCTCATATTAAAATTATTTATGCTCGATATGGTTATTCTGCATCAACACAAACAAAGAAGTTATATGGGAGATCAAACTATAGTACGAGAGTACAATTCTATATATAGCGATTAATTAAAAACTTCTGTAATTACCCAGACGATTGTTGTAATGTGTGAAAATATCACACTTAACTTCTGAGAATATCATAAAAAACCATTGAAATGTATGATTATAAATAGCATATTACTATAACGCAAAGTTGCTCATGCGATTCTATAAAGTTAATATTTACTTTTATTGACGTCATTGAATTCAATTTCATAGATACACATGTGTACTCAATGATTTTTCGAAACTTGACAAAACATTATTTTTATGGATTCGATCTTACTGAAAACGATTCTTGTTCTATAGATACAATTTTTATTCTACATTAGAAAAATAGGTTTTAATAATTCATATCACTCATTTTAAATTAGTTTTATCTCAATAATTGATCTGAATATATTAAAAATTCAGAAGTATTTTTGAAAAAAGCTTTTAAAAGATGTAGTTCAGCAATTATATTAATTTCCAATTCTAACTGATGTATAACTGATTTTTAAACATCAAAAGATTTTGGACTCTTAAACATAGTAACGAAAGTTAATCGAGAACTTTTATTAAAATTGTAAAATAAAAATAGATCATTTCTTAAGCTTTTAACTAGAAAAGAAGCGATAAACATGACAATCAACTTAATCTTATCAAGTCTAATACCACTTTATAATCTTTCAATATTAATTTGCAAATTTCGAGAATATACCAAGTTTTAATTACTTTATGAACACAGCACTGCCGCGAACATTTTAGAATAGGGGGTAAAAGAGTAAAATATTCAATCGAGACTCAGATTTCGGTGAAGGAGGATCATCCACTTCCCTCTCGGTTCGCGAGAGTCTTATCTGTGCATGGTAGCAGATTGTTACTGATGTTTATTAAAGATAGTATTGTACGGAACATATACTATTATCACGGATTGGTATTGATAGATTTATAACATTACTAGAACTAGAAAAAATAAAACTCAATAATTGAAATATAATCAAATAAAAAGTTCTTTTCTCCTATTTATTAAGCAAAATAAGATTATAATTCGCATGATATTGAATCTAAAACTAAAAAAGATATTATCTATACTGAAACCAACCTTTAAAATAAAGATTTATCTTATCCTACGCATAGTTCAAATAACATGATCGTTGATATATTCTCTTAATTAAAATCTATTAAATATTAATAAGATCAATGAATTTATTTTCTTTTCAATAAAAGGTTATTCAATACCATTTCTTCAACAAGTAGCAATGCATGCTGCACTTATATTTTTATTAATATTAACTGTTCATCGTTGTTATCCCGCAGGTGTACCACATTGTTTACAAGGTAATTTAATTCGACGACAAATTCGTAATTATCCTCAAACATCATGTCTTATCTGGATATTTGCTATATTAATTAATTTACCATTATTTTTTATAACTAAATATGAAAAACATATTATAATTGAAATAGAAAATAAAACGAATACATCCCAAACAATATTATTTCCAACTTGTGATACAGAAGCAAAAGAAATTTGGTCACGTACTTATTTAATTTTATTACTTGTTTGTACTTATTTAATAACGGGTATATTTCTTATTGTTATTTATGGGCAAGTTATTCGAATAATTCTTACATCAAATCGATATGTAAATAAAACGAAAGAAAATAAATCGAATAGCAGTGACCAATATCGTTTTCTTTCACCAAATTTAATTAATCAAGTTAAATCTCGTGATATATCAACATCATCATCATCAGCTAAATCATCAAATCGAGCACAACAACAACGAACATCATCAAGTACACCTCCAATGTTAATTATGATACCAATGGGAAAAAATAATCGTTCAACAAATTCACATTCATTTCAACATCTACAAGTAATCATTATGCTTTTTACTCTTATTTTACTTTATATATTTCTTCTTTTACCATATCGATTATTTAATTTACTTTTTATTGTCTATAATTCATTATTTTCACATCATTTTATGAATGAAATTTTATTTCATTGCTTATTAAATATTGTTCGTTTACTTGTTTTTCTTAATTGTGCATTACAACCAATTATCTATCTTATTATGTCATCACGTTTACGACAAGCAGTTATAAAATTTTTTCAAACATGTTGTTATAAATATTATTGTCAATGTCAATGTGCAATATCACATAAAACGAGTAATCAAGATATTCGATTATATCAAAATAGAAATTATCAACCAAATAAAGTTGTTTTTCGTGATCGTCATCAATATGTTCCATCAAGAAATAATATTCATATGACTGAATGTCAAACAGTACCATCATCTCGATCACCATTAATTCATATTCAAGTGGCAAATAAAACTCCATATACAGTTACAATGAGGAATTCATTACGTAAATAATAAATATGTAGAGTTTTTTTTTTGTTTTTAATGTATATGTGAAAATATAATTTTTAACTCTTGATTATGTCGATATCAAATAAATATTCAGTTTATGTTTTTAAACGGAATTTTTGTAATAATCAATGCAATCCGTGTTTTATTTAACAGGTAGACTAGATGATTGGCGCCCGTCGGAAATTTCGATTCGTACATTCGAAAAATAAAACAGTGAATGTTAAGAAAATTTGGTGTAACTTTCCAATTTCATTGAAGAACTTTCAAATAATCTATTGTATTCTTCTAGTGATTTCAGATATTAAAAGATCATTAATTAGTATTGTTGCAGAGAAAATCATATATGGAATTAGATGGGTGCATAAAATCATTCACACAAAATAAATCGATACTGAATAAGAAGTTGATGATCTATTTTCGTCTCGATAAATTTTGATGGACAGAGTTTTCAATTACAACACAAGTTTTGATAATAGTTCTGTTTACTTCTGAAATCAATCAAATACATGCATGTCATAGTCGGGAAGTGAGAAATATAAGACGGATTGTAAAAAATGTGAAATGCTAACATTAGAAAGTTAAAGTTGTCTTATTGAATCTAGGAAAGTTTATTACGAGATTGAAAACAGACTTAATTATAGATTTATAAAGTTAATTTTTTCTTTATATCGAAAACAAACATTATTTGAGTACAATGTCATTCAAGACACAATATACACAACCCAGACAGACAAGACCGCTAACAAAACGCGTTGAAAATTCGTAAGTACACCGTTTTTGGAAAAACGTTCTACTGCGTTAAAATCGACTCCGTAGTTACTCGTTGAAACGCGGAATCCAACGTGGTTTTACACGTTATTTTGTGAGTTTTAACGCTTTAAGCACAGATTATCGACGCGTTAATCACATTAGACAAAGCTAACGGAGATAAAAATCGTAAAAATATGCGCTTTTCCCGATTTTATTTTCGTTAAAATTTCAAAATTTCTACACCGTACTTCTGTTTTTTTTAAGTTTTGTCTGTCTGCGAACAGTTAGTAAGTCTCTAAAATTTAGATTGCCTTTTGTGCCACGATGCGCAATTAGGTAAGAATATAGCATTTGTTCTTAAGAGCTTGATGTAATAAAGTCTTTTTCATTTGTCTGATTTTAATTCCATTTATGAAATAGACTTAAGAAAATTGTAAAGTATCCGTCTTTTACTAAGAACGATCATGTTACCTAGCAACCAATTATTAAAATAACTTCCTAACTAAGCTTTACTTCTGAATTTCATATTTATTTTCAATATTTTCGATTAATAAATAAAATATTTATATTAACATATTCCGTTATCTTTTAATCTATAGATGTCACTTTTGCACATCTGTGCACTATATATCGCCATTGTTTCCCGTTTGTAGACCTTCACTTATTCATTCATCTCCTATGTCTGTATGAGAATCGTAAAAGAAGATAAATTTACAATATTATTAATTTTTTTTGTACTTATGCAATTCTTTTCGTTGTTCTTTTAAATTGAGAACACATGCTGACTTACGCAAGATCATATTTTTTATTTATTTTTCTTTTTGATTATTTTAAAGATATTTTTTTTTAGATTTCTCTCTGTCCTTTATATCGTCGACCGACAGACGTTTTTTCATAAATTATTGTAAACAAAAAATATTCTTTTCCTTCTTTTTTTTTATTTCGATTTCTATTAAATCATATTTTACGTAGTCGACTTTGGTGTACGATTAGTCACATTGTGCATCATTCCTCTTTTTTTCGCATGATCGCTACATCAAAATTATTCGTTAATTTATCATCATGTCTGTTCCGAGTAAATCTATTGATAAAAATAAACGTTTTGCTGGTGTTAAAGCAAATGATTTTGTAAACAAAACACGAACGAACGAAACGAGTCGAGCAGCTGGTATATTACATAATGAAAATAGATATTTGAAATTATTTACTCATACTTGTCTTTCTTTTTTTGTTTGTTTCATAGCTCGTACTCAAGGATGGACTAATCTCGGAAAAATTAGTAGTCGACGAATACCACCACCGGCAAATTTACCTAGTTTAAAAAGTGAAACAGGTGTTAATCCAGCATCATTTGATCCAACAATACCTACTGGTACTAGTCATGGATGGACAGCTAGTGGAAATCAAACACCTACAAATCTCGCTAATAATCAAACGCGTCCATTAACACCATCTAAACAACCAACACAACAACAACTTGATTCATTACCTGCTCATACAATAACATCAGCACCATCACAACAACAAACATCTTCTTCACTATCATCTGATAATGATAAACCTCGTTTACCAGCAACATGGAGTACAGTTACAGCTGGTCATACGAATGATCAACCACCAAATTTACTTGGTCTAAATGATTTTCCACGTTTAGCTACACAAGATAATAAAAATGTTAAATCACCATCCGATTCATTGATTGGTTCAATATCATCAACAACATCACAAGGACCAAGTTTTCGACCAGCTAATTTAGCATCTTGGAAAGAAGGTGGTGGTCGTGCTCAACCATTATCAAATGATTTAACTAAAGATTCAAACGATAATAATAATAACAATAATAATAATCTATCTAATTTATCTATGCAGTCACAATTATTATCAACAAATACAAATACGAATACGAATTTAGTTCAATCACAAATGCAAAATACAAATAATCCATCATATATGCGAATGTATCAACAACAACAGCAACAGCAGCAGCAACAACAACAACAACAACCACAAATGGTAATCTATAAAAAATTCATTAGTGATAATATTTTGATAAATTTCATACTTAGAAATTTATTCTTCAATAAAATAATACAATTTTGAGAGATAAATTTGAAATGAATACTAAGATATCAAAAGTATTAATTCAGAAATTTCATATTCATTTTCTAATTTTAGTGGTCATATAATGTGGGTAATTCTTATGGGTCGTATGGAACAAATCAGGCACCTGGACCAATACCTATTCATCAGTTACATCATCAACAACAACGTGTATCATCATATGGTAATAATAATCAACAACAACGTATGAATAATTCATCAGATTATAAAACACCAACAATTTTACGAAATAAAGATATCGATGATCTATCAAAATTAACCGATAATGTCACATGGGCAAGTGCATCTCAGGAAGTTAATTATGAAGAGAAGATTCGATTTAGTGATGATGAAGATAATGATATTAATGATAATAATAATAATAATAAATCTCGTAGATTTAGTAATTCTCAACAACAATCAAGACAACCATATCCTCAAGTTTTACAAAATAATAATCGTTCATCACATTCAAATTACTCTCAACAACAGCAACAACAAACATCAGGTTCACGTTCACGTTTATTACAGGATGATGAACATGTTAAACAAATGCAAGATGATAAAAATTCTGAATTAATTAATACATTAACTGTTGCTAAACAACGACGTGATGAACAAGAACGTAATCTACGTGATACATTACCACATCGTTCAGCAACATCAACATCTACTAATATTCAAAAAACACATGATGATCAAAAACAAATACCTGGTTATCAAACACGACCATTAATTACATCAACTGGTCAAGATAATTTACCTTCATCACAAATCGATTCAACATCATCATTATGGGGACAATCAAATAGTGGAACATCAGGAGTGACAGCAACATCTCGTACACGTCATGATACAACAGATAGTCAAGCATTTGCAATGAAAAGTTGGTCGGATCAAATGGATTCTTTCAATTATGCGTCATTACATGAAAAGTAAATATTCTATAAGAGAATAATTGTTTTTAGTAAATTCGAACTTAGATGATCTAAAACTAGGTTTTATTTGCTGATGAAATTTATCAGAAGACATTTAAAAAAGAAATTAGTTGAGATAAGATTTAAGAAAAGCTTAATCTCGTACATTTCCGATCATGAAAAGTAGACACGCACCAACATCCTAACTCTTAATCTTAGTTTGAAGATTAACCTTTATGATAAATTAGAGCTAAATAATGTATTGAAATTGTAACAGAAAATTCACGAAACAGACATTGTACTTTTCGATACATATTTAATGATGGATAAGACATTTATTTTCTTTTTCTAATCTTTTAGATCCGGTGTAGATACTGATGATCATAATGATGATACAACAATTGCAGCTTCTAGTGGACCATCTGTATCACATAAATATAGTCGATCTCATAGTGAATCAAGTACTCAATCTCAGACTGATACACGGACAACAGCAAATCGATCAAAACACTTTCCAGTAGTAAATCGTAGACAACCAAAACCGAGCATTAATTTATCAAAAACATCAGCAAATAATTCACGTTTTAAAACAAAACCTGCTGATGTTATTGATTATTTTGAAAATAATGAACAACAAATTAAATCTAATGATCAATGGGCTGATATTGAAGAATCAAATTATACATCAAATAATCGTTATCAGCAACATTATTCTACTGATCGACGTCGTCATCCACAACAACAGCAACAACAACAACAACAACACCAATCTACAGATGATCTATCACAAAAATCTAATCGTTATAATGAACAAACAAATGATTATAATCGAACTAAACAAACATCAAAAATACGATCAAATGGTTTGAAAAATAAAATAATTCTATTAGTTTCTAATTAATTCTTTTTGTTTTGTTTTATAGTAACTCGTCCATCAGATGTACCAGTATCATCATCATCGTCATCAACAACAACAAAACAAGAAAATAAAACTGTAACTAAAACTCAAGCACCATGGCGTGCATTATCACCTACAAGACCGATTGATGTAAATGATCCAACACCACAAGAAGCAATTTCATATAAAACACAAACAAAAACAAATGATACTAATGATCGTCGTCAATCAGCACCAGCTGAACGTAAAACACGATATACAGCAACACCAACACCAATCAATACTTCATCAATTCCACCATTAATGAGTGTACGATCTGATGTACCGCCAGTACCAGTTTCACAAACAAATTCTTCAGCAACATCAAAACATTATAAAACATCCAATCAATCTCAAAGACAAGATTATAATAATTCACAACATTATTCTCAACGCAATGATTTTTATAATGAAACAAATGATTCAGCTTGGGGTAATGATGATGATTATTATGAAGATGAAACAGGTTATTATGATCAAAATATGCAAACACATCAACGTCATCAACAACAGTCAATGGGTTATCATTCGCATCCACATCATCGTGGTTATACAACTTTAGGTTCGTATGGACGTTATCGACGTGGTGGAACACTTCGTCATCAACAACAATATACTCCTTATACGACTACTAATACATCAAATACAGCATCATCACAACTTAATACAAGTACAGGATCAAAAACTAAAAAAACTCTAGTAAATCGAATGACACCAGCAGCAACAACAACAACTACGAATAATAAAAAAACAAATGAATCATCTGAACAGATATTAACAACTGTGGAACCTTCAAAAGTTGTTCCTGATGAAATAATAAAGAAACCATCGCCATGGGCAATTGAAGCAAAACCATCGATTGTAGAAGAAATACCAATAATTAAAACAATTGAAACTCCTTCAATTCCAATAGCACCAGTTATTATTGAAAAATCGAATGATATAATAAGTTCAATAACTGATCTAACTAAAAATGATAATGATTCCACTTTTGTTGAACAATCAGAATTAGATTCAACAATAACAAATAAAAAACCTACAACTAATAATACTCAACGAAAAACAACAAAAGATCAACAAAACTATTATCAAGATCAACGTTATCAAAATCAACAAGCACCGCGTCATAGAAATAATTATGCACGTGAAATGCAAGGTAAAAATTAGTTACTTATAAGATTTTCTATCTTTCTCATTGAGATATTCGAATTACCTGTCTAAGTAAGGTAATAGCTTATATCTCAATTGTTCAGTTAATAGATATGTACAATCATACTTCAAGTGCCACTCATAATACTTTATTTTATAAGATTTGAAGTCATCCTTTAATTGCTTCGTTTTTCTATTGAAAGAACATATCATAATCGTTTCGTATTTAGTTTTGAAGTATAAGATCTCCAGCTGAGTTTATTATTAAATATAACATCACAGTACCATGTGATTGTTTATGATTTTATTATTACATCGTCAATTTCACTTTCTATGAATTGTGTAATTCTTTGATTAATATATATCTAGATGAATTTTTAACTAAAAAGCTATTCATTCGAATTAGTTTAATAAAAAAAAATAATTTTAAGAAAGGAACATTAAATTTACATGTAATTATTTAGAATATGAATCAATGCAAATGAATACTCATAATTATTATGGTACCAATCGTCGAACAACACGAGGTGGTCGTAATGCACGCATGCAAGATTTATCCGGTGGTTATTATTACGAACATCCTCAACAGTATGTATTTAAATCAATAACGGGTGAACCATAATAAATGGCTCACCCGTTATTTTTACTTTTCTCTAATTTTTATTTTTTTTATTTTATAAAGACGTTATAATAGCCGATATAATTATTCGAATGAGCATTATCAACAACATCCAACACGTACATCAAATAAAACTACAAAACGTGGTGGTTCATCATCAATAACTGATCGTCAACAGAGTAAACAAAAAACGAATAGTGGAAGTAATAGTACTTCTATTAATATTGGTCATCAATCTGTAAGTGATAATGAACAGAAAGAAGGTGAAGAATGGGAAACAGCATCAGAATCAAGTGCTAATATGCGTAATAGTCATCATGATAATAACCAACCAACAGTTAAATCAATATCAAATGAAACAAAACCAACTACTCGTGATCGAACACCCCCAAAAAAGAGTTTTTCCAGTCAAAGGTAATTTTTTATTTTTATAATTTTTTTTCCTCTATGGATATATATACGTTTAGACCGTTAAGTGCTCGTTATAATGAAAGTGGTGCTCATCGTCGTGCTTATAATTTATATGAACGTGGAAATAAAACATCTCGAGGTATTACTACTCATCGTACAAGTCGTTTATCAACAAATCAAAAACAAAGTTCACCACAAAAAAATGATGGAGAAAAGTAAGATAATGTTTTTAAGAAGAAAAATAATAATCAATAAAAATTAATTATTTAGTTTAACTACAAGACAAACATCAATAAATAAAAAAGATCAACATCGTCATTCACTTGATGGTTATGATTTAAATAACGTTGCAGGTGTTGTTAAAATTGAAACATTACCAGCTGGTGCACTAGAAGAAGAAAGTACAGCATTTGATGATGGTGGAGAAGAATTCTGTGTTGTTATGTCAAAACGTGGACGAAAAGAACAAAAAGCAGCACAATTATCTAAGCAAAATGCTATTGAATCAACTATTATACCTAATGAACCAATCACAAAAGCAATATCAATCGACAATAATGACGAACAACAAACAAATGAAGTAAATAAACAAAAAATAAACTAAGGGGAAAAAAAAATTATTTCTGTTTTAGAAATCTACTAATGATGATAATCAAACAAATTCAACTCGTGCTCGAAATGGTAAATCACTTCCACCACGTTTTAATAGTAAATCTACAACACGTCAACATAATACAAAAACTGATCATCAAAATTCTTCAATGTATTATTATGATCAAAATTATTATTATTATGATCAAAGTCAATATTATGATGAGAATTCATATTATAATTATGGAAATTATAATCAATCATCTCATCGACAACCATCAACACGTCGTAAACAACCACGTAATCAACAACAACCAGAAACAAATGTAGTAGATGAACAATTAATTGAAAGAAAACCTGAAACAATTATACCAGAAAAAAATCATTCAATACCATCAAATGTTATGTCAAATATTCAAATGTGGGATCCACATACAGATAGTACAATATCCAATTCGAGTAAATTAATTGAAAAACGTATGTACATCAATATTTTCTTTTCTTTTTTAAAAAAATCATTCATTCTATAATCTTAATTATCAAGTAGTTATTCTTTGTATGAAACTCTATTGTTCGAACTAATTGACATATGCGAATTTTGCTTATTAAAAATCTAAGCAAATTAGACTGTACAACATCGTTCATCGATCTATCATAACTAAGACTTCTTTTATACACAAATCATGTATTAAAAGAGTTCCGGCATAGATTTGGTATTCGAAAGAAATTCTCATATATTAGAGACAAGTAAATTGTTTTTATTGCATTGCTAACAAAGTCTCATAGATTTTAACTAACATACTTGTATCATTGATCTTTCATGTGCATGTAGCTATAAATAGGCTAAGTGACATGTCTGAGTATTTCTTTCTTAGTAGAATTTCATTAGAACTATATGAAACGATTGTTCAATCGATATTTTACTACACTATAAAAAATGAGGCTCATGAATATATATTTAACTTCATAAAATGACATGATTTTGTTTTGTTTTAGCAACACATGATCGAAAATTCGGAAATGAAATAGTTCCTTCATCGAATGATGCATCATTACCACTTCATCAACGAACAGCAACTACAGTAAGATTACATATTAAATCTTCTTAATTATTATTTCTATTGATTTCTTTAATAAGCTTACTACTCATTCACCAGTATCAAAGACGAATGAAACTATTGCACGAACAATAAAACCACCTGGAACAGATAATAAATCTGATCGAGATAATAAAGTAATCTATTCATTGTTTTCTTTTTTGACAGATAAAAAAAAATGTTTAATTTTAATTTAGACTAAATCTACTAGTTACGAAAAGAATGATACTATATCATCATTAGGTTCGAATCAATTATTTGAAAAGAGTACATTTTTGGATTATGATGATAAACAATCAATTGGTACAGTTGGTGATGATTATAATCAAAAAATCAATTCACTTAAAACTATTTGGGATATATCAGATCATCCAAGGTATTTTAAAAGAATTATTTTTTTTTTGTTTGAAAAAATATTTTTATTTAGTCGACAATTAGAACAAACAATAAATACAATGGTTGCAATGCAGCAACAACAGAAACAAGATATTAATGTTCAATCTAATAGTTCGACTAAAAATGATAATTATGTTCCAGAAACAATTCCTACATCATCAACAAATATTTCAGGTGCGAATACAAATGTTTCATCAACAGCAAATGATGATGGAAATAATAAAAATTCTACATCTACTGGTAATTTACAATCAACTGGATCGTCATCAACTATTAATCAACCATCAACATATTCAACTACAACTGGTTCGAATAAAAATGAACAAAAAAATATTTGCACTGTGAGTTACATTATTTAAATTAGATATTCAATAAATTCATTATCGTTTTTTTTCTTGTAGGTAAAACCAACTCAACAAGTAGCACCAAATATTCAAGATCAAGTGGATGTGAGTGCTTATCAAACTTTTCCAGCTCCTCCTTTACAACCACCAATGTCACAAGCATCATTACAACAACAACAGCAACAACATATGCTTCCACAATCACAAGTTAATCCATTACATCAACAACCTTCATATCAATTCTATGAAAGTATTTTGCCACCACCTCCTCCACAACAACAACCACCACCACAGCAACAACAGCAATTTAATCGAGTAAGATCTAATTGCATCTAGTTAGTTTTTTCGATGAGATAGATGAGTTAAGATTCCACATAAGAAACATCCTTCTATTCCCTTGCATCCCATATTTATATGTATATATAGATTTATTCATCAACAACAAATACTAATAGTACAGATCCGATAAATTCAGATTTTTCGGGTGTTCAATCTTCACAAATCGTAAGTTCGTCTCTATATCTTTGCTTTTCTCGTTGTTAATATATCTGTACATCACTATGTCTCTTGCTTGTCTTTATTTATATATATAGAAGTAAATACACTGTACTGATATTATTTAAAGAACACATAAATATAGATTTTCAATCATTTTATATTATCTATCATGAATTTTTTTTCTTTTTATAATTTTAGTATCCACCACAAAACTTTCCGTATCGAAATACAAATGTTTATATGCAAGCACCACCAAATGTACCAAATACAAATTCAATGTATCATCATACACAACAAGGTTCGATTTCTGGTAATTTACGTTTTTTCTATATTTAATATCTCAATTATTTTTTTAAATTAAAGCTCCACCACAAAATAATGCTATGCCACCTCTACCACCACCTCCAATGTCAAGTTATCCATCTCCGTTTCTAGTTGATCATGGTGGTCATATGATAAGTCAACCACAACCACCACCACCACAAGGATATATGAGTATGTTTTCATCATTTTATTTTTCAATAAAAGAAATTTAATTTGTTTATTTTAAAAGATAATCAAATGATGTCTGGTCGACCACAAGGTGGTCCATTCTATCGAACTCCACCACAACAACAATTACAAACACCACCTGGAGCACCTTATGGTACTCAAGATCCACTAGCACATGGCGGATATTATCCACCATTCTTTCAACCACCAAATTCAAATCCTCCACCTACTGGACATCCATCAGGCCATAATGTAAGTAAAATCTCATCATTTTATAATACACAATCACGTATATAAGTAGAAACTGTTATTATTTTACTTTTTGTCAGAGATTATCATGAAACATTTGAAATTAAGATTATAACTCAAGCGTCTTTTTTGAATTTTTGTGAAAGAACTAAACCTTCATTTTTTGGTGGAGTGTTATCTCTTACCTTTTAATGTTTTTCTATCAATTGTTACGAAATCAGTTAATCTAGAATAGTGTGAGGATTGAAGATCATATTGTTACGGAATAACTTACTACTCTTACTGATCGATACAAGCGAAAATATAGTGTCAAATGAATAGGAAAGAAAGATAATTGTAAATTATTTTATTATAGTTATATGGACAAAATGAAGGGTTTCATCCACCTCATCCACCCATGTTTACTCGTGGTGGTTCAATAGATCGTGGTGATCATCCTCTAATGTCTCAACCATTATCTCGTCCTACAAACTATTCTTCCACATCATCAAATCAACAACAACAAGGTCCACCACCATCTTTATTATCTCAAAATTTCAAATCATATCCTACAAATCAACAACAATCATCATCATCAAATCAAGCACAATTCTATCCACCACCGCCTAATCAATATACTCGGCAACCTGTGCCTATAGGTGCTATGAATACAACAAATAATCGTCCACAAAATCAACCAGTACCGAGTTTAATGAGTGGTTTAAGTAAAAACTTTTCAAATAATGGTAATAATCTTAATAACACACAATCATTATTTCAACATCGACAACCATTACTACCTCCACAATCGAACAATAATCGTCCTTTGTATCAACAACAACAACAACAACATCATACACAATATTCGACATATTCAAAATCAAATGGTCCGAATGATGATAATGTTAAACCAAAACATATCTAGAAAGATATTTTGACATTTGCTTTTTCTTTTCTTTTCTTTTTCGCTTCTCTCATTTCACATTTATTCGTTCTTTATGCTTCAGTTTTTTTTCTTCCTTTCTGTTGCTGTTGTGTGTGTGTGTTGATTATATGAAAAAAATTATCCTTTTTCTTTTTTTGCCCACATTTATTATTCGATATTGTATATGTGTCACTTTTTTTGTTCTTTTTCTTCTTCTTCTTGTTGTTGTTGTTGTGCTCGAGAGTTAAAAAAAGAATCATTTAACAAAAGACGCTTGTCTTATATTCTCAAGAAAAAATCAGCACACTCTTCCTTATCCTTGTTCTGCTTCTTTCGTTTATTTCATTTCATTTTTTTTTGTATAGCAATCCATGTTTCTCTTTTTTTTTACCATATTTACAGACAATACACTTAAACGTTCGTTTGTCTTTAAGAAACAGACACAAAAAAACCAAAGATTCGTTCTCTTTTCGTTTCCTATTTATATTCAATCATATGTTTCAGATAAATATGTCAAATGTAAAGGATATGAATGAAGAACATCGGTTGCTATCCGAACGTTTACATGCATTAAATCCAGCTGAATTACATGCATTTGATTTACAATTAACATTAATGCGTACAGCATTTGAATCATACAAACGTGAAACTGTATTTAAACCTTGTCCATCATTTCTTATTGGACTTGATGATGATCAAATGGTAAGAGAATTGGAACTAAGTAGATTTATAATCAAAATTATATATGATGTAGATTGATAATGGAGTGTTTAGAGTAGGAGAAATATGCGTATATATATATTTTAGAAGTAGACAGGAATAGCATTTCATTTCTTTATTAGTACACTCTTGTAATATGATTAACTACGTGATAGACGGTTTTGTTAATTTGATCATCCAGACATAAACATTATTAAATAAGAAAATCTGTATCAAGTACCATATATCTAACATATGATCTCTCGTCATTGATTTATTTATAATCTAGTTTTCTCAACTATAGTATCTTTAACATCATAGAGCTATTTCAGTTATTTGTTGTTAATTTACATACATATCATTGAATATTTTGTTTTTAAATGTAAATAGATAGGCGATAATAATACTAAGACAAAAGTAAATTCTTTATTACATACTAATTTTCGAATTAATTCATGTATGAGAAAAAGAATGACTGTTAAAACATAACATAGAGAAACATTTTATTCTTCATACGTCACACTTTGTAAGAATGTTATTTCTATCATTGATTTCATAACTTCAAAAAATAATAAACTTCTTAATCGATAACAAATCATACTCTTCAACACTTTATCTCATTTAAAACTTCAGAAAAAAAAGAAAATATTTATCTTCACTTGCAATTATATGAAATTGTTTATGAAATAAACAAGTATTGAACAATGCTTCTTAGTACTGTAAGACATTTTTCTATGATTAGAAAAATTAAAATTACGAATAAGAAACTTGAGACGGGATGCGATCGAATCACCTTCCCTTAATCCGCCACTGTTAATAGGTTCTCTATTACATTTCAATCATAATTATATGAATATTTCCATATTTTACAAAATTTTTGTCTTTTGTTTTAGCGTAATGTCTTTCGTTTACCACCTGTAACTACATTTATATCAATATTTGATCAATTAAGTGATTTACAAGTTTTATTACTTAATTGGCTTTTAACTCGTGATACATTTAAATTAAATATGGTTTCTGTGGAATCAGTAAATTAAATTTTAATAAAAAAACATTTTTTCCTAATATTTATGAAATCTTTTATTAGGTACTTTCACTTGTAAAACATCAATTATCTGTTCCATCACCAAATTTTGCATTTGAAATTAATTATAATCAAATTCGTAATGAACGTTTTAATGATTTATCAGAAAATGGTCATTATAAAACATTTTATGCTTATCATGGTACACGTCTTGATAATCTTCATTCAATTCTTCATATTGGCTTTCTTGGTCATATGAATAAACTTTCATTATTTGGTTCGGGAACATATTTTTCCGTAGAACCATCTGTTTCACTTCATTATTCACCATTTGCAACTGTTTGGCCAAATAGTTTATTAGGTAAAAGACTTAGTTGTCTTTTATTATGTGAAGTTATCGATCATCCTGATCATGTTAAATGTGCAATTGAAAGTAAATAGAAAATATTGTTTTTTCGATTTTTCTTATAACTAATCTTTTTCATTCAGATGGTACATCAACTAATCAAGAACGACGAATAGTTAGTGATACTCAAGCTGGTGCTGTACCTGAAAAATATGTTGTTGTTACATCGAATGAACTTGTGAGAGTGAAATATATTCTTATTTATTCTGAACCAAATGAATTAATGCAGTAATTAGAAAAAATTTCTATTATTTATTTTTTGTTACTTGAATTTTTTGTTTTAGATTAAATCAAATGACAAGATCACGTTTACGAACATTTCTTTCTAATAATCGTTATAATCTATGTTTATTATTCTATTTTATTCTTCTTTTATTAATTGGATTTTTTAATTCAAACTTATTTAAATTTTATTGGCGACTATTTAAAAAACGTTCTAATCATTTACTTTTTGGTTCGTGGCATCTAGCTCAATAGATTTGTTTCTTTTTTTTCTGTGCTATATTTTTGTTTTTGTTTACATACAGTGTGCTTGTATAAATGATAAATCAGAAAGCAAAGAAAAAAGAATTAATCTTCTTTTTTTTCTAATTGGTGTTTGTTTTTATTTCAAATGATAAACAGGAATACAAAAACAAGCTTATATATATATAATAAAAGCTTTTTTTATATAAATATATGAAGGAAATAAATGCAGTTTAAAATTTAACAAAAAAAATTCAATTGGTACTCTATATCTTAGACAGCACGAAGTTGAGCATAGAATGTATTATATTTGAGCATTAGATATTTCTTTCATTTCGATGATATATGATGTTATTGTCTATTGAATTTACATTTGATTAAATAATAAGTTTTGTTCACTTTTATTTTTACTAAGATTCTAATTGAAAGAAATTATATTTTCTTAATATTAACTATGATGTTGTAGTCGCAACACCTGTTCGATTAAAAAAACTAGCAATGATTGCTCGATTTTGATTTGTATCATTACTATTATATTTCATCAGGAGAGGATGTTCGAAAAAATTCTTTGGTAAAGGTCGATCAGTCGGATTTTTTGAAAGACATTGTTGTATAAATGCAGCAAATTCTGGTGAATAACCACGATTGTTTGGTAATAAAGGTGTTGTTTCATATACAATATAATGAACTAATTCAATAGGTCGTACAGCTAATGGTGGATCTTGATTTTCACTTTGAAATGGATATTTACCAAGACCCATTTCAAGTATTGTCATACCAACACTCCAGATTTCAGATGGCATACTATATTCATCGGAAGTCACTCGTTCTGGTGCCATATATTTATGTGTACCAATAAATGTTGCAACTTTTTGACCAGTCGTTTCTAAAACTCGACTAACACCAAAATCACATAATTTTATTGAACCTAAACTATTAACTAGAACATTTGATGGTTTTATATCTCGATGCATAATTTTTCGACTCCACATATATATAAGACCCTGAATCATAGATAATGTGATATGAATAAGAACATTTTCTGGTACAAGTATACCAATATATTGTTCAAGTGAACCTCGATCCATAAATTCAGTACAAATATGTACAGAGTTTTCATATAAATAAGCTCCATGTAATTGAACAATATAATCGGAATGTAAAGTATTTAATGCATTAAGTTCAGTAACAATTTCATGTTTTTTTTCTTCTTTTTGAAAATCAAGTGAAATCATTTTAACAGCAAGAATTTGTTGTGTTTGACGATTACGACATCGTCGTACAACACCGCTATTACCTGTACCAATTATTTCAAGCATATCAAGCGATAACATATTGCCTGATGATAGGATATTTTCAGCATTTGCTTCAAGAGAAGCGTAATTTTTATTTTGACGATGATGTTCATTGGACGGTGATGAAATTGTATTAATTGTTAAATTAGCATGATTACGATTAACAATTGGTAGAAGTTTAAGAATTGGTTTCGATGATAATTGTTCTTGACATATACGATAATAAAAATTTCGTAATGGATCCATTTCAAGTTCACTTGATACAGTTACACGATCACCATCATCATCTACATAAATAAATGATGTAAACGGATGTTTACATGTTGGAAATGTATGTTGAATTAAACGAATAACTGAATCAAAAGTTAAATAATCTTCCGAATCTAATATTGCTGAACGACATTCACGTCCAAGTTGAAATTGTATTTCTACAGTATTCATTCGTTTTTAAAAGCAAAATCTATAATGTTGCCAGACGTTTTTTTTTCATTCAATTACAAAAAGCAGCTGACACTGCAATTAACTTCTCATTCTGCCTATAGGTTTATTAAGTAATAATCTAGTGAATAAACATAATAATAACAATAAGAAATTGTATTTTAAAAAGAACTAATGTATATACATACATCAAATAATATAGATCATGTATTATTGTATGCTTTCGCCTTTTTTTTTTTCTTCTTTTACATTCGTGCACATATACTGAAAATAATCATTCTGTCATCAAAATGTCGAATTCAATAACACTCAGCTGACACACACACATAGGCATGCTTTTTTTCCCTCTCTCTCTCGCTCTCCTTTTTTTTTCGTATTCGTTTGCTCACTGCTTTCAAAATCTGACTATGCATACAGCACAACCGTATGTGTCAATATTTTGACAGAATCATTCGTTTTCATCGATATTTAAGTTTACGCTTATAAGAATGAAAAAGTAAATTCTTGTGAATAAATAATAGCCATTTAGTTTTTATACATATAACTGACTTTTTTTTTCTTTTTTTTATGCATATTGATAACATTATAAGATATCATTCAAGAAAGTATGTCCATCATACATAATTAATAATATGCAATTTACAGGTATTGAAATTTTGTTTATGTTATAAATTTAGTTTATAGAAAGAAAAAAAACTTGTTATACATGAATGATTCTATGATAAAATGTTCAATCACAATCAATTTGATTTATCAAATGTTAATTCCCATTTCGATATAATTTGATACTTAAAAAGATTGAGCAGTTTTCTCATGAGAATAGATTCAATCGGACATCCTAGGAGAATATTGTCTCAAGTGTGCTTCTCATTGCGACTACAGTGAGGAAAAAAGGTAGATAAGGAAAAATGAGGAAGTTTATCTGTATGTACATATACATACATATATATATATATATATAATATATATAAAGAAATGAAGCACGTATGTATGATTTATTTACTACTGATTAGTATTAGACATAACATTCAGACAGATGGATGACGTTGAACGTGCTTATAGGCACACGTACTGAGGAAAAAGCAGATCACAAGGGTAGCATTTATTGTATTTGCACAAGATGATTATTCTTGATCGGATTGTAGAATAAATTCACTACAATAAACAACATATGTATATATTCGTTTGTTCTTTCCGACTTAACGATCGTCACCGATGTGCTCCATTTGTGAGTGAGAGACCATATGATATAGAGTTAGTTTAATGTGTCATGTCTATGAGCTCTTTCACACCTGGTATTGTTCATATATAGATATGTGTATATATATATATATACGGCTTTATCATCTCTCGATTGTTTACAACCTTTTCAACTCTATCCTTTTTTACTCTCTCATGTGCATGTATGTGTACGTCATTCGATGCTATAGGGCGAAATTCTATCGATTACTTGTCGTTTCTTTTATGGGTTGAAATTCTGTGCAACTAAGGGGCGCATAAACTTTCTTATTCTCTTGTCCCCGGTCTGTACTATGCATGTCTGTTCGATGGATGGCATGAGTAACGAGAACTCTCTTTTTCTCTTCTTCTTCTTCTTCTTCGTCTTCCGTTCGTGTTATAACAACCGATAAGGGTACCACTACCCCTATCAACTATAATACTCATCAGGAAGGATGAAGGAAAGAAAAGAGAAAAAAAAAACGCCAACGATGGTAGTAACGAGAAAATGTCATTTCCATTTCTTCTTCTTTTCCGTCGGTCGTGTTCCATCAACAGTGTAATAGTGCAGTGGCAGTGGTGGACGACGGTCGGGCGAGTTCACCATTGACGAACGTCGTTCTTTCTTTTCTCGTTACCTGTGCAATTGAAGACGAAGAAGAAGAAGAAGAGAACGAAAGAAGCAGTTGATTACTATCGCCCTGTACATGTTCGTCATGTGTACTTTCTCTCACTCTATTCATTTTTCTGCTCTTCTAGACAAGCCGTCAATGCTGTCCAGCATATCGATTCTCTACAATTAATTTGAAAATTTGAAAAGAAAAGAAAGCCACATATATATACATACACACACACATATTTATATATATATATATATTGATAGATATATATATAAATGTGGTATCCATCTCAACAACAGCATCACAATCAGCAACAACGCTGGCATGGTTATAACCATCATCTTTCAACACAGCAACAACAACAAAACTATTCGAGAACTTCATATTATTGTAATTCTGACGAATCGTTGACTACAAATCAAGCAACAACTACTTATGTAGTGTCAAGAAATGATGAGAATGAATCATTTATCCATTATCATCAAAATCGACCTGATGATGTTTATGGTAAAAAGAAAAAAATTTTTTATGACAAATTTGATTTACACTTGAGACTAAGGCTAATCATTTCTATGAGTGTAATAATTTATTTCACTTTATAGGTTTCATTACTATCTAAGTAGACAAATAGAATAAGAGAAAAAGAGTCAAGGAAGAAACATATGTGTAGACGCCTATATATTAAATGTTTTTATCATCAGTATTCTATATACATATATAAGAGGACAAATTGTTGCATCTCCATCTGTAACTACTACAACTATTCTCCTTCATCTTACGCAATGAATGATAATCATAAGGGTCGAAAACGAAGGCAACATTAACATTAGTTGTGTTTGTAGTTGAAGTTATTCAATTGAATGAATCGTTCTCGTAGCAAGTTGATCGTTCGATCAATCAGATGATAGTTACTTGTAGATACTCATGCGTGCAGTTACTCTACCATAGTACTGTGCTCTATGAGAGCAGCCAAGCGACGATAGAATCTAAATCGAATTATGACGATTTATATGAAGAGAGAGAAAAAAAAGAAGAGTATAAAGGCAAAAAAGACGTCATTGTAGATTGAGAAATAATATGTATAGAAGTACTGAGAGTATCCAACTACTGACTGCAATAATATCCATTAAGAATACATTTCAGCTATAACCTTTCTGCATGTTATTAATAATTTATGTTGGCAGGATACTCTGAAGTCTTTTTCTTCTTCTTCTTCTTTACCATTATACTCATTTGTGAATGATTATTACTGCTATCCTTGTAAGACAAGTATCTGATAATAGATACATTAAAAAAAAATCAAAGCAATAAATTTGTGTAGTCTATGAGAACGATATTCGTCTATTTAATGACCATGATTTGTCATGCGTTTTGTATGTTATATCAAGAGTGAAAAAAAACATTGACAAAAGTAATTCAGAAACAAAGAGCAATAGATGCATTTTTTAATAATTAATAACGTGTCATTGTAGAATGTATGTATAGATACTAGGCAAAAATAATCATGTAAAATGTCATTTTTTTCGAACATCATATTGATAAACGATGATTTGTAAGCTATAAAACTTGTCGAATGTAATTATGACTTTTATATAGATGTGTGAAAACGAGTTTGTAAATGATAGTTTATATGATTTTTATAAACTATTCACAATGATTTTGTTAGACAATGGTTAACTCAATTTTTATCAATTGATCATAAGAGTATTATAAAATGATAATTGATTTAAATTGAATATTATTCATGAGAAAATGTTTTCCATAAAATCAGTGAGAAAGAAAAAAAAACTTATTGTTTGTGAATGTGTTTATAGAAGTGATATGTAGATTAACATTGTAGAGTGTAATCACTTGACAGAAAACATATGGACTTATTTTATACTTGTCGTTCTGTCTTCTTTCATTATTTAGTTTATGAATGCATGATAAAAAATTAGTTCTATTTAGTTTATAAGAGGAAAACATTTTCTTTAATAGAGAGATGGCGAAAAAAAATTTTCCTATAAGAGTCCTTATGTTGAAAATATAAATATATATATATAGTTGTGTAGATGCGGTCGTTTGTCTCGTAGGCCAGTAGATTTACTTGTCGTCCTTTTGTTTGTGCGACTTCAAATGTAGTTAGACCGCGAATGAAGAGAGGCTGTTGGAGTGTCGGGAATAACAAAAAAAGAAAAAAAAAAAAGAAAAAGAAGAAGAAGAAGAAGAAGAGGGAAAACGTTCTTCTCAAGCGTCTCTTTCTCGCTTCATAATTAGAATGAATACTGCGTTGTTCGGTTGTCGACACACGCACACACACACACACAGATAGATAGTACGAAAGAAAGAAAAGGGAGGGAGGGAGCGTCAATTGTCTTTGTGCGTTCATACTTGTCATAGAGTAAAAAATGCTATGTTGTGTAATCCAAACGATGCATAGAAAGGAGAGTCTGCAATTTATATATACATCCGTAGACATGACAGTCCACAGTCGGTCATTAGCACAATTATTCACTGGTGATCTGTATATATTTATGCTTTTACACATATTTTATTGTCTTGATCAATAAAAATTTCTTTTCATTATTATGATCATTTATACATTTTTACTGATGACACATAATGAATTTGCCTTTAAGCCTATAGTTAATTTCCTCTTTTTTTTTTATTCGTTAGTTTTTCCTCTCTACTTTTCTCGACTTTTTTTTTGCTTCTTCTTAACTCGACGAGTAGTAGTGCTTGAAGACGTATGTTTTTTGTCTTCCTTTTCTTTTTTTTCTTCTTTTTTCTTTTTGTCCTTTTTTTCTTCTTCCATTTACGTACGGCCCGTGCTCATTGTCATTCTATTTCTTCATCATCATCTTTTTTATATTCTAGCAACTGGTACAGACTATTACGTGACTACTTCTACCGGTTCTTATAGTGATGAGATGTCGTCATCATCCTTACCTTATCATACTCCAAATACCCATTGGAATCCAGTCATTGCTGCACCGACAAAAACATTCATAATGACAAATAGTACGAACCAAAATCATATTACTAATGTTACACCGTCCTCTTCCCCTACTTCGTCATCCTCATCACCCTCATCACCCTCCTCCTCATCATCTTCATCAGCTTGTTGGGATTGGTTACTTTATCCTCCGGAAATTTATTCACATTTATACATACCTTCATCGTCTTTCATTCAACAGCAACCACAAGATGAAGATTTTGATTTATTAGCGAGTTTACCAACATGGTTACTTGCTTTACTTTATCCATCAATGAAACAAATATATACAACGGACGATGAGAATGATAGTGATCAAGAGATTAGTTCTCTTAATAATAATTATGACGAGCCATTATTATCGATTAATGTCGATAAAAAAATTAATCATGTCTCGTCAAATTTATCCTTATCGTCCGAAAATACTGTTAGTGGTCAAAAATTACAACAAAATCGTTCATCAACACCAGATACAGATGATGGTTATCAATCAGCTAGTGATGCTAGTCGTAGTGATTATTCACAACAATCATCATTACATTATGATCATCATAATAGTAAAGATGATATAACAATTAATGTGCCTTCATCACTTATGCCAAGACGTATATCTTATGCAGCTGCTGTTAAACCAATAACAACACCAATAATTACAAATAATAAAACAAGTCCATTAACAACACCAATTATTAAAACGAAGAATAATTCTTCATCATCATCATCATTAATAACAAATGATTTATTAAATAATAATGGTCAAAAATTAAAATTTATTGCTCCACGTTTTGAACGAATGCATCATGCTAAGCAATATCCATCTACAACTACTACAACGACGACGACGATACATAGAGATTCGTCGTCGTCGTCATCTTCTACATCATTAACAAATCGAACACAAATTCGTTCAAATAATAATAATAATCATAATAATAATCAACGCAATTATGTTCTTAATTCAACACGACGTCGTTAAGAAAAAAAAAATTAAACACTTTTTGCTTTTTGACTTTATTTCTTATTAAGCCATTCAATAAAAAAACAAAACTTTCTTTTGGTGTGTGTGTGTGTGTGCGTGTGTGTTTCTTTGTTGTTTCGTATGTCAATTTTTTGTTTCTATGTTGTATTAGAACCGAGTCAGTTAAGAAAAAAAAGACGGATTATGAGATGATTCTATGTAGGTCAAATCAATAAACCTACATACAACTATTTTCTTTTTTTCCTCAAGTTTTCTATGGGGGTACCACCAAACATTTTTTATTGCTTACTTTGATTGATCACCAACATATATATTTAATGAGTTACATGACTCAATCGAAAATGAACACGTCTACTTAATGCACAATCATTTGAGAACACTTGAAGTTGTTATTAAATAGAGAACAATATATGAATATTTGATTATTATAAATCTAGTAGTATATGGGGGGAAAATAATATGTTTTTTAATGCTTCAATGAATTTTTCTATTCATTATGTATATTACATTTTATAAATTTAAATAGACGTTCCATTAGAATTATTATGATATGAAAAGTTTAAAATACCGAGACGAAATCATTAAAATTTATATAGCCAATTATTTTTCTATTTTGAAAGAATCCTTATGAAAGCTAATCAGTTTTGTAAATCATAATTATTAGTTTTTGTTTTTCGGAGATCGAATATTTCTTAAGATTGATTAGATATATTCATTTTCGATAATGTTAGTCATATCGTTGCAAGACTTGACTAGACCTGGATTTCTAATGGGCTATACAAAACCTTCAACTTGCTTGTGCCTGTTAGGCATTCTCTTTAATTTGTCCTATATATTTTTATTACGTGCATATTTTATGATAATGTATTGGTAAAAATCGAAGGTTGTCTTGATGAAAAAAAACAAGGAAATTATAGTAATCAAAATGAGATGACTAGACGACACATTTATTAATTTAGTTCGTTATGTATCTCACGAGAAAGAGAGAGAGAGAGAGAGAGTCAATACACAAAAAAGCATTAAATGTTAAAAAAGAAATTGATATTTAATGAAAAATTTTTCTAACCATTTAACATAACTGTAAGTTAGTTGAATGGATTAAAAGAGATTATATAAAATGAATAAATAATATGTCGTTATATTATGTTCAATCAATAATAATGAATTATTATTTCTAATATTTCAACATGAAAAACATGCACGATATATTATTAAGACTTCTAACATGCATACATCATTTATTAGTTTTATATTTATCAGTATAAACGTGATATTCTCATGTTTTAGAAAAATAAATTAACACATGCCAAATTATTAAATACGAATATAAATTTGATGAGGAGATGAAGAAGTAAAAAAAATAGCATCATAAAATATTTTAAGTGCACTCATATCTAATAGGGCTTAGCTCTTAAACAAATATAAATAATAATACTATGCACTTGAGATGTTATAAAACGTTTCATCACGTTTTTCTATATTGCGTCGTATAAAATCAAATGTTATTTAAGTACAAAATTGTATAATTCTTGTCTCTTTTTTATTTAAATATATAAAATAAGGTTTTATATATCATCATTTGTTAGTGTTTCTGGTTGTCGATAATATTTCATCCACCAATCGGGTATTTCAATATTAGCTAAAGTTCTATTTTCACCATTCCAATATTTACTCATGATAAATTCAATTTTTTCTTCATTTGTAGATAATAATTTCTGCATACTAAATGATCCAATACGTATTCGACTACGTTTAACAATAACAGGTTGTTGTGTTTTACGATCAATACATTCTAAATCATATGTTTCTTTTTTTAAAAATGTTCCATAGATAATATTTTTTGGTGCATCATTTAACATATTCCAATTTTTTTCTGTTTGCATTAATTCACGTAATTCATGTGGACTTTTACCTAAAATAGCATTTTGTTTATAATAACTTAATGCATATGTTGATGTTGCATTTTTTAATGTATCATATCGATGACGCCAATAAATCGATGCCATAGCAGCAAATTGATTTGGTACAGAAAATGCACGACCATCAAAATACGCTGAATGTGATGCAAGACGTTCACGTACTTGATTATTTTCTATATCGGACCAATCTTCTTCATTAATATATTTATTAAATTTTGCTGCTGTATAGGAAGCAATTACTGATACAAGTTTTTGTATACGACCAGAATACATATGTTCACGAGGTCTTTTTTCTGCTGAATCAAGTATTGGACATGCATCAAAAACAAGAGATATTTCATCTGATTCATAATAGACTGTTAATGGACTAAAACGTTGTAGTAAATCAGCTGATGTACGAATAAAAGACCGTGTCATACGTTGATCAAATGGTTTACTAAAACCACGAGTATAATTTCGAAATGAAATACCATCAACACGAACAACAAATGGATGAGATGCATCAAGTCGTTGATCACTTGTTGCTTCATATTCTTTTATTTGATTAGCAAGTAATTTTTCATCATTTAATAATTCATCGGAATAAGTCGTTGTAGTATCTGTCATTGTAAATATAAAATATTTTGATAATTTATGTTATAAATCTACAGTTTATATTATACTACATAAATCATTGCATCATTATTTATTTAATTGTCAAATACATTGATGAATCATACGTTTTTTTTTAATGGCCTTGCCGTCATTTACAGATGTCAGTGATGTCAAAGAAATATTTTGATTGATGCAATATATTGTAATATAATATAATATAATTTCTCAATTTTGTACGATCAATACAACTGTTTATGTCATGGTTATTAATAATATTGACGTAAAATATGTAAATTTTAAAGTCTTTGACAACTACAATATATCTTTGACTGTATTATACTGTGATCGTAATAAAAAATAGTCTTTGGTTTTTTTTTCATCAATAATCGAGTTTCATGTACGTAATCTATCAATTCTTAAAAAATTTGATTAACACAGTTCAAGGGTACTATCAATAGTTTATATATTAAATTTGATAGATGCAAGTACAGAGTAATTATGTGCCTTGCACATGACTAATTTTATTAACTAGCATGACAAATAGTTCCATTGTAAAAGAAATTGAAAAAAGAATAACTCTGTTATGTCATTCTGTTAGATCTACACAAGTTGAGATTATCTATTCATCAAAAGATAAATTAATTATAGAGAAGAAAACTTAGAAAATTACATTCATTTTCTGTAACATGCCGCTATTCTATGAATAGTATCATGAAATAGTACGATTCTCCAGAGTATTAGATTTATATAGCATAAAAAATTTGAGCATCTTATAGAAAAAAGGCTATTCTTAGCAATCATAAATCACTAGTCATGACCTTAACTACATACGGAAGATGAATATTGGTTAGGAAATAGTGTTATTCAAACATTTGATTACATATAACAAACATCAATATTATCAGGTAAAAATAACTCGAAAAATCAACATATCTCTTAAATTTGAAGTTCTAATCGTAGAAGAAAAGCTAATAATATCATAAAATGTTTATTTTCAATAAGTAACTATTTTTATATTCCTATCATATGACATTTGATATTGATTGTTTATCATTACATCCATATGCTGTATCATTTTTTTCATTTAGAGAAAATTTTCTGATGTATATCTCAAGGAGAAGCTAATCGGCATCAAATGTTTGTCAGTCTTTTGTATTGCAATAATATCAAAGCAATTGTAGATCATATATAGTATTTATTCGGCAATACATTCTAGAGAAAAAAAAACCTAAGGACACATTGATTACGACATAGATCGTATAAGTTATTCAATATCAAAAGACTCATCTTCTTTAGTGATAGTATGTTAGACGTCAGCATTTTTTATGAGAAAGAAAAATATTATATATCTCTTAAGCAAATAATAGGAAATAATCATTGTAGTAAAGAAAATGCGAAGGCGGTAAGCAAAATTAATGAAGATGATTACCGGTACATTAAACTGTCTTAATCTATGCGGCCTTTCTTCTTTTTCTTTGTTTTTCCTTTTTTTTACGGTATGAAAGAAAATTATTGATGTATGAATAGTTTTGTAGAAGAAAAAGAGAGGCGAGAATTATTAGTCGACTGATTTCTTAAGACATGCCTTGATCTATATTCTAGTCTATTCGTAAGCCTGGTACATATATATATATATATATAGTGGATAGCAAAAGAGACATACAATTACAAGTCTAGAGAACAAAAAAAAAATACTACAGACGATATTCATATCAAAACAGCAATAACCTTTCATTTATTGTTGTCTTTTCATCTCTTTTTTATAATATTATATTCAATTGACAAATAAACGTAAGAACTTTGTCCTCAGAAGAAATGATGTGACCATATATAAAGATAAATGTCTCGTTTCTTTTTCTGTTATCTAGAGTTAAGTTGACTCGATGAGTACGATGACGACTGCAACATCAAATCCATTCATAAAAGCTAAATCATCATCAACTGTAACTTCCATAAATAATGAACATTTTATTGATGAAAGATATCCCAAAACATGTTTTGAACAAATACCACCAGTCATATTAGAATATCCACCATCTCAACAAAATAATCAACCATCACGTTCACGTCATAGTCTTCGTTTTCGAACTCAACCTGTTACATTAACAGAAATCTATGAAACTGATGAAGAGAATCAAATGGAAAATGATGATAATCAACAACAATCCAATATAAAAATATTCAATGATTATGATCGATTAGATCATTTAACATTAGCTGAAAATATTCGACGACAAACAAGAAAAAAAGTACCATTAAAAAATTTTCTTGAACGACAACGACTTAAAACAACACGAGAAGAACTTTGTGAAACAGATGGTAATTAATAATTCTAATAATTTCATTTTTATGTATATATTTAGATTATCTAGTCTAAATAAAATATAAGCAAATATAAAAGAAAAAAAAAAAAAGAAAGAAATATTTTAATTATTTGATTTTGTAAATAGACTTCGAGTATTTTCATATAATTGATTTGAAAAGTATTTTCGTTTATTTCGTTTTATTGATGGTTGTTGAAGTCGTGTAGAAGGTGTAGTTGATGGTGGTGATGAACTTGATGGTGTAATTAATGTTTCATCAGGTTCATTAAATAAATTTATCATTAATGATGATTGTAATTCAAATTGTTCATGTGAAATATTATCTTGTTCGTGTATTATTGGTGGAGTTGCTATTTGAGGTGATTTACTTGCTGTAATATTTAATGAACTGTATGTAGCAGTAGACGATCGTCCTGCTGAATTTGTTAAAGTTGTATGATGATTTTCCATCGTTAATGGTTGTTGTTGTTCTTGTTCTTGTGTAGTTGCTAATTGTCCTAAAGAATAATTAAGTACTGCAAATACCAATGGTACAAGTACAGAAAAATAGATAAGATAAAAACGCATAGCTATTGGATAAATACATGCAAGTAAACAACATGATAATATAAGTAATAAACGAAGAAATGTTGATGATAGCCATCGCCCACAGGATTGTACTGGTAAATTTAATGGTGACATTGGAGTTATTTCATTCATTGATTGTTCAATCGTCGATGGTAAATTACTATCATTCCGTGTATTATTATTATTACCGGCAAGACCTAATGCTTGTAAAAATGACATTGATTGTGGTATTGATTGTTGCTGTTGATAGGGAGAAAAATTTTTTCGACATGGTGAACATCTTGACATTCGTATACGTATATATAAATATTGAAAAGAATCATATAAAATTTTTAACATAGCAATCATTGTTAAAAATGAACTTATTAATAAAGGTATTAAATAAAATACAACTGTTTGTGTAAAACGATTACGATTAAACCATTCTTCCAGATAACTGATTTGTGTTGTACCTGGACAATAGACTGGTTTAGGATTTTTTTCATTTGAATCAATTGTATAAAGTAATGGTATTGTAGATGTAAATGAGAGTGACCAAATACAAAGAACAAGACAAACACAAAATCGACGAAAAAATCGACGTAACGAAAGACCACAGGATTGTAAACATGTATGTTTTGTAGATGTTGATGGTGGAAATAATGATAAAATAAAATTTGCATGCATAGCAGCGACGGTATAAGCTAAAATTAAATCATATGAATTCTTCTTATGCTTTTGTACTTTAAAAACTGAAGAATAATAACTATTCTTTTGAAAATTATAGCTCGAAGCTATTTATAATCATGAGTAGTGAATTATGTTCCATGTCAAACAAATCAAGGATGTAGAAGACATATAAGTCGTATTCCTAATTATTATATACATAGCTATATATCACGATACGAATGAATTATTCTGATCTTAATAGATCTTTTGTATGTATTATATACAAAAATAAAATAAAAACTTAAAGACGTCATATAATTCAAAATTTATTAGATAGTATACCTATATAATTATCTTTAATAAAAATGAATAAAAGAAGTTTCTTCTTTCATTCATTAAATTAGTTAGATTATATTGACGCGTCGTATTATTAAACGTGAACAATCTAGATAAAGTTAGTTTTATGAAGCATAATTAATATATATTTGTCTATCACGAACTATCCTATTCAAAGAAAATTAATGCTCAAATGACCCATAGATTTTTACTGTAACACAATCTTTATTACATTTATATGAAACCTACCAAGTACAACTATACAAGATGCTTGTAAATAATAAATTGCTCGACAATTAATATCTAACAGTGTTTTTGAACGAAGTGTTTGAACAAGATAAAATAAATATAAAGAATTAATTAATGAACTTGATAAAGCCATACTTGAAAAATAAAAATTTACTATATTACGATATGAAGAAAATATCATTAGCATAGGTATAATCATATTTAAAATGACTAAAATTAACGTGGCTATCATTTCTATGAGTAGCCATGTTGAAATATGCGAAAACCAAACTAACATTGATACTAATTTTGGTCACCATCGATTCTTCGATTTTTTTTCATAAGTCTTTGTTAGATTAATATTTATCTAAAAAAAAAAACATAATCAAATTCTTTTTACTAGAATAATTTCTATAAATCAATTGATCGACTTATACATAATTATGCGTCCTTGACACATCATATAAATACTTTCTGAATAAAGAAAAAACTAATTCGATCTTTGACTTATTTTCTTCTCGTTGTCATAAAAACGATAGAGAAAAGGAAGATCGCTATTAATCTAGTTTGTTTTCTTCGCCGTATATTCAAAAAAAATAAAAGATGAAACGGCATATAATTATTCTCGTTTTTTTTTCATACATAGATTTAAAAGAAATACGATAAGTATAAAGATAAATCTACATCGATAATGATGAATTATTCTCATTACAAAATAAAGAAATGTCAAAAAACAATTATACAAAAATTACTCGAATTATATATTATTCAAAAATAATAATAATTGTTCTAATTGTATATATTTTACTTAATTAGTTGAACAATTATAAATGCATAGAATTGATTTCTTTCTAAATGTCGTTTAGAATAATAATGATTGAATCGTATGTAAAGGTTTTTGTGTTAATAGTAAATATTTAATTTAAATCAATCATTAGTCAAAGGTTACTACTGAACGTTTTTTTTAATTGAAAAGAAAAAAGAAAAAGTTATTACGAATAATTGAACTAAAACTTAATCGAATAGAATGAAAGATTACAGAATATGTGTGTTTCATAGTATGTCCTTGCTATTCAAAAACAATACTCAACAAAAGAACAGAGAGAATGTTTTCTGACTAATCTTCATTCAATTAGTCAAATAAGATATGGAAGACGAAGAATTCTCATTCTTTATATCGTTTCTTCAAGCTCTGTTACACATGAAAATAAAGAAATGACGCACAAGCGATTAATGATCTTCGTATTTATTATCTAGATAGGATCACATGTTTGTCTAAGACAGTACTTCTTATCATTCTTTTACTCTTTTATGGTAATAATTAAGAAAATTTTATTTTTATATAAATAATAACATACGTTTTCATTGAATCAGAAATATATATATAGAAAAACACACACACACATACATATAATAGAAGTTGATGCATCTTTTTCTTGACATAATCAACCAAAAACTTGAATAAAAACACCAGTTATATATATATAAATAGTACACACATGCATGCAATCAACATCCAATCATAATCCTGTGTCCTTGATAAATATACAAGACGAATACCACCTGGTGTCATCAAAATAATCAATGAATACTTGGATAGACAAATAACATTTTTGACTATCTCACCAGCATGACACATTTAGTAGATATGTCTTTTAACTTATTTGTTAGAAGTCGAGATCAATTATCAAGTTTTTAATTGATACATGATATTTACTATAAAATTGCTTTTATCATTGAAGTGATAAGAAATAAGATCATTATGTATATCAAATTCTTATACAGTACATATTTTTTTCTATAAATAATTATTTATTATAATATAGACTTTTTTCTCCATTGAAATCAACGTGTTTAGATATACAATTGTTGAGGATACATGCATAGTACATACTTGAGTAATTGATATTGTTATTCCTAGCTTGATAAATATATATCTGTTATACATCAATCCTGTTGTTATATTATCTGACAAAACAGTGCTACTAAAAAAAGCAATAGTTGTTATTCATACAATGGATATCGATATTTATCCTTACAGTTGTCTATATACGAGTGATATCGCATAACATTGAATAATTTTTATTATATATATTATTTAATTTAATTCGTAAATTATAAAAGAATATTTTTAGTTGATTAGTAGGAAATTAGTATGATAATAATCAACTTACAATAACAGTATCTATCCAATATATGTATGTCTGCATTGATTGACCGCTATCTCATGCGTGCTCTTGACAATATCCGAGCGATAATCAAAGTGTCGATTGTATTGAGTAAAAACGACAAATACAATATCAACTTACCTTGAAAATATTTTTTGTACATGGAAAAGATATATGCTTCTGCATCATCGCATAAAATATTGCTAAAAAGATACTGTGATAGTCCCATGATACGCAAAGTTCTAAATATATACTCTCCCTCGTGAGAAATCAAAGCGTTTTTCGTATTAGTGTCATTACTTGTGAAGGGTTATAATGACACGTGCTGTCGTTGTGTCTACCACGAGAGCAATTGTTGTTTGACTTGACGCGTCAAAAGATTGTTTCGTTGATATTAGAATCTGATTTCACATCTGGATAAACAATTGATTGATAGTAGCTTGTGCTAAGAGGGCACAAATCTGCGACACAATTATGACTATCGACCATAATTAAATCCCACATTTATAGCTATAGATAGAAGATGAAAATAAAACATATTTATTGCATATTTTGACCTAGTTTTAATTAACAAGATAAAATTGTCGTTTATTAAAACTGAGAATAATCATTATTGTATATCTAAATATGAAATTGCATAAAAAATTTGTAGAGAATTTTTCATTACAGTTTTCTTATGAAAAATATCTTATTTACTATTGATAGTAGATGACCGTGTTTCTATTTCAATACTTGGTAATAACAAACAACAATTGGTATTGAAAGTAATCAATCTTTCAGTTGGAATTGCAATCGACTGGGAAGTACTTTTCATAGTAACTGATGATTTATTATCTAAATTAGGGGTGAGAAGTTATTGTTCTGTTATAAACAACAATAACTATAACAAAAAAAGATTATTGTTATTGTCATAAATAACAGAGAAATAACAAATAACTTTTTTTCTGAAAATTTAGTTAGCTTCATATCTTAGTTGAACCATCTGAATCTGTTACTTAGTTTCAAGATATTTTTTTGTGAAATAGTTCAACTATAATAAAAGAGCAATGATATATGTTCTTGTTGTCTTTATGCATACGTATTCAAAGAAACAGCACAGCACGAATACAGTATTTTAAAAAAAGAGAAAGAAAGAAAAAAGGAAACAAATAGGAGTGTTTATGTTTGCACAAAATACGTTAGAGAAATAAGAAAAAAAAGAAGAAGAAGAAGAAATCGTATAGTATGGCATATCCAAAAAAAAGAAATTCAAAACTTGTTTTTGTTTTTTCGTTCAGGTTTTAGTATAAAGCAAATCTGTATCCAAGTATTTTAGTTTCACATATATATATGTATATAAACAGAAAAAGAAAAAGTGAAAAAGAAAAAGATTTTTTTCAATGTTTTTCCTATACAATGAGATAAAAAACAGAAAAGAAAGAAAAATGTGCTTGTATGTGTGCATAAACAACAATGACAAATAAACAAACAAATGTAACGCTTAAAGACAATGAGAACTAGGAATAAGAATAGGTTATGTTAAATGAATATACAAACAGAGTCTGAGCGTTTAAGATAAATAAATTAATCTTATCAAGATGATAATTCATTGCTTGACAATGATTCTAAAGAAAAATATGAATATTTTACATGAATTTAAATTCTAAAGATACCAACCTGTTTTCATTTGATGTTCAGGCGTCGACCAAATTCGAATAGTTGCATCATCAGATGCTGATGCAAAAAGTAATGGTAATGTTGGATGCCATGAAACACAATTAACAGTACGTGTATGACCTGAAAATACCATAATAGGACGTTCTTGTCGTCGATGCCATAAATAAACTTTCGAATCTTCACTACCACTTGCGATAAATTCTTCATTTGGTCCACCGAATGTTGCATGATTTACATAATGTCCTTGTGTTACACCTTGATATTTACGAACTAATTGTTTATCATGTAAATCCCATATATGAACACCCTATAAGATAAAATCCGCTAATAATCATTTTTGTCGAAATTAAAGTTATCAATTAGCGTTATTTAGAGATATTACTCGTATCAATATGGAGTTTTTGATCTGTATTATTAAAAATGTTAACGGAACATTTAACATAAGGGTAAACAATAACGAGAAGCATTTCTACTCATTGACCTTCACTGAAAATAATTGCTTAATTCTAGATTAAATGTTTTGTTTCAAGGTAATACATGCCGTTATATCACAGGACAGAAATATCAGTTTGCTGTGAAAACAAAAATGCTCTGTCTTTGATTTAAGAAAAGTAATTGAATATTTTCATTGCAAATGATATCTTAACTATCGATTACAGATAAAGAACTAAGTTAATAAAACTATATCAATTTTCAATCAATATCAGTTATATATTTACCTGCGTAGCAATATTAAGAAGTGCTAATCGACCGTCTTTACTAACAGTGAATGACATAATTGGATGATCTTCATGAATTCTAAATATAAAGAAAGATTTCTTTGTTTTTAAATGAATGAATAAATATCAATATTTATACATTTGTTGATCAGTTAAACTATCAAACTTATATGAACTAATGCGTTTTTGTGTATCAGCTGCTAATATAACTCCATCATTTGTGACATGTAAACATTGTAAACGAACACCTTCCCAACTATCGATAACATTTCCTTCAATATCCTAAATCAAAAAAAAAAGAATAAGTTCGTTATTTTTTCTTGTATCTACAACATACACAATAATAGAATTGTCCACGTGATCCACCACATACAAATCGTTGTCCACATGGTAACCAAGCAGCACAAGTTAAACTATCATCTGATGAATGATTCATACGTGATCGTTGTTCTTCTTGCTAAAATAAAATAAAATAAAACGAAAGATAATAATCAATTATTTAGATTAATTACTTACTTCAACATCCCAAATCCATATTTCATTACATTCATCTGTTCCACAGGCAATAATATATCGACTAAATGGACACCAAGCGATACAACCAATTCCAAATGAATGTCCTTCAAATTGTTTTCGTAATTTCATTTTATATGTTTGCTAAAGAAGATTTTAATAAAAGATTTTGGAATAAAAAAAGATTTTTTTGTTTCTCACCATATCTACATCGTATATGTGTAAATAACCATCTTTTGAACCAGTAGCAAGTTTAGTACCATCGGGTGAAAATTTACAAAACCATACTTCATCTGAATGTTCGGTCAAAGTTTGTATTGTAACACAAGGGAATGTTTGTCTAAATAAAAGATGTATATATATGAATATAGTTATTCAAAATATCTTAATTAGTAGTTCGTATTTGAATTAAGATCGATATAGAGCGGATTTATAGTGAGAATACAGTAATGACAAATATTTATCGGTTCAAACTAGATCAGTGATGTTAAAAATTCCTGTTTCCCGAATATGTGTGCTTATTCACAAGTAATGATAAGTACTAGTGCACAATTTCTTATCACCATTTTATTCTTTAATAGTCAAACTGATCAATCTGACGTACTTCAAGATATGTGCAATTACAGTTTACTGTACTGTTACGAAATGTGCGGTTTTTAATGGTATTGAATGTGTAAATGTTAATATATACACTGTACATCTTTATACGATTACCGATTTCAATTGGTACAAAATCCAGAATAATTTCGTCTCTGATCTATCATGAATACAGGTTTTCTTTCTTTCTGAACTAAATGTCAATTTATTAAACTAACGGATATAATCGATTTGTTTTATTTTCGAGTAATATTGGAGCAGATGACTTTTTTTTATTATTATTAATACATACTTAGTACATGCATGATCTTTAAGTAATGAAACATCATCAAGTGTTAATTTGCCTGGTTTAACATGATATGTACATCGTTCTTGTTGTAAATCAACAGCTTGGGATAAAAGTGATTCAAGTCTTTTTGGTGGTAACATTATATCAGGTGGAAGATATTCTATAAGAAATTATTTTTACAAAAAAAACATATTTCTTATTTATTTCTATACTTTGTAATTTTTCCATAAGATTTTGTCTTGATGCAAAACCTTTTCCACTCCAATTAGATGCTTTATACATATCTTTTATTGAATTAAACATAAGAAATCTAAATTAAAAAAAAAACAATATTTCATAAGACTATTTAATTATATTAATACGTTGTTAGTTCATGTGTACGTTCAATACGTATTTTTAAACCTTGAATTTCATTTCTTAAACATTGAAGTGCGTCCATAGCTCGATTATCTTCAATTAATTCGAAATATTTCTGTTCAAGTATTAAATACTTCATTTGCTATAAAAAAAAATAAAAACAAAATTAGAAATCAAAAGAATCGGCTGTTTTTGTATGGCTTAATATAGCTTACCTGAATGCCATCACGTTCTTCAATATATTGTTTAAGTTTTTCAAGTGCAACAAGAGCCTTAATAAAATAAATTCAATAGATACTTGAAATAAAGTAGAAAATGAATAAAAAGCTTCTTTTTTTTAGTGTATTGTACTCTGAAGAGAGAATACAAATGGTTTCTATTTATTATTCATTCATTAGAACAATTGCTACATTTATATGATATAAATGCTTTTAATATAAAGAAATTTTGAACTTTTTAGAATTCTCTATGAATCTTACTTCTGTCCATTTTCCTGACATAACAAGTTCACGGAAATTTGACGCCTGTTCATGTTCAAGTACACAACCACTTTCATGAATAAGAATATCGACTGTTTTACTAAAAATAAATCTTTAATTTTGTCTTCTTTAAAAATAAATCTTTTACTTTAATCCAATACTTTGTAGATGTTGTCCAATAAGTCTTAAAATTTCCTTTTGACTATTTGTAAATATTCTTGAAGAATTTATATTTCCATTATTTGATGGGTAAGATGAACCGGTTAAAACTGTTTGTGTTGATGATGATGTAAGACGATTACGTATATGAGAAGTATTACCATTGGATGATGATGCTTCATATCCATTACTACTTGATGTATTTGGACTTGTTGTTGATGATGATGTGGTAGTTGTAGATGTTAAACCATTTACATGTTGTGTTAATCGTTGAGTTTGATGTTGTTTAAGTCGTTCAGAATTATTATTATCAGTAAGATCAGAAGTTAATGGAAGAGGAGCTGTTGTATTATCTGTAGATGATGCTTGTTGTTGGCCAGATGTATTCATAGTTTGATGATAATTGGAATCTTTAGTACGCGTTGATCTAGTAGTATTCAAGCGCGCTCGCTTGGGTGGTGGACACCCGGCGACGTCTTCGTCCGAGCTTGATGAGGCCAGTATTGCGAAGAGGGTAACGAAGAATGACTCATACGGAAAAAGTTCGAAAACGAAAACTTGGCGACGGCGTGACACAGAGAGAAACAGAGAGAGAGAGAGGAGAAAGAGAAAACGAGAGAAAACAAACGCACGTCGAAATAGGATAAATTCGATCAAGATATAGATAAATATGTATATAATATATATATACAAAAATATGAAATGTCGAATGAAAGTCTTTTCAAATAGTTGTAGTAGAATAATCAAGGTCAAGTTAATATGAATGAAATATCTAAATATAAAATACAGTTTATATGATATTCTAGATTAACATTTTCGAAAACGGAATGTATCTATATTTTCTTTATTCAAACAATAAATAGCTGATGAATTGTTGATCACTCGTGATTAACTGTAAGGAAAATTACGTCAGACCGATAAAAAATATAATTTGGATTTTTCAATGTTTTTTTTTTCTAAATTTCATAAGAAATCAATTAGTTTGATAAAAACTACATTTTCTTTTAATGAATTATTTTTCAATTCAAAAATAATAAGAATAAATAAACGGCGGTCAATAGCACATCTTTTTAATGGTTAGAAATTTTCTCCAACCATACACAAAGTAAAAATAAGAATAAAAGATTATATCAAATACATATATCCTATGTGCCGCCATCTGTATAGTAACGGATAGAAAAAAATTTCTTTGTCTATTGAATCGAGAAGATTCATATGGTCTATAGAAGTGCAAAGTTTTCTGATATTAGGATAAAAATAAAATATACTTCATTTTGTTAAATAATCATTGAACCGGTTGTGTATTAGTTTGTACTGATCAAATGCCTGACATAATAGAAACCCCGACGATAGATGAATCAATAAAACCAATTCCAAATGAAACAACATCGCCACAAATTCGTCGTCAATGGTGGAAAGAATCAGTTGCCTATCAGATTTATCCAAGATCATTTCAAGATTCTAATGGTGATGGTATAGGTGATATAGGCGGTAGATACATTCTAATCATTTCATATCGACATAAAATCTAAAATCATTTATTTTTCATTAGGTATTATTCAAAGACTTGATCATATTAAAGATCTTGGTGCTGATCTTATTTGGATTTGTCCAATTTATAAAAGTCCAAATGATGTAAATATTTTACTTGAAGTTTTTTTCCCTCTTCATAGAAATTTTTGATAATATCTTTTAAGGATAATGGTTATGATATATCTGATTATTCACAAATAATGGATGTATTTGGTACAATGGAAGATGTTGAAAAACTTATTAAATGTGTTCATGAACGAAAAATGCGTATTATTCTTGATCTTGTTATGAATCATACAAGCGAGTATGATTATATATATATATATTCAAATTTATTCTTTGATATATTAGTGAACATCCATGGTTTATTGAATCTCGATCATCTCGTACAAATCCTAAACGTGATTGGTATATATGGAGAGATGGTAAACCAGGTGGCCATCGTCCAAATAACTGGGAAAGTATATTTAATGGTTCAGCATGGGAATATGATAAAGAAACAGATCAATATTATTTACATTTATTTTCTCGTAAAATGCCTGATCTTAATTGGGAATGTGCAGAATTACGTCAAGAATTATATAATGCTACTTGTTGGTGGCTTGATCGAGGTATCGATGGATTTCGTATTGATGCTGTATCACATATAAAAAAGAAACCTGGTTTACCTGATCTACCAAATCCTAAACATCTTGAATTTGTTTCATCATTTGATTATCATATGAATGTTGAAGGTATTGAAGAACATTTACATGAATTTAAAAAAGGAACATATGGTAAATATGATGTTGTAAGTGTTGGCGAAGCAAATGGTGTTGGTGCTGATCAAGCTGTTGAATGGGTTGATGAAAAACAAGGTTTATTCAATATGATATTTCAATTTGAAGGTACTAATTTATGGGAAAAAACATTGGGTACTTTGGATGGTAAGATATTTGAAATCATACAACAATAAAAAAATATATAAATCAAATGGATATTTTAGTTTTAGCATTAAAACGTATAATGACTCGTTGGGAAAAAGCACTAGAAAAAAATGGTTGGAATGCTTTATTTATTGAAAATCATGATAAACCACGTATTGTTTCAACATGGGGTAATGATAAAGAATATTGGAGAGAATGTGCTACTGCTTTTGCAACTGTATATATGCTTATGATGGGTACACCATTTGTTTATCAAGGTTAATTAATTGTTAAATTTTAATTTTCTTAATTATTCTTAATTTTAAAAATTCTTAGGACAAGAAATTGGTATGACAAATGTACGTTTTCCATCGATAAATGATTATCCAGATGTTGCTGCAAAAAATTTCTATAATCTTGAATTAGCTAAAGGTATTGATCATAATGATATAATGCAAATTATCTATATAACTGGTCGTGATAATGCTCGAACACCAATGCAATGGGATGATTCATTAAATGCTGGTTTTAGTACGGCACAACAATCATGGATTGGTATAAATCCAAATTATGTACGTATTAATGTAGCACAACAAGAAAAAGATGAATATTCAATATTAAATTTTTATAAACGTCTTATACGTTTACGAAAAGAAAATGATGTTTTTATTTATGGTATTTATGATTTAATATTATCAAGTCATACACAAGTTTATGGTTATACACGTACATCAGATACAAAACGAGCTTATATTCTAACAAATTTAACTGATCGTGTTGCACAATTCACATTATTTCAAGGTTTATCATCATCACAACTTGTACTTTCAAATTTAATTGAACCGGTGCCTGAACATACAGTAAATATATAAGTAGATTGTTCATAAATTATTTATTAATTTTTATATAGGATGAAAAATCTTTTAAATTTCATCCATATGAAATTCGTGTCTATATTATTGAGCATAAAAAGAAAGATCAACATCATCATCATCATCGTAATTCACATGAGAAGAAAAAGTCTCCAATAGTTTCAACTGAATCAACAGCAGCTGTATCATTAACAAAAAGACAAAAAGCAGCATTAGAAAAACTTGAGCATATATCGAATAAAGCTCGAAATCAAGTTGATGAAAATATTATTCTTAAAGCTACAGAAGATGCAAAAAGAAAAGTTTTAACAACATTAAAAACAAAAGCGGTTTCAGAAACAACTATTAACGATCAAGAAATATCAGCAGATAGTGTTGTAATTGATATTGAAAATGAATCAATACAAAAAAAACGTGAAAGACAACGATCACTTGTATTAAATCTTGGTAAGAAAAAATTTCATTTAATGATAATTTTTTTAAATTTTATTCGATTCTATTCTAAGAACATATTACACCAATTAATCCGACAACACCATCTTGTCATTCTTCTTCTGAACAACTTCGTCGATCATTTTCAGCTCAAGTATCAACAAAACCTGTGTTAAAAGGTCGCCATGCTGATAGTTCATCTGATGAAGAATATGAAATAGAAAAACGTACAACGTCAACAAGTGAATTAGATGATGAGACAAGTACTAGTGATGGAAAAGATATTGATTATGCCGTTTTATATGATGATACAATCGAAGATTTTAGTTATACAAGTGCACGTGAACAAGCAAAAAAACGTCTTCTACGTAATCAACAAGAAATCATGTTACAACAAATAAAAGAACAAGAATAATAATAATCTATAGAATTCAATTGTTAATTTTTAATTTCAATCTTATATATGAGATCAATGGATAAAAACTAATATGTATTTATAAATCAAATTTATGTTGTTATTTTTTTTGTCTTATTAAAAAATATATATCCTTGCTAATATGTAGATAAATACACCAAAACTTATTAAATATTTTGGAAATATAGTTAAAACCAGAGTGTGGCTATGGGTGTGAATGAATACAATAATATTTGCACACACATCCACTTCCACAAGTCAACGATATAATGCTCCACAATGTTCTACTTAATGCTCAAAAAGTCTGTTCTTTGTTCTCCTCTATCCCCGTTTTGAAAACCTTTCATTAAAATTCTTTTTAATTCTATTTTTATTGTGCTGAATGAAAAACTGTTACACATTATCATTTATCACCAAATCAAAAAAAAAGGTTTTCTCTGTTATTTCGATATGAGTAGAATACTACGAAGTGTTTAACTCTCCATCCTACTCAAACATCTGCGTTTGAGCTTTATTCGAAAGAATACACAGGAAAACTGCGTTGGAAAAGCGTTTTGTATCTGTTTATATAGAAGAAGTTAAATGATTCGTTTGAACAAAAAAAAGTAACTGAAAATAATCCATTTTGAAGCGCTATATGGTAGACTCTGTAGTAAGACAATTATCTTTCGTGGGACGAGCTCTTTTCATACGACTTTAAAGAGGTTTCCACGAGTTATATCTTTTGAAAAAAAAAAATGCAAACATATACGTCTAGATATTCTAAAAATCTTCAAACTATCACTTATACTACAGCATTCGTATAATTCATATAATTACGCTTTCTCTTTCATTCTGATGTATTCTACTATTAACTCGATCTCACTCACACCGATTCTAGCTATACTCGCACATCCACCAACATTGATTCTAGTCATACATTAACGCACAACTACACCAATTCTAGTCACGTCTTCACGCTAATCCACGCTACTGCTAGCCACATCTTCAACTTCACTCTTAAACCCACACCAACCTTATGCACACCCACACCCTCACCCATACCCACATAACGCACATCTTCACCCTCACACGCACCGATGTTATGCACATTTTCCCCCAAACCCATACAGATCTTACGCACATATTTCTCCTCACCCTTACCGATCTTTTGCTTATCTTCACCCACACCCATATCTATCTTATGTCCATTTTCACCCACACCCATCTTATGCTCATATTCACGCACACTCACACGCACACACACAAATCCTCATTTTTATTACGAAAACAAAAACCCAAATATCCCAAGCAAATACAACACAAAACAGTGGACAAATAGCTTCAGATAGATCCAAGCACCTCAATCATCAGATGTTGTAATCATCAAAACTTCCTCATGGCTGGACGACTACCAAATTTCACAGCTTAGCGAAAACGAGCACGATTAATGTCGGTTTCCATACACACCGATATAACCAACATGTGGGTAAACAAAAGAACATGGAACGAACGAGAATCCAACATACAAGCATGATATGACTTACAGACACGAACCATGTCGAACGGTGTTCTCAATTCCGAATCCTACAGATCTTTTCCCAACTCAGTTTTGAATGAACTTACCATACACTTCAACAAAAAGGGTCCAACTCCTATGAGAAAAGAAGACCATAGCGAAACACTTGTGCGACGACAAGACCTGTGTGGATCCCTTGTGCGAAGAGAAGACGTGTGTGGATCCCTTGTGCGAAGAGAAGACGTGTGTGGATCCCTTGTGCGAAGAGAAGACCTTTGTGAATCTCTTGTGCGACGTGAAGATGAAACGAAGCTATCGTATGTAAAGAACATCTTGTGGAAATTTAGTAAGTTTTTTCGTAGGAAGCCGTGCTTAGGTCTGACATCGGATGATTGGGACCTGTTCCATCTACTTGTTATTCACCGCTTTGTGTCGCGGAACCTTATTAAAAATGATTATTCAAAATAAAAATATATTAAAAAAAATTAGTGTATTAAGTGTTCGCCATTGCTTTTACAATATACCACGAGAAAAATAAAACAAATTTGCTGATATTTTGGATCCGATGCGACAAAATATTCTCTTACAATTACATCTAAATTATTTTGCCTAGATGACAGTCCCATTAATGTTTATACTTGGTTCTTATTTGTAATTTATTCAGATGCTAAATTACTTTGTTACATCATCCAAAAAACGCTGATCTAATATATCGACAACTTATTTTGGAGATATTATCTATGGATTTTGCTTATAATTAGCAGTTTATAAGTCTTTAGAAAGTATTATTTGAGAGTTCAATCGATGATGCAAAACACATTCAGAAATTACAATATTCACATATTATGAAAAAGACTTACTTTTATTTTACATTACCGATCAGTTTGTATTGTATGAAGAAAGAAAAAATTACGAATACTATTGCTTCAGTTTTGCATCGAGTTATGCTTCATTGGTTTCTTTTATATTGTGTCCTATGGATAAATGGCTTAAGCGGTATATGTACGATATAATACCTTAAGCAGATAACGTCCTTCACTGTCGACTAAATTACACGTGGTCGTCCTGTTCTCTTTCTATCGATATCCATGTTGAAAATCGTCGTTTAATTATACTACATACATACATCAAAAAAATGTATAATATTATCACATACATAACTATTTTATAAAATAATCGAATCTTCCAATTATCTTCAATGTATCGAAGTGTATGAAACGATGGGAGTGGATTGTTGAGTAAAAATATGGCGAATTGAATATTCTCAAATTTTTCCGCTGAAATTTGTTCGTTTGTGAAATCATCGATCTAGAGTATTTAAAAACAATAAGAGAGCTTGTACTAATTATCTATAGTTAAAAAGACAATTAATTCAGTCTATTTTTTACTGATTTAACTACAAATATAATAAAGGTTATGTAGAGTAATTGCAAAGAAAATGTTGTACTATAGAATTAACTGAGCAAACTAGTGTTCGATAGTAGTCGATGCACTAAAAAATATTTAACAAAATCGTAGAAAAATATATACTGTACGTCAGCGATTATAATATTTCTGCTACAAATACGTGGTAAATCTATACATAAGTGATCTATTAAATGAAAAGAGTTGGGCAATATTACATCTTTATTTCATATCTCATCTTGCTAATAGTAAAAGTCGAATTTTATGTATGGTGATAACGCACACTGCAATGAATTATACAAATACTGGAGCTGGATAAAATATTGAAAGTACTCTCGTCCAGTATGTTTTTGTTTGTATGCGTGTAGAATCGACACTCGTACTCATTTTCGAGGTTCTTATTTTTTATGATGAAATCCTTATATTTTTTGTGTTTTACAAGAAATGGATCAAATCACTGATGTCTTTCTTTAGTCGATGTAAATAAACATAAAAGTATTTAAACGAAATAAAGTCATATCATAGTCAATATATTCTTGTCTTCTTATCCACGTTATGAATTCAATCATTTTTATTCCACCAGTAATACTATACACACAACTAATATTTTTACAGTACACTAGTTTTTCTTTCTTCCTTGTTTTCATCATTTTATACAAAATAAATATCGTTGTTTTCAACAACTTTTTCAGTTATTGTTTCTCGTATAATATTGAGTTTTTGTTAATTTTCTCATTATCGATCTTCTTTCATTGGCTTATGCATAATATGTTGAAAACAAGTATTACTAGTTCAGTGATCATTTTTCATTTGATTTAAATTTGAAATTAAAAACAAACTTGTGAATATCTCGGACTGATCAACAGCCCATTTTCAACACATAATAACAACAAGAACATAGAAATTAGTGATATCTGACTCTTCATTTGTTTATAAGTCTATTTAACGGTGTGGGAGGAGTCAACATTCAGATCCATACCCACACGCATTCTTAATTTCTTTGATGACTTGTTTAGGTCGTTGTTGAAAAAAATTAAAAGCTGTAGGATAAATTATTTCAGAAAAATAAACGAAAACATTCAAATGATTGCTTTTATCTTGTTTAACATCATCACATTCATGTTTCTATGAGAAGTTAATGGCAAATATACTGGGTGTAACAGTATGAAATGAAGGTATCTGAGAGGTATAAACTATTTTCATAGCAAAAGTCGAAAATTTCAAAAAATCAATTAATTTCTCCGACGAACAAACATTGATTACATTATTTCTTTTGTTGTTTAATTGTTTTTCATCAAAAATTTATATCGGTAAATTAAAAGATTTCCATACACTTTGTAAACAATTGTATAACGAAAGCCATCTCATCCTTGCACCTTTGCATCGGAAGAGCTGCATTTCGTTCTTCAAGTTCTTGATTCAGATTTATTCAGAAAAAAACAGATTTATATTATTCAACTTCTTTCATTTTGTTAAATCTACGTTTTTGATATATCTTACCCACTCATTACAATGGATGATGGCAACCAAACTACATTTTGCGTCAGATGATAATTGAAGAAGAATCGTTGTAGTGTATTGTTTTGAGGTAATGTTGAGGCAGAATAATTAATGATGATTTATATTTATTAAACCAACATATTCAGTCACTCATAAGTGTAATGAATGAAGCTTTTTGTTTGTCATTCGATTTACCACGAGCAAGTGCTGATGCTAGAATTTATTTCGATATAATCAATGTCTGTAGTTTTTATTGAATTATATTAATGAAAGCTTAACATTGCTGACTTGAGAGCGTTGTTGTTGATGATCGTGAATAAGAATATGTTTGATAACAGTTTTTGCATGATGCAATGTTTTTTTATTATTATTTTTTATATCTATTTGTACCTAATGTATTAGCTGGTGATCCAAAATTCTTCTTTCAAAACTATACGAAAAAAGCAATGCTATATTTGTTAAGATAAAGAATAATACTCTTTGTAGTATATGTTTCGAAAATATTTGATCTATTATTCATAAGAATATTTATTAATTGTGCAAATAAAGATACAAATGAAGATGATGAAATATCAGGTGAAATTGAAGAGCATTCAGAAGAATTCATCACTGAATTATAATTTAATTTATAATAAATTAATCGAAAAAGAAAAACAATGTGTTGAAAACGATGTTAAAATGAAAGTGAATGAAATGAAAAACGATTATTAAATCTAACAAAGATAAAACAATGCCTTTCTGTTATCTTCCTAAGTGCAATTATGAATTCATCCACATAATAAGTTTATCAGAAGAGTGTGAGAAATTAGTTTGTTAAAAAAACATCTATTACATTATAACATAACTGCTATTTGGATTATTGTCCTTTTCATCAGGTTAAAATACATAATATATGGTAAAACATTGATTAGATCAGTAAAATATATCTGCATTAACAAATATCGAATCGAACTGATGCCGTAACTGCTAGACAGCATACATCAATTGTTAAATCTTTTTTTACTTTCATTACTTATCGATCTGAAATAATGTTGACAAAAATCATACAGAGCCTAGTGGATGATAAATATCTATATTTACTCCTACTATTTATTTTCATGTCTTTTCTATTTTAACCAATGATCACTGCTAATAGATATCTAGAACTGTTGCTGTGAATTCGTTATTTTATAAGAGAAAGAAGTAGTTTTTGATAATTCTTTTTGTATATATGGTTCATCATAGCATCTATTATATGAATCGTATATTGTCATCACATACCCGTCCATAGCTTGAAACAAGGCAAAGCGAGGCGAGGTAAAAAGTACCGCCTCGACTTTTACCGATAACTGTATTAGTGACAAATAACTCCTTTTACTGGTTCTTCAATTCTAAGGACGACTCTGTTTTCGTATTCTTTTCTTTAGTTTTGCGATTGAATTCTTTCCTATTTGATTATTTACTTCAGAAGTTATATTCACCTTCTCTATAGATAGCTTTCAATGCCGAATGTGTTTTGATTTCTTTTCCTAATCGAACGAAACGTCTCTCAAGTACTTCGCATACTTCAAATTCAATCGAAGCACTTTTGAAAAACAATAAAGACAGTCGTAGAATTGTAAACAATTCAAATCAACGATCGACAGCAACTTGTTGAACATCGTTTGGATTTTGTGCTCAAATAATAGATGGAGATGAGTTAGAAACCTTTTCAACATTTGCATCTTGTAAACCATGCTTCGAAAAATACCGACATAATCAATGTACAAAATTACTTCTTAAAGATCAGCAATCAATTAAAGATAGTGTGGTAAATTCAAGTGTTCAACATCCTGTTATTATCGAAAGGACAACCAAAAGGCTTTGTGCTCAATGGACGACAACATCAATGCGTCGTTTTCAAATTGTTGCTGATCCAAGATTTAAATATAGGTGAATATCTGACCAGCAAATCTAATGCGATTTAAAACTATTTCGTTCCTGGTCGAAAAATTCATTCTGATCAACCTGTGATGATAGATGAAATATGATGTTATGATCGAATTATTAGAAATAAAATCAACAGAATGACTGAAGAAGAATGTAAACGATTAAAACAACAACTTATTGATGTTGCACAAATAGGAGATTTATGTCTGAGCCGAGACATCTAGACTGATAATTATCGAAAAGTATTTTATCTTGAAGCAACTATACATTACATTGATGAATAATATCGTTTTCATTCAGTTGATTCATTTTGTACAGAATTTAAAGCAAAGATAAAATCAGGAAGTGAAATCTTGGAAGTAAGAAAAGAAATTTCTACAAATAAGCTTTGAAACTTCTTCACTTCTATTTATTTTGGTAATTGAAGAATAATTGAAAATTTTTGATTTGTACGATTATATTGATTCAATTACGTTTACCTGCGATGCTGATATTCACGTGAGATAAAAATTTATCGCTTTTAAAGAAATGTAAACATTGGTTTATGGACGGAGCTTTTAGTGATTGTATGCCCTTTCAACTCTTTTATATATAACTCGCTCATCTAGATATGTCCAATCAGCCAATATCAATTATTCACTGTTCATGGTATGTTTCCTTTTCAAATTATTCCTCTGGTATACGTTCTGCTTATTGACAAAGCTGCTGATGATCACAATTATTTTTTCGAACAGTTGCTATTGCAGCATGACTTTGAACCCGAATCTATTTTAGTAGATTTTGAAACTGCTACACTCAAGTCAATGAAAACAAAATTTCCAAATATTCATCCGATAGGTAATTTTTCATACAACTTTTGTCTACAAAAGTCTATTTCTTCTATTGAATAGGGTGTCTATTTCATATGGATCAATGCTTATGGCGAGAAATACGGATATCAGGTTTTCTGAATAAATACACCAATAATGATAAATTTTGAAGGAACGGAGAGAAGCTAACGGTACTTGCCTTTGTGCCTGTTTTGGATGTGGCTACAGGCTATGCATTAATTGTGGATAATTTTGAAGAAGAAGATTACCTATTGCTTGATTATTTCGAACGAGTTTGGGTTGGGCAAAAGAAAGGGCGAAGTTTGTATTCGTCTAAATGTATTTATTTCATGTCTTCATTAATTCATAATCCTTGTTTAGATATTCAACGATGTCAACCAAAAAGCAGCTTGCAGTGTTGGAATATGTTTGAAAGGATTATTCAAGATCTACCAAGATCCAATAACTCGGTAGAAGGCTGGTATCACGCATTCAACAATCGAGTACCTATTAAACATCTCTCTATCGTCAAACTAACTAAATGTATTCTACGTGAACAATCTCGATGTGAGGTGGATATTGAACGACTACGTGTTAGTGCACTTCCAGAAAAAAAGAGAAAGTGTATGCAGATCTAGATGCACATTTAAAAACAGTCACGCTATCGTACAATATTCATGATACTAAAGATTATCTAAGTTGAATTGCTATGAACTTGAAAACAAGAGTTTGAATAATTTTAAATAAATTTTATTTTATATTATCTTGATAAAAAAAATGAATACTTAACTTTTAGAACAAAATATTAGAAGACGAAGATTAATGGAACAAGAGATAATTAGTATGAATTGTAAAGAGAGAAAATGAAATCGAACAAAAAGCACTTAAGACGAATTAAAAAAGAACGAATTGTAAAGGACAAAAAAAAAGGATGAATCGAAAAAATAAAAAAAAGGACGAAATATAGGGGTACCAAATGTCGTTTTACCACAAGTATATGCTTTTAAAATATGGATTGTGTTTGTATGTTAATGCCTAGTTGCTAGCACTTAATACAACGGCTATGTTATCGACTAAGCCATCGCTGTCAGTACCACTGAGAAGAGTAAATTCGACCAGCACATCCATCGAACGTGTTCCAGTAGGTACCATTCCAGTACTTTGTTCGAAGAGTAACTCTGTAATATTCTTACGGTCGCCACTGAGCACAGGACCTATGGTTATGGCGTTACCTATTTTCGTTCCACCTTGGTTGTTGAAATTTAATGTAACTTTAGCATTATCATCTTGGTGCGCATAGCCACCGAGCCACGCTGATAAATTGGCCGACACTTTTCCAGAGTCGATGAGTGAAAGTGTGGTTGCACCATTAATATTAATTGTTTGCGACATATTGTTAGAACCTGCTAGACCAGCAAAGTAACACTGACCTCGATCGCTAGAAGAGAAAATTTTGAATACGACATATTGTCTTAATATGAATTACCTAGGTCCTGGAGTGGTAGCACTAAGATCCCATCCAGCTGTATATGCTACTTGTATAGGTGATCCGGTATATTTCCAACCAGTTGGATGCTTGTCATATGGATAAGTTTTTGAGCAATCACCAGTCTCAGCATCGCCGTTGACCACCAAATTCATACCCAATACTATACAAGAATGATTTAGTCAAAAACCCGATATGAACTCTATTCTACAGTAACATTAGTGAAGACGTGGAGAACTTGAACAAGGTTTTCTATAGTTTCTCTTTCCCTCATTATAAAAATCAACATCTAACACATTTTCAACAGCTTTACTTCTACTACATCAATTCTTAAATTCTTTTGCGACCAAAGAGAATCAACTGTGATTTTAAATTACAATAAATACAAAAACAAGTACTTTTATACGATGTATACTGTCTATTCATATTTACAAAGATTGAATATGTAAACTAATTAAGTTTTTTTCCTTACAGGCTATTATTATACATTAAACATATTCTATATAATATCTAAAGGCATCGCATATTTTATCTAAGTGTTCAAAAATAACAAAACAAAATAGATTTAAATAATTATTTTACTTTAGAGAAATATTAACTGTATCAGGCGACATATGCAGAAAGGAGATTGAGTTTTGTCGGTGTTTTTTTTTCTTTTAGCAGTAAAAAGGTATATAAGACAAGTTCGCATTTATTAGAAAAAAGTATATCAATAGAAAGTCCATGTCTAAATGAAGTGAATGATATATTCTTTTATCTTTCTACTCAACCCGTTTTACCTTAATATTAACCTTTTTCTAGAAAAATGGTCAGTTTTCTATATGAAATGGCAGAAGTAAGATCTCATAAAAAGTTCATCATATTTTACTTTCTTTCGATTATAGCGCTTATGTCAATCATTAGCTAATTATTTCACAATTTATCTTATATCAAGGCGTAGAAAAATCTTTGTTTTGTTGCGTAAACTAGCAACTACTTCTCTATAATGTATACAGCTCGTGTTCTAGAAGAAATACACAGAACATTTTTTTGCAGCAAAATCAAAACACTTGACTCGGAATGTTTTGATTTTCAATAATGCGTCAAATAAATTTAAAGATAACGAGAAAAAACGCTAGAAGAGAAAGGAACACTATCTGATACATACTTGAACAGAAACCACCAGTACACAATACATTGTCACAGTCTGCAGTAACTTTACATTTTTTGCCAAGAGTACATGGTTTGGCGTTTTTTCCACCACAATCGACATCTGTTTCATCTCCGTTCATCACGTTGTCATGATTCATTGGAGCTAAGATAGAGAAAGACAGATCTGATAATAACGTTTCTATGATAATCGCTTATATATATTACCCTGACATTGGTTACCACTACATACTTGACTAACACAATCGGTAGCAGAGGAACATGTTTTCCAGTTATCGCATCGAGGACATGATCCACTACCACCACAGTCTACGTCTGTTTCTCCACCATTCTTCAGACCATCGGAACACGAAGGGCCTATTCAACAGATATATATATATAAGTTTTCGAGAATAGGCTATATGATACATACTTTGACAGACACCACCACCAGTACACAATACATTATCGCAGTCTGTGTTAACTTTACATGCTTTGCCAACAGCACATTTCTTGCCGGATGACCCGCCACAATCGACATCTGTTTCATCTCCGTCCTTTGTGTTGTCATTATTCACTGAAACCAACAAGAAAATATTTTGAAGTGTATTCATGCAAAGATAGATTGAATCATAGTCTTTTATAGGGTCATTCATGAATATATCGTATATAAATATCTTAGCTGACCTTATTCGGATTCGTGAGGAAAACGACATAACTTCTCTAGCTCTAGACCTTATCCAACTATTATGCGTGTCTCTATGTTGTATTCTACGGAGTCAATAAAAGCTAAAGTGATTGTTTTATTCTTAGCAAATCTCCTTCTCTTGATTACCATTAATGAGGGTGTGGATGTGGGTGGTCGGCGTGAGTGACGACGTAGGTGTGAGT